ATTCGGACATTAGTGGAAAACCATATTCTATAAAACCAGATTTTGGACCACAACTCTTATTATTTCTATCAAACTTGGTGTAGATAAGAAGAGCCCATGATCTCATTATATATAATCATATGAAGATCGCATTTTTGTTTTTATAAAGAAGCAACAGCATATAGAGTCAAATACGGAGTATATAATAAGACAGAACTTGAACTCGTTGAAATCTAGATTCAATGCTATACGACAGACATACTCTGTCGTGATTCATACCTACATACAATATATTAGCATACACTGATACACATGCTAACATGCATATATACATGCGAGACCAAGATGCATGTTGGCATATATATATATATATATATGTAGTATGTGCGCGTGCAAGCTGTTTAACGAGTCCATGAGAATATTAATTACCTTATCTAATTAATGATCATGAAGAAATTATAAACCCACATGACGAGGGAAAAGGGAAACAAAAGAGATACATTATACAAGTATAAAATAAAACACACATGAGGAGGGCTTGTTGACCAATATACATCAGTTAATAAGTAAACTTCGTTACTTTAATTTATCCTCATTGAATTATTTTTGAACTCTACACTTTTGTATTGAATCGTTTCATATAAACAAAAAATAGCCATTACCAAATATAACATTGAAATACTGTATCTGATTCATTATTCTTTGAGCATTGAGTATTGATGAAATTATGATGAGCATCTCACTTATTCTGTTTAATGATGTGATAGTGGCATTGAGCTAGTAGTTCTTATTTGTTGATGAATAATTCTATAGATCTTATCTAGAGACTCATTATCTTTCAACATATAATAATCTTATTATTTTAATTTGATTAGTCAAAATTTTGTCATGTTTTACAATTAATAGATTTTTCGGTGAGTAGACTGCTGATGACAACAATCACTTTTAAGAAATTAACCAGGGTGACAAAAAGTCTGAATCACTCTCTATATCTAAGAAAACACAATTATTATATCAATATAAATTACCAATCAGTCAAATGTGAGATCTTAAGATCAGAATGGAATGTCTCTCCTCCACCATTAACTATTGTGTATATGATGATCACTCCTTTATTCAATGTAGTATAATAGTATATTCCGAGCGTAGTTATGAAAGGATTTATACTAGCAGCGTAGCTAGAAATCAAGATCCACGCAAACACACATAGACATATACATCCATCGATTCACATGTATACAAAGCCCATAGATCGAAATTAGCTAAGTATATAGTGTGCTAATGTCTTAATAAATAAACGCGATATTGAGTTCTTGCTAATGCCAAGATACCCCGATATGCAATTCTGAAATCATGATGCACCAACCCCACCTATATTGCTATTTATAGAAAGTAATGAAGAAGAAATGAACATAATCATTCATCATGATTAAGGTAATGTACCAATCAAAATTAACAAGTACTATAGAGAACCATGTGTTGCATCCATCGATCATGTGAGGACAGTGTGTATACTTATAGACACAACATGTGTGGACCAAATTAAATATACATTATGTAACGTCAGTACTGCTTAGTTTTGTTTTGAATTTGGAAGCAACTTGTTAATGTCGATTAGTAATTATATCATATATGGGACTGTATTATTCTTCACAAAAGATTCCCGTAAATAATGACATAATCTTAGTTTGTTTGGTATTATATTATTGTTGTTTTTTTATTTGTTAAAAGGCCTATTATATTATTGTTGTATTGTAGAGACGTATCTCACTGTACTGTTAATCTTAGTTTTCAAATATAAACTATTAAAAGCCGAGCAAGAAGTCACGTCATCTAGGGTATTATGTCCCCGTATACACATGTTCCAAATTTTGGGATTTTCCATCTTTCCTATACAAAAAGAGCACCATTGATGTAATAGTAATATTGTATTCACGTAATCAGATTATACACATGTGATCTCTTCTTTTTGAGAAATTTTTAGTGATGGAAGTGTATGAGATATTCAGTGATTGTTGGAACATCGGGAAAACTGAAATTCCCTTGATCTTGTTGATTTCTGCAACATACCAAACACTAGAGAACGTAAAGAATTTGTTAACTGTTTCGTTTTTTAATGTTTATATTTGAAATTTCTCATGTTTATATATACATATCACTGAAACTATATATATTTTACATTATCATCACTAGGTACTATTATCTATGTTTTGCAGTACAATTATATCAATGTGGGGTTGATTTTCCTCATAGTGGAAAATACATAATTGCAGCAAAAAACAGTTATGCGATGAGATGTAATATGTCCGAATAAATAACTCGTTAAGAAACAAAAAATTATGGCTCCCCTATCACGGTTAAGCGGGAGAAAACACATTCAAAATAAAATTATACGGTTAAAAAGCCTAATCAAAGTTTAAGGTCTAGTGAACTCGAATTCTCTAGACCAAAACAAAATCGAACATTCATAAATAAAAAAATAAAAGCCTCTTGCATCACTACTTTAGAATATGTATAAATGAGTGAATGGTACATGAAATGATGAAGCTATAGGTCCCTCTCGCAAACGTGGCTTGTCCCAAATTCTTATTATGGTTTTTGTCCTGAGAGCTTCTTTACCTTAGAAGATGTAAGCTTTTACTTTTCTTTTTTCTGCCTCTCCAACTTTACCAGTCAATGTTCCTCAATGCATATAATTAAGTTAAAAAAGAAGAGCCGTGAAATCATTCTCTCTTTTTTTTTTCCATTATTCGATAATATCACGAAATAGTTCATGTCATAATTGATATCATGATATGTTTTGTGTAACGTGTTGCTTCCAAATATGTATAAAAGACATGCCAATATATGTATGTACGTATATGAAAATGAGATGTAAATAATGTGATGTCATGTCGTCGATGCATCATACTCATCAATAGTACAACATTAATGTGGCTTGTTATGTTTCTTAGTTTGTGTTCTTGTGGTGTATATATGTATGGGCTTGCTTAATTCATTAATTGGATCACTCTTCTTATAATAGCTTATACTTTATTTCGTTTTGTCGTTGTAGCCTGTAGAATTCCACCACGCAAGTCTATTGCCTTGCCCACTTTGTATGGTATCATGTTTTCTGGTTATAAAGTTTATAATATAAAAAAATGTTTAACTCATGCAAAAGTCTTTTTAGTAGTGGGGAAGATAATGGTACAAGCCTTTATTTCGGTCCGACTTTCCATAATTGCGAATATATTCAAGAGGTTATTTATTCAACAACTAAGTGTGAAATGTTTTTATCAATGGTCCCAAATGAATCAAGAAGGCATAAGGAAAAAATGTTGATTAGATTTTTGATTTTGTACAAGTTTTAAGCAGTCGGAAGGGACCAAAATTATATGCACCACAAGCCTGAGTTGAGGCTAGCCCAAGCGGAAATCCATATTGGGCCAAACTTGGACCGAAGATTATGGGCCTTTTTAATACAGCTTTTAGTTATCAAATCTCATAAGACTTGTTTTCTTATAAAAGAAGGCATAAGCCCGAGTTGGTCTTGCTTTTGAGATTTGTGTTGGGGAATAGGATGATTCTTCAGAAACGTGGAACGCGAAAAAGTATAAAAATGCAAACAACTAAATGATATTTTTTTTCACGCCAGATTACACGTAGAATTCATCTAACATTTTTCTCTAAGACTAATGTAAATAATTTTGTTATATAGTCACTATTTATCCGAATATACATAATTATCAATGAGAACCCGAGTTTATAGATAGTAAGCTTCCACAACTTGTACAAAAGATGGGCAATCTAAGCAATAATTATACATGTTAGATTGGCTAGAGCAACATCATTGGGCTTTAACCTCAATTGTTTGTTGTTATAATACTAACATTTATGCTCACATTAAATGATTGACCATTTGGTATAGTTAAAGTGAAACCACCACCATGCACAAACGCAAACGCAACGGGATGAGATGGTGCTTATGAGAAGTGATGGACACTATAATATAGATGTAGCATCCAAATCTGATTTCCATTTTGGATTAGGAGATTTAGGGTTTTGTATCAGAAAATAAAATGACACGTTAGTAAATCGCGGAACGACGACAAAAAAAATAAAAGTATTTTCGTTAGATTACTCAAAGAATTCATTTGACATTTTTCTTTGAAACAAATGTAATGATTTTTGTTTTCTATATTATACAGTTTATCTAAATATACATAATTATCATTAAGAACAAGAGTAAGGTGAAATAGTTTTGTCTTTGAGATAATGTTATAAGCATTGTACTTTGGTCCGTCTTTCCATAGATGTGAATATACAATGTGTGTATATCCATTATCCAAAAGGTAAATTATTCAAAACTTTAAGGTAAAAGGGAGAAAGTTTGATTACAATTTTTATTTTTGTACAGGTTTTAAGAAATCAGAAGTTACCAAAATGTATATGCAATTATGCATCATAAGGCCAGCCTACGCCGTAATCCATATGGGCATAGGATTGACTTTACAGTGAAACATACTCGATATACATTAATAAATAACCTTAAAAAAACCAAATAAATCTCAGTCCCGAATTATACGTGTTGAAAAGTTAACAAAGTTCAGAAAATAACTAAGAAAACTAACCAAGATGTAATTAATAAAAAGTTTTTGTTAAAATTACTAATCCAAAGTTTTTCTTAGTTAATAAAAAATAAATTTGATATTGTGTTTTTTTTTCAGAAACAGACAACTTTATTTAGAATTTTAATGAGCAATGCTGAAAATTAGTTTTTGCAAAAAACACAAACAAAATGAGAAACAAACGGGTCAATCATAACTCGAAAGTTAATTAGACGAATAAAGAAGATTCAAACACTGTTCAGAGCTTTATTTTTTACAGCTTTTGAAACAGAAGCAGCAAAGTTGAAGTTTGAGTAAGAAAAGAATCAAAAGAAGTTGAGATCAGAATCAACATGAGAGAAACAAGTAAAAGACGAGTCAAAGCTTTTGTGAGAATAAAGAAAACCAAATCTCATAAGAGTAGTTTTCTGTTTAAGAGAAGGCATAAGCAGGAGTGGTCTTGAAATCAAGCTCCCACAGATCAAATGTTCCTTTGACGAAGTTGTAGTGAGCTCCTCTGATCGCAAGTGTGTTCTTCACCACCGCAGCTCTCACAAATGGGTATGAAAGCAAGTTTCCAAGCGACACATTCACAGCTTCCTGCAATAGACAGAGATTTGTTAAACATCTCTCTCTCTCTCTCTTCTTAAATCTCAATGATAAAAAAAAAACAGAGCATTTGTTTGTTTATTTTGTTATTACCTTCTCACACTTGTTGCATTGATCATCATAGCTTAGGTCTTGATGTTCTTCCTTAACCTTGTTCCTCGCTGACGCACCTATCTTCACCCAATTCTCTATGAAGTCACTGACATTTATAGAAGTTTTTTTCACAACGTTAGAGAACAATCACACACAAAAAGTCACACAATTCACAAGAACATTATCAAATCATGTAATGAGAATATTAATTAGCTTTTATAGATTACCTCTGAGTTGGTGCAGCATCGTCTTCAATGTTCATGAGTCCCTTAATCCCACCACAACAGCTATGGCCTATCACCAGAATATTCTCCACCTACAAAACAAATAAAAAAGACAAATAAAAAACTGTGTGACTTTGGATAAAAAAGCAGTTACAACTTGATGCATTAAGACCCATTTCTACATTATCCAAAAGGATCCAGCTTTTTAAAAAAGATAGTTGTGGAAAATGCTATTCCTAGTGGCAAAAAAGATAAAAAGGAGAAAAGAGTTTGGTCATTCATTGGTGGATGCAATGGGGACAAATGCTACATTACTATGACTAGACATCAACTTATAGTAAAGGCCATGTGGCTAAATGCATCACTTCACTTTTCAAACAAAGAATTTAAAAATGATGGGCACAATCGAAAGAGCCAGACTTTTGGGTTGATTACTAATATAATCTATATTGCTTATCCTTAAAAAGAGGGCTAAATTTTATATACCTTGAGATGAACAACTGCGTATTCAACGGCGGCACCAACTCCAGAATGTCTCTTCTGTAAGAGTTTTTAAAACCGAATGATATGAACTAGTTGTTTGATTGTATAATATATGATATCAATTGTCTTTGAGCAAAAAATCTAACCGTGTCGAAAGGTGGAACCATGTTTGCAATGTTTCTAACAACAAAGGCCTCACCAGGTTGGAAATTCAAGATGTGAGATGGGCAAACTCGAGAATCGGAACAAGCAAACACCAGAAACTGCAAAATCAGTTTTCAACATCGTCTCAATTTCTTGATTGTTTTGGAGTGCAATATCAAGAAAGTGGTCCCTCTCTTTAGTTTCTAAAACTGTTTTGCTTGTTCATAAAGTCAAGATCACAGTTGGGTTTAAAGCTTTTCACACCTTTTTTTAATTTTTATTAACCTTATAAGGCTATAACTTTATGGTTTTTAGGTATTAGTCAAAACAAGAAAAAGTAAAAAAAAAAAAAACGAACAAAACGAGTAAATGAATAGAGAGAGTTGAAACCTTTGGTGTTTGAGTCTTGGCAAGATGATTAAAGAGAACATCATTCTTCCTGGAAAAAATAATTAAAACAGAGATTTCATCAAAATTCAGAATCAAGCTAAACACACATTTTTGTTCTGTTTTTGCATATACTAATTGGATCTTATTTTTATGCCTTTTTTAATCTAAGCACGATCCAACTAATTAATTAGCTTTTAAGGACCTTTTTACTGTTAACCTTTTATTTAGCACTATCCGAGGAATTATGTTACAAACAGTGATTAGTGATAAAGGAGTACGTTAAAAAGGTAGATTTATAATTAATGGGGTGCTTTATTAAAATTAATAAAAATGGACCATTTGATGATTCTATTCCACCGTCACAAAATTATTTCTTTCCGATCAGATAAAAAAAAAATTATGCTAAAGTATATACTTACAAGTATTTCTCGGTTTTGAATTGGGTAAAACCGGATTTGATTCGTTCAACGGCGTCTGAGTTGCTGGAATCAAGCTCCTGAAGCTCCACCGTCAACGCCTTGATCTTCTCGGCGGCGACGTTCCCGAGATCCGCCTTCTTACTGCCAAATAGGAAATTAAAAACAAAGAAATCAGAAAAACGTCCAGGGGTAAAATGGGAAACAACGAGAAACAGGTATGATGGGACCCAGTGACCGACGGCTACGATCAGAGTCCTACGCGTACGGAATCCGAAATGTCGTTGATGAGAATAAAAACGCGGAAATCGAAAGAAAACGCTTTTTTTCCCCCCGATTCAACCGCCAAATTTACCGGTCCGATGATTTGGGGAGAAATTAATCAACGACGATGATGAATTCGTGAAGCGGAGGGAAAAGTCAAACGTTGATCGTTGAATATGCCGACTAAACTTTTATCTAATGATTGTCCTTGAAGCAGAGGAGAGAGAGAGAATGTACCTGAGAAGATCCTTAAGTCCTTTAATGGCGGCTTCGTACGACTCGGTGGCCATTTCGTCTCCTTCCTGAGAAAAAAAAAGTAAACCGAATCGGTCAAATTCCAGAGAAGACAAACAATCAATTCGAAACAAACGAATTTGGATAAGTGATCACGATGGTTTATGAGCTTTGGGATCTGAGGAGAGACCTTTAAGGTTCTCAAAAGCAGAGGATGTTTCTGGAGGTTAAAATCTTTGTGGAAGAATGTGAAATCAGTTAATGCTAAGAGATGGTCTGTGATGAGAATTGGTATTTATAGGCTAAGATCTATAATGCCATTTGGTTCAACTCTTACATTTTCTTTTATTGTAAGGAAAAAAAAAAGAAACTCCACAAAAATGGGAAGGTTAAATAATTTTAAAAATACTTTGTGGGACAGTGACTTGATAAACTATTAAAATAATTCTGGGGGTGAAATGAGGATTGAGGAACAAGATATGTGGTGTGATATTAGATTTAAAGAATGAACATGCCGAATATGTGATTCTATATTCTTAATTTGTATATCATAAAATATTCTTAATTCGTATATCATATGCGATAATTTGTATTTTCGCTGTTTTTTTTTTAATTTATTTTGTGTTCAAAACGAAAGAAAGTAAAAAAACTTGGGCTGGGAATTTTCTACCTAAATTGACTACAAGTCTTGAACACTTATTTATGGAATCATACTTGGGACAGTTTTTTGCCTACCTCATGTTCCCATTCCATTTTGGGAGAAGTTTTGTGTTAGGTAACCACAAAAATTCTTTCATACCCATTAGTCTAGAAAAAAAATAGTAATTGCTTACAAATGAAAAATAAATCATTATTTTTTATTGGCACAACACTTTTCCGTATAAATACCTAATCAGAATCATGCAGCAATATGTACAAACTGAAATCAAATTGGTAGAAAGCATGAAACTAGTATTAGGCACATCATCACCAGCGCAAGATGTTCTTATAACATGATGTAATAGTAAAAATAGACATTGCACTATTGAATTACATGTACAGAAACTATATGAAATTTTTAGTTAAATATCATAGGAATCTGAAAACCTACGCTTGTGAATCCCATAAATGGAAATATTTTCTACGATATCCAAATAGAATTAACAAATTTTTAGCTGTTTATTTGACCATCAAAATGATTTCTACTCAAAGTAAATAATCTTCGGTAAACGCATGGTAAAAATAAGAAACAAATGGTCAACTTTTCTAAAGTGCAAATGGTCTCCGTCTTTTCCGATGTGCCGGTGGCCAATAGCCATAGAAGGATAAGTCAACGAAGACACGCCTATAGGCTAACACGTGTCACGTTGCTAACGGTTTAACCGCAGTCGCCATCTGGCAATTACGCGTCAGCATTTTGGATTATAATTTTTTTATCAAGATCATTTTCGTCACTGTATATGGGGGTGCACATTGCACAATAATTTAAAGTTTTTTAAAGTTCTATTAAAAAATACTTCCAAAGTAGCACGACCCTTGTGAATTTTAAGAAATATATCAAATTTGAAATGACTTAGGTTTTAATATCTGAATAACCGATGTTGCTTTGGATAGACTCAAAAAATGAAGTTTTAAAATAGAACTAGAGACTAATTCTAAATTAGTCCCTCTCAAGATATTTATAATTTTCATCTTACCGGAGAGGTCTTAACGCAGCAGAACATGAAACATTTGCTGAATTTGGGAGCCATCTTATCCTTTGTCTGTTTCTCCTAGCGATCTGTCTAACCACGTAATCAACTTTTTAATTATATATTTAAACAAATCGGAGAAACTTCTCATTGTATTATTGACTACATTATTGATTACTCACGTCGTCATATTCATAACAGATTCAGTTATATTCGAACATAAAAATAATGCGTTGGCCTAAGCTCAAAATATTAAAATATATAGATAGATATTAATCCGTAACTGCAATGGTTCTCGACTCTTTAGTTCCATATATAATATGCAAGCTTTTCTTGGCTCAAAATGCTAAAGAACAGGAACATCAAGCTGGCTTTTCATCAGAACCGAAGGTTCCATACGTCATTTTTATTACATTTCATTTCAATATTATTTAAATTATAAGTTGCAATCTAATTTGGGGAACCAAATGGTCAACTATCGAGATATCTTAATCACAAACAAACACCATGTACAATCGTTTTTGAAACATAAAATCTGATGAAACAGAACTCATGTGGAATTGGTAATCGCTATAATATCAAATTAAATAAAAGTAAGAAATAAAATACCTAAGGGTTAGAGTTGTAGGAGAAGGACTTGGTAATGCTCTTTGTTGGCCAATTGATAGCTCCTCGAAATGTTGGCCAAGTGATAGCTCCTCGAAAACCTCAGTGGGCGAAGATGATAATGCAGACTTTTTTGGGAACTGAAATAAAAACAAGTCCCAAAAAAACGGATATGGGTTTTTGGATGTTTTAAGGAATTTTTACGACCGTTCGAGCAATGTGAGGGCTACTTTACGAGATAGAGAAAGCGAAAGGTGAGTGAAGCAGAGCTTCTTCTTCCATCTACTTCATTTATATCTTAGTCTATCTACTACAAATCACAACTAAATATAATACAGTATCTGCTTACATTTATAATTTATTGATATTATAAATGTAACAAATTAATAGTAGAAGATAATCTCACAATGTATTTTCCTAATTTTAATACTTTTCATTTTTTTTAGTAAATATATACATATTTTTCGCAAGGAAAATTCACTTATTTAACCAATTTGTTTTAAAAATATATATATATTACATGCAGTTTGAAATAATAATTTTCTTATTTATACATTAGCTACAAAATAAAATATATAGCTACAACAAAAAATCAGCATTCTTACAAGTTTCACTTAAAAACAAGCTGTTACATACTATCTTTTAGGGTCAACAAGGTGTTATACTAATGTAAAACGTTGAAAGCAGCATTTCATACAAATTTGTTCTGACCATAAAGAAACACACACAATCAATAAGAGGTGATAGCAGTATACATAGTCACATTATTATATAAACCACCAAGAACTTTGTCATGGTGTGGAAGATTATTGGTAAGATTATCCAACAATTGCATATTTGCATAGCATTATCAAAGTTATTGATAAGTAAAAGCCTCAACGCAGGCCTGATGCATAAAGCTAGCAGGAACCAAGTGGCAAGTGTCACAAAACGAAACAGCTAACCACAAAGAAAAGGAAATGTTAAGTGACAATATAAAACAAATGAATAAACATAAACAACAAAGAAAGCAATGAGAGATTGATCCGACATGAAACATTAAAAGGCATCATGGGCCGTGGTGTAGACCTAAATATGTTTTAGTTTGTAGAGTTTTAACCTGTAAATCGAAAGCATGTCTCTAATATTGATGATGATGCTTGATTTCGGCCCAAACATTTTATGGGCCTATACCATATAGTTGTACTCTTGCATACGGAGGAGACAAAATCAGAGTTTGGTGTTTCTAGTGTCACTTGTCACTATCAATTATTAGATTTGGTTGTACTTGGTTAAGAGGTCTAATAATTCAGTGATTGTCGGTAAACAGAATATAATAAGATGAAGGAATTTGAAGGAAAAAAAAATTTTCATGTGACCGGATTGCCCTATTCAAATGTGTAGTGTAGGCCATCTCTAGAATGTTACATGTTGAAGTAATTAGTAATCAACCTTACATTGGTTTAACTTATTCCTCATAATTCAGATAACTCATCGTTTGTATATTTTCCATATGAATCTCGCACCATACTGTTACTATTTTCCAAGAGTTTCAACCATAAATGATGTATCAGGTGTATCTCACTGATGCAAAATTGATAAAACAAACGTCAAGATTAACTTCAGTGGAGTAAAATCAGAAATAAATGTAACAGCTATTTCACAATGGTGTGGTAGCTAAAGAGTTTATTCTTTAAATTGAGGAATTTATATCTGAGTATTTTCAATAATACTATGCTAATTCACATTCCGTAAATTAGTGTCCGGGATTAAGGATCAAAAATCAAAAGGATACAAGTGAATTAGAAAGGTAATCAAGCTTTGCTTTTACTTCCAAAAAGAAGGTAATATTACAGACAAACTTATAAAAAAGGTTAAGATTAATAAAGTATATACAAAAGCCAAACTTTTGTCGGAAAGAAAAAATTAAACATTTTTGATAATTTTAAAACATAACCAAAAAAAAAATTAGTAAGGATGAACATTTCTGGTAAGACCATTAACGTTGGTGAAGAAACCGACATGTCTGTACGGAAGATACGATCTCCGTTTCCCTTCTTCTCTTAACGCTCTGTTTCTCATGTACAGCCTCTCGTGCGCCGACTTCGTTTTCAGCTTCTTCTCCGCTTTCTTCTGCTCTTTCCCTTTCTCCGTCCTCTTCCCTCCGGCCAACATCGCCGCCACGTTCGAAAACGACGACGAAGAAGAAGAAGATTTGCTCTTTTCTCCTCCGGCGACTCCGTTGTTCAGAAACACAAACGCGTCTTTCCCGTCGCTGTTGCTTCTCAAAACCAGATCTTTGAATCTCCACAGCTTCGAGAACCCCGTGGAATTACTTTTCCGGCAAGTATCCGGCGTAGCTTCCTCCACCGTTCTTCCTGACCACGAGCAGTACGGTCCCATCGGCTCTGTTTCTTCTTCTTCCTCCGCCGTCTGGCTCTCCACGAAGAGCTTCTTGATCGGCGAGCGTAAAGAAGATTTCTCCTCCGGTTGTTGTTCGAAGAGAATGTTCCGGTTAAATAGAGGATAAACCGGCCGGATCTGACCGTCTTGGAACGCTTCGTCTGCGGTTATCGGCGAATTCTCTGCGTTTACGCTTGCGAACGAGAACTCATCTTCTTCTTCTCCATCATCAGACTCTTCTTGATTCCACCATCTGTTTTTTTCTTCTTCTTTATTCGTAAAATCGATATTTAATTTGGAGCCAAAATCGTCGCTCAATGCCCCGTAAACCTCGGTGAACCTCTCTTTTCCGACGAATTTCGGCGCCGGAGACGACGGAGTAACAACTTGCATCTTGTTTTATCAAAATTCAGATCCAAACGCATAAACACACAAATTCTCTGGAATTGAGAGAGAGAGAGAGAGAGAGAGAGTATTATTGAAGAGGTTTGATAAAAATAGAAGAAGCTATGCTCTCTCTTTTATATATGGTTGGGATATTTAGCTTTTCCCAACTATTTTTATTTTATTTACTTTATTTATGATAAAAATCGTTGATAATAAAACAGAAAACTTAAAAATAATTTGCCAAACCTCGTCGTTTTTAAATATACGGTCAAGTCTCTCGAAGCTGAATTTGATAAACTGGTCCACTTAAATTTACTGAATTTAAGTTGTTATACATATCTGTGTAACAAGAAAACAAATCTAAATAAGTGTTTTTTTTTTTTGACCAAAGGCATAAATCTAAATAAGTTGCGTTGACTGAATTTGGGATTCTAGAACATTAAGAAATCTAGAACGTGTGACCTTAAAATTAGAATCGACCTTGGGATACAACATTGAAATTTCCATTTTGCTACAAACTGTACCAATACTCAAATTTAGAAAATTCATGACTCGAAAGTCTAAAATTATCCTCAGATATAAACTACATAAAAGTTAACAGAAACGCCTAAAACAAGTAAAATTAAGCAAACTAAACAAAAAAACACAACACATGTAATGAAACATTTTTTTTTTAGTTTTAGCTGAAAAAAACTTCAATACTTATATATAAAAAGTAAACACTTCCCTACAATCTAAACACACAAGTATGTATACAAAATAAAGCTCACACTACTTTTTTGATAATTGTTGTAAAAATATTTCACAAATTGACCACGAAAGCAACCAAATCTAAAAGAAGTTTCCTAATGCATTTCATCCAAAGCGCGTGATGCAAAAGAAGGTGACAATGGAAGGGTAAAATCGTAATACCACGTTACAGAAACACTTGTTCGAGAAGCAAAACCGGACTTGTTGTCTTGTTCAATGCCCTGACATGTGAACTGACGTGGAAGGTTGCTTGAGGTCCACGTGTTGACCGTGTTCAATAAATGATATCTTCGAGAAACTCAGTGGTTTCCTTGTGTTGTGAAGTTGACCCACCGATTCGCCTTTTGGTGAACATTGGCCCAATGTGGCTATGGTCAACGCGATGAGCCGCCTTCCCAAACGCATGGAGTTATTCGGCTCGGGTTACGGTCTTACGGACTTGCTGGTTTATAAGTTTCGATAGGGCTCTAACTTCTCCAATTGGTTTAGATATTATTTTTCTAGATATCTTTACAAAAACTTTTGTAGATGTCGTTTTTGTATATACAATATATTTCTAGGATATTTCGTAAGCTTTGGATTTTCGGTCGGTCCACAGGTTTTGTCTGGTTTAAAGATACTTGTGATAATATATGTGGTAGTTATCTTAAAAAAGCGCACATCATCTTTTTAAAAGCTTATTAATGCTTTTGAAACAAATATAATATCATGAATTTAACTAAAGAATGTTTCAAAGGCAAACTATCTACATATTTATGATGTATGGTTTTTGGATGTGAGCAAATTTTCGGAACGATAAACCTCCGATCAGTTTTCGCCACGTGCTGGGTCATTAAGTAGCCACATACGAACACATGCACCGACCAAGAGTTATGAGAACGAAGTGACAAGTGTTAGGCAGTGTATTGTTCCATTTATGGTTTGGTGTGGCATAAATTGAATTTGGTCGATGTTGGTTCGTAGGTGGCTCACCAATACACTTTCAATCGTGCAATATGTTATAGTATTAAAATCTACATAACTAATAAGGCTTGGACAATCTCAGCCTTTGACACGTGGCTTTTTTTTTTTTTTTTTCGCCTAACACCAAAACGACGTCGTTTTGCGCTTTTTTTTTTTCGTCTTACACCAAAACGACGTCGTTTTCGTAAAAAAAAAAAATCTAAATCAAAATTATGTGTAATGTTGTTCGTTTTGATGGGCTTGATTATTTATCGGACCTCTTCGTTTCCATGGTAGCTTTAAATGGGCTTACTGGCTAATTAGCTCATTTCATTTCCTTTTAAAAAGGATTGCAATTATTATTATCTATGAGTCTGTAGGATAATAATCAATCTATAATGATTGTTAGTATAAGGAAAATTAGAAGAACTCAACTCCAGTCGATAAATTATTGTATAAAAGAACAAAAAACATATGAAACTATTCACTATGAGTCTATATAAGATTTCACGTAAATAACAACTAAATTTTAAAACTATATGAAAAAAAACAAAATGCAAAACTTACAGAATCTAATATATTCGAGTAAAAAACAAATGATATATTCGAATCTAATGTTCTGAATAATTAAATTAAAAATATTTGGTTTAATAAACCCGCGCATTGCGCGGGTTCTCTCCTAGTACAAATAAAAGAGAAAAAAAAACTCTAATAGAAGGAGAAGGAATCATTTGTGTAAAATGGAACGCATTATTGCTGGAAAGGTGTTTCGTAATTTATAAAAAGGGGAAATATGTGATTTTCTTTAACTTTGGCTTTGAATGGAAAATACAGTTCACAAATTATAGTCCAAACCAAACTTGCAGTCTAAGGTGAACAAATATAATTCAAAATAAATACAGTTCAAACTAATTGTCAAGTTATTAAAAAAAAAGAAAAAAATCAGATCTGCATTTGGTGGGATGCTTTTACGGAGCTTCCTACAGATGACACAAAAAGACAAAAAAATCCAGTTTGTATGCAGACCGTTCATTTCTCCTGCATTTTTTGATCTGTAATTTTTTTGTGTGTAAATGGCATATAAAATGCAGGCGGATCTGTTTTACTGATCAACTGCATTTAAACTGGATTTGTTCAGTGCCCCATTCAAAGCCTTTGTCGAGAAAAAAACTAGCCCGCTTATGCTCTATGACGTTTCACCAATAGGTTAAAACATTGAATTATCTTATGTGAACCACAAAACAGTTCTCTTCTTTGAGCCCATCAATAATGGAGCTGGGGAAAGTTCTCAGAAATGGAGAAAAACGTATTTGCCAAATTTAGAAACGATTACTTTATGATCGATAAGATATGTAAAAATGTGGACATCGAGGATATAATGACAAAATCTTACTATAACTTTAAAAACCAACAAAAAATATATTCACGCGTTTATCTATCTTGTGGTCCCAATTGATGATGCTATATTGCTGCTAATCTAATACGCTACACAACAATGAATTTCAGAGTAAAATAACAAAAGTTTTAGTCCGTTGAAAAGATAAATGAAGTTTGAGTTACATTCAAAAAAGAAAGAAAGATAATCACATGGGATCACATACTAGATTATCAAATGGTTAATTTAGGGCTCCTAAGCGCTAAGCCATTAGACATTTCATTTTTCTCGAGTAGACCTTATATCTACTTTTAATCAAATGGCACTAATACATCATATTGTTAATTTGACAGCTAATCTTTAGTCTTATCCGAAGCTAGAATGTCAAATCGAGAAATGCTGCCCCCACACATGTGCCTTTAAATAAAGCCCATGATCCGACATATTCTTTTACAATAATTTGTTTTTGTTTGCATTTGGTTGAAACGCGAGAGACGTACTTTACACAAAGCCGCCGCAAATGCTAACATTTCTTCTACCAATGTTAAATGGTCTTTTTAGATTGGTGTCGTTTTAGGCATCTGGTTTGTCCATCTTCTCCGATGAGAGATCATAACAACTTGCAAGTTGCAACAAAATATAAATAGAGCTCTGATTCGATTTATTTTCCTAGATCTTGATCCTTCATTAATTTACATCTTAATTAGTTATTCTCATATGTTGCTCAATAAGATCTAGGAGATCATTGACTTTATTGTCAACGGGAAATCATTGACTTTATATGCTTGAGTCTCAAGCGTATATTACACACCATTTGGATGCACCAGCCTTAATCAATACTATATAAGGGTCATAATCTACAAAGCTTGTATATACACCTTTACGTCGTCAACACAGATTATACAAAGATATTGTAGGTTGGAAATTATTTTTTCTTTTAGATTCACAATTTATTTAAAGTTTCTGTGAAGGATTTGGAGATTTATTTCATTCAGAAATCGCAATTCTTTCATGAATTTCATTCTCAAATCTCAACTTTCATTTAACTGTATTACTAAATTGTTGATGTTGGTCAACGGTGGGAATTAGGATCATTTTGGTTAATGATAATGAAAACTTTGAATTTTTATGGGTCCGGTTGGCAAAAGTTTAAATTATTTTGACTTTCTCCATAAAATATGCATATTAGCTAAACAAACATTCCTTAAGCTGACTTTGGAAACGTTTTGAACCGTTCCTGGTTTATTTTATGGTTGAATTGAACCAAACACAAACTCGATCACGTGACAGAGACTGTGTTTAAAGAGTGGTTTTGTATACTTCTTTCTCTTCTAAAGGTGACACGAAATCTTGTTATAATTGGTACGGGACTTAATCCATTTCCACGTAAGAAAAGTTCGATAAGGTAACATAATAACACCTGTGTAAGAACATTATAAACTGTACTAAAGTTGTTGAGATTATGTACACTATTTGCCTTAACATAATCTCAATGTCATTACATATTTCATTTTAACACCCCAAATCATTATTGTACCAAAAAGTGATGAACAAAATCACCAGACATTTTTTTCTAAAAAATTATTAATATTATATACACAGCAAATTTTTAAATGTGAAAAAAAAAATCTCTATGTTTTCACCCTTTTTTTTATTTTGGTTGGCTCATGGCTGGCTCTTAAGACAAAATTTGGTATTTGTTTAATAATTTCCTCAAAAAAGAAAAAAAAAACATAAGAGGACGAAAGTATCCAATAGAAAATCGGATTAGATTTTTTACTAAATCAAGGCGTTGTTGTCTGGTCAAAATCACAAGAAGAAGAAAACTTGAGATCCTTCATTTTTACATTGGAACTCCCGAAAGATCCTCACCTTTCTTTCTCCATGGCGGATTAGATTCGAATCTTCACTTTCTTTCTCACGATCATCACGAGGATCCTGCTCTCCTTCTACCTCTTTCTCGTACTTCTCCTCCACCCCCCTGGCTTTTAAGCTTTTTAAACCCGAAGCAAAATCGTCTGGCTCTAAACAACAACAACCTCAGGTTCCTTTTTCTTACGCCATTCGTCGTTCCGGTTAGTGTTTTGAACGATTTTTATGAGTTTAGTTTGGTTGCATTTCGAATTCAGTGCAATTGTCTTGTGTTCGGAAGCTGTCTCGTATGATTCTTGATTATCGTTATTATCGATGTTTAGACAAAATGGCTGGTTCATCGACGAAGAGATTCCCTCTCTACGCTAAAGATTACGAGCTCTTTGAAGAAGTGGGGGAAGGTGTTAGCGCCACAGTGTATAGAGCTCGTTGCATTGCTCTCAACGAGAATGTAGCCATTAAAGTCATGGATCTTGAAAAATGCAGAAACGATTTGGTTTGTATCTCCAACATCTTTTAATTGTTTTTGTTAATTACCATAAATCTCCATCATTAAGGATTTATAATCTTTTTGGTAACGCAGGAGACAATACGAAAGGAAGTTCACATTATGAGTTTAATAGATCATCCGAATTTATTGAAAGCGCATTGTTCATTTATCGACCGTAACAGTTTGTGGATTGTGATGCCTTACATGTCCGGTGGATCTTGCTTTCATTTAATGAAATCTGTTTATCCAGAAGGTCTTGAGCAACCTATAATTGCTACATTGTTGAGAGAAGTGCTCAAAGCTCTTGTTTATCTCCATAGACAAGGACACATCCATAGAGACGTTAAGGTTAGTTTCCAAAACGTTACACTATCTCATGTGTTTTGATAGAGATTCATTTAGTTTTTTTTGTTATCACCTTCATGTTTAGGCTGGAAACATATTGGTTCACTCTAGAGGCGTAGTGAAGCTTGGAGACTTTGGGGTTTCGGCATGCATGTTTGATAGTGGTGATAGGATGCGTACAAGGAACACATTCGTTGGAACTCCTTGCTGGTGAGTGTTCTTGATTAGGTCTTTCAACGTTTCTTGTTTGGTTCTTGTTTTGGTTTGTTTTAGCCATTTTGGAATGTTTTTGGGTCTTCAGGATGGCACCTGAGGTTATGCAGCAAGTAGACGGATATGATTTCAAGTACGTTTTCACACTTTTTCATGTCTATCAAGAGGTTGATGTAGCATAAGTTATTGATTTTTATAATTTTTTCTAGAGCGGACATTTGGTCTTTTGGCATTACTGCATTGGAGCTAGCTCATGGTCATGCTCCATTTTCCAAATTTCCACCTATGAAGGTGAGTCCTTGCTGTATATGCACATAGAAATAATAATATTCGGCTGCTTGTGTGACCGGAATGCATCTAAAATGTGATTTGTTTTCAGGTGCTGTTAATGACATTACAAAATGCTCCTCCTCGTCTTGACTATGACAGAGATAAGAAATTCTCAAAGGTAAAGTGGGGATTAAACAATGTACAATATACAAGAAAGTAGATTCCGTTTTTGTTTGACTGAGAAAGGAACTGTGTTCTTCTTCTTGTTTTTGCAGTCGTTTAGAGAGTTAATCGCAGCATGCTTAGTTAAAGATCCAAAGAGGCGTCCAACGTCAGCAAAACTTCTGAAACATCCGTTCTTCAAGCATGCTCGGTCTACAGATTACTTGTCACGTAAAATTCTTAATGGTCTTTCTCCACTTGGTGATCGTTTTAAAAAGCTAAAGGTGAGTTTAAAAGAGTCTTCATTACTTACCTTTTTATATAATCTTGTGCAATATCTCTTATCTTGGCTCTCTATAGGAAGTAGAAGCTGAGTTGTTTAAAGGCATAGATGGTGACAAAGAACAGTTATCTCAGGTACAAAGATACTCATTAATTTATTCAAATCTCTTTGCAATCTCCATAAGATAATCCTATCTTGCTTTCTTACAGCATGAGTACATGAGAGGGATTAGTGCTTGGAACTTTGATCTTGAAGACTTGAAAAAGCAAGCATCACTTGTAAGTAAGGTCATGTCTCAAGAGTTAAACGTTACAAAACTAGTTTTTTTTTCTTTTCTTTTTTTTCACACACTCTCAATGCTTCAAAATGTTGTTCTGCTAGCAGAATCAAGATGGTGAAATTTGCCCTTCAGAGATTCAAGAAGTGAACGGAAACCGAGATGTTGAGGTTGATGTGCCAAAGAGAAACCCAGTGATACAAAGGTCAAAGACTATGTCTATGGAAATGTTCAATTTCTCAGATAAGGCAAGTGCTCTCTTTCCTTCTTATGAAGCCATTTTTTTTTGTATTTTGAGCTAACTTCTTGTCATCTTCTTGGTTCCAACTTTACAGGATTTGATGATTGTGGGTAACAGCAGTCAAACAATTGGTGGTTCCTTACTTCCTTCCTTTCGCCGCAAGTTTGTCCCGGCTATTGGGTACTCTCTCTACAACATTTCTCTTCTCTATACATTAGCACAACTTGATAACTCATTGTGTTGCTTGTACAACTTGGAAACAAACATGTTGGAGCAGATATCAAGATGGCGTCCCTAGGGTTAATGAAAGCAATGCATGTCGCTCGAGCGAAGGAGCTGTAGAAGAGACACGTCAACTAGAACCATTAGCGGATAGTACTAATCTGAGGCTCCTTCTTGAAGGAGAGCCATTGGTGGATAGTACGAAGCAGAAGCTCGCTCTTGAAGAAAAGCCACGTCAAGTGGGACCATTGGTAGATAGTACGAAGCAGAAGCTCCCTCTTGAAGAAGAGCCGCGTCAAGTTGAACCATCAGCGGAGAAGAAACCAAAGAATGGCTACACAGCTAGTCCTGTGAGCCATGCAGCTTGCACAACTTCTGAAATCCTCCCAGTGTTACAGAGTCTTCTTGTTCAGAATGACATTCAGAGGGTGTGTTGTCTCTTATAAATGCTTCTCAATGCTTCTTGTTGATATACACTCCTAAAATGTTATTTGGAATTATTTTCTGAGACTTCATTTGTTTTTCTTGACAGGAGAAAGTAATCAGATTGATTAGATTTTTTGATCGAACTGCTGGTAATGTCTCTCATTCTGTATTAGTTTTATGTTTCTTGTTTCAACTACTGAGTTTTGATGACTTGGTTTTAAATTTCTACAGAAACTGAAAATTCAATTTCAAAAACTGGAGGAGTGCAGGTTTGTTTTTTTTTTTTCCATTTCATGTGGCTTTATGTAAGGTGCCTCAAATATTTTACTAAGAGCATGAAACTTCACAGATGTATCCATCAAGAGAGAGAGAACTACAATCTCAGGTTACATTTCTGGAGCAAAGGTAATGAATGAAATAACTTCTTCCCTTTTTTTGGTTGTTTGTTAAGATTTGATCATTAAGTTGAGTTATGGTTGTTTTTTTTCAGTGTTGAGATTCTTGTAGAGGAATTGAAGAGAAGAAAAGAAATTAATGGTCAGGTAAATATGTTAAAAATCAAATGTAGGAGTAAACTCATAAAAAGATTGATATTGGAGATCATATAACAATTATACAACTAAACTGTTTATCATTTTGCAGCTAGAACGACAGATCAAATCTCTAACTAGTAGCAGCAGCAACAATATTCCTTAAGCTTAGCCATCTACCGAGGAAGACAATTCTCTTGTGTATTCAATATTTAATACTCCAGTCACTCTATTTTGCTACCATTTATCCATATATTAATTCCTCTAATCAAATCAGGAATCCGGAAGTAACAAAAGCAAACAATGAGAGCATTGGACTATTTAACAAGTCTATAAAAGTGTTTTTTTTGTGGATGATGACAATTGATAAACTCTACACACAAACTAAAATGATTTATTCAATTCAACAATCTATATCTATGTATATATTTATATATCATATATACTAATTGTGCTTCTTCTGTTTCAACCTACTCCATTATGCACCATCACCTTTGCTTAAACTTTGGCCTAATCCGGTAGATCTTTGACGTCAGTTTCTCTGCCAAGAAAAAAACAAAAATGGTAAACTGTTATTCTACAAAATAAAGAAAAATAGATTCCTTTCACAAGAAAAGTAAAGGCCTTGCTCCATAAGCAAACATTTTATATATAATTTAGCCTTAGATATTGACGTTAAGAAAAATGTGTAAATCATATAGGTCATGTGATTATCAAAATCTTGTTAAAGGAAACTTACTTTGAGTAGTAACACTCTTTAACCACTCTGATTCTTGATTATACCCACAAGAAGTTCGTCTCCAACCACTTCCCTCATCCTCCTAATTAGCTCCCATCTCCTCACCTTCCCTTTCTACAAAACAACAACAAAAAATCACATTCCAGAAACAGAGAGATCAGTCATGGATTTTGAATCAAATTGGAAAACACTATACCCTAAAATCTTCATAAGCTCTCAAGACCGCATGCATTCTTGGAGCGTCCAATGACTTTACAAGTAAAGAAAAGAGAACAGTGAAGCTAACACATGGAGACCTCACTCTTCCCAAACCACCACCGCCTCTGATGTTACCTCTAGGTCGAGAAGACTTGAAGCTCACGACATAACTCGGAAGTATGTAAGAGTTCATAGTAGAGCTCCATATCACATACTTCCTCGGAATCTGAAGATTATCAACACCAGAATCAAACTCTCTCGAGCTTGGATACCATTGTCTAGACCCAGCAAAGATCTTCTCAGGCTTCCCAAGAATCACACGGCATAAGAGAAGATGCTTGATCCCTTCTTCATCAGCTTCACAAACCAAAGCCCTGAAAACATAAAAAAAAAAAAAAAACAAATTAACATATCCGTACAATCTTGACTTTTTGACTTGATTAAGAAGTCGAAAACTTACGCAGGGAGAGAGAGCAAGTGGTGAACAAGGTGGATTCCGACGCCGTGAGATCTGACGTCGTTTTGGGATTTCTGGATTTGGCTGATGCTAAACCCGTAGAAGAGGATGTTTTGGATCTCCGGTTTGGAACCGGAGTACCAACCGAGTTTCACGTTTGCGTCTCCGCCGTTTTTCCGCTTCATGGCTTCGGTGAAAACCCTGGACGCCGTGAACCTAGCCCTTGTCGTGACTCTGTTGCTTGCGGGTGAGTTTTTGCGCATGGCGACGATCGTTGTCTCGCTGGCTAAGGGACCCATTCCGGCGAGGAAACATTTCTTGAGGACGTCGTACTCTTGGCTGTCTTCGCGGAGGAGGATCGTCGAGGCTCCGGAGTCGGTGTTTCCGGAGAAGGAATCTATGACTTCGCCGTTATCTAGGCCGGTGACGGGTTCTTGATCCTCCACTTGCGCCGCCATCATCATTGAAGAAGGAAGGAAGAGGGAGAGAGAGGGAGAGAGAATATTTCTTGGGGAATGGGAAACAAGGTTGGTGAAGGAAGGTTGTATCAATGGAGGTTTTAGGAGTTACAGTTATTATAGGTGAAAGAGAGAGAGAGGCTTTTAGCGTGGCGGTGTGTGGCATTACGGTTAAAGCAAATGCTTGGACAACAAGTTTCTTATTTCCACTTCCATCTTAGTCAATGACCATTTTGCCCTTTTCGCCTACAGATAGGAAACTTCACCATCTCAAGTTTCAAACAAGCAATTATCGAAAAAGAATTGGCGTTACCAGTCATTTAATTTGTCATAAATGGTCCGGGGTACTAAAACCTTATAACAAAATTACGTAGTTGAAGAGATGCATATATATATATATATATGGATACAAAATACATTACAGAGTTTAATCCAAACTGGTATATATGCATCTCTTCAACCGGTGTCTGTATTTCAATATTTTAGTGTCGATTTCAGCTTTTTACAGTGAAAAGAAATGTGCTGATTATGAGGGCGATGATTTTGATGAGTTCAGGTACTAGACAGTACAAAGTTGAATCCAAACTAAAGATGGTACATATGCGTGTCCATGTTTCAATGTCCGTTTCAGCTTTTACAGTGAAAAGAAATGTGATGATTATAAAGGCGATGATTTCAATGATTTTAATAAAATTTAAGACATTAAAAAACTGAACAAGAAATATCAACTAAACTAACTTCGAAACAGTAGAATTTTTTTATTATTGATACTATGAGTAGAATTGTAAAAGAAACCACACATAATCCAAATCAATTACAGTACATATGCATGTCCATATTTGAACGTCAGTTTCAGTGAAAAGAAATGTGTTGATTATGAAGACGATGATTTTGATGGTACTAATATAATTTAATAGACATTATAAAAAAAATGAACAAGATATATCAACTAAACTATTTTTGAAATAGTACAATTTTTAATTATGGATATCATGAGTAGAATCAGGCCCAATTAGTAACATATTCTACATAGGATACATCACAAGGCCCAAATGTTTTTCTTTTCAAAATTTCATTTCATTTTAGGACCTAATTTTTCATAGATATTAGTAAAGACCTAATTTTAAAAATGAACTATATAATCCATTGTGTCACATGGCCCAAATTCCTTCTAAGGTCTGAGTAGAACTGTAAAAGAAACCAAACATAATCCAAACTAATTACGGTATATATGCGTGTCCATATTTCAATGTCGGTTTCAGCTTTTATAGTGAAAAGAAATATACTGATTATAAAGCGATGATTTTGATGATATTAATATAATTTAATAGATATTATAAAACAAAAATTGGAAAGAAATATCAACTAAACTATTTTTGATATAGTAGAATTTTTAATTGTTGATATTATGAGTAGAACTGTAAAAGAAACCAAACATAATCCAAACCAATTATGTGTTCATGTTTCAATGTCGCTTTCAGCTTTTAAAATGAAAAGAAATGTGCTGGTTATTGAAACGATGATTTTGATAACTTTAATATAATGTAATAAACATTTAAAATAAAGATAAACTGAACAAGAAATATCAACTAAACTATTTTCAAAATAGTAGAATTTTTAATTATTGACACTATTGAGTACAACTGTAACAGAAACCAAACATTTGATACTGTATTTCTAAATTTATGTGATTTGAAAATCAGAAAGAGCTAACAGGCTTTACAAGTCTGGCCCATGACTGTATTAATTCGCTCTGTTTCTCTGTAATGCAGAAGTTTAAACGGATCACCGGGTCAAAATCGGGTCGGCTAAGAGAGAAGTAATCATTCAAAAAAAGATCCATCAATTTTGCGCGGTAACGCGGATTTAAAGGAGAGAGACGATCCCAAAGAGAAGGAAGCAAAAAAGAAAAAAAACAAATAATATAATAGAGAGAGTCGGAGTTTTTGGATCAAACGGTACACGACGTGCCTCCAACTTCTCATCACTGAAGATCATGGCGACCTCTTATAATCATCATCATTCCTTCCATTTTCATTTTTATTATTTTCCCGGAAAAACAAAAGAGAGAGAGAGGAGCTCCATTATTGCGTTCTTAACCTTTTGACATTGTCAAATTATTATACCGTAATGGCACGCATTTCTCCTCTCTCTCCAGTTTATAAACCCTAATTTCTTTTGTAATTAGATAACTTCTTTGTTTATTAGGTATCTTCTATATCTCAGATTTAAATTAGTTGTTTCCAGTTGCAGGACAAAGATATAATATTTTTTCTTGGTTGATTATTCAATTGTTTCTCAGTGTTCTCTTTATCAATTGAAACTTTCCTTAGTTGGTTTGGATTTTATATGGAAATTAGTATCTGAAACAGAGAGATTTCTGGGTTTGGGGATTTGAGTGAATTGTTTCTGTTTCGTTTCTGGGAAACAGAAACAATAAAGGGGAACAAAAGCAAACAAATAGAGGAGGAAGAAGAAGAAGAAAATGTCTGACTCTCCGGCTTCTTCTCCACCAGCACCGCCAGCTGATTCCAGTCCGCCGCCGGATAACTCCACCGGTGGATCTGCTCCTCCCCCTTCGGATCCAGCACCACCTCCTAGCCCGCCGGTTGTTTCATCTCCGCCTCCTGATTCATCACCACCGCCGAGTCCTCCATCTCCACCGCCGGCGACTCCTCCTCCGGAATCTAGTCCCCCGCCTCCTCTTCCGGATTCCTCGCCTCCTCCACCGGCGGACGCTCCACCTCCAGCTGCTGATCCTCCACCTCCACCGCTAGACGCTGGTTCACCGCCACCAGAGCCAACCAACTCCCCTCCACCTCCTCCCCCGGAGGAAATTGAATCACCACCGCCTCCACCAAATGAAGACCAAAGCCCTCCTGCTCCTCCTCCGCCGGAAGAAAAATCATCTCCACCGGAGTCAGAACCTGAACAGCCGAAAAAATCACCACCGCCACCACCAGCAGCACCAACAAAATCTCCTTCAGCACCAACCAACTCTCCTCCAGCTCCTCCAAACACGCCGCCGCGTAACACATCTTCTCACGCACTGCCACCAAAGTCATCCACCGTCGCAGGTGGACCATTCAAGTCACCATCTCGCGGAGTCCCCAACGTCCCTCCTCCACCAAACGGCGATGGCTACCAAGGCAAAACCATGGTCGGAATGGCCGTAGCCGGATTCGCAATCATCGCCTTGATCGCCGTCGTCTTCTTAGTCAGAAGAAAGAAGAAGAGAAACGCCGATGCTTACAGTGACTCACAATACTTGCCTCCTTCAAACTTCTCCATCAAATCAGGTCAAACAAAAAAATCTTGATCTTTAACTTCTTCTTCAAGAAACAACTTTTTAACCTAATTTAACGCTTTTGAGTCATGTAGATGGATTTTTATACGGTCAAAACCATTCAAAAGGATACTCCGGTCCCGGTGGTTACAATTCACAGCAACAATCCGGAAACAGCTTCGGGAGTCAAAAAGGGAGCCAAAGAGGCTACACACAGTCAGGTTCCACGCCTGACTCAGCTGTGATGGGGAGTGGTCAGACGCATTTCGCGTACGAAGAGCTGATGGAGATAACTGACGGATTCGCGCGGCAAAACATACTCGGAGAAGGAGGGTTTGGTTGTGTGTACAAAGGTAAACTACACGACGGGAAGCTAGTCGCGGTGAAGCAGCTTAAAGTTGGTAGCGGACAAGGTGATCGAGAGTTTAAAGCGGAGGTTGAGATCATTAGCCGTGTTCACCATCGGCATTTGGTTTCTCTTGTTGGCTATTGTATTTCTGATGTTGAGAGGTTGCTTATCTATGAGTATGTTCCTAACCAAACCTTGGAGCATCATTTGCATGGTGAGATTTTTTTTGTTACAACTTTCATTATGACAAGATTTTTGTATGTGTTTTAGCTTATATGGGGGTTGTGTTTCTTGGTAGGTAAGGGAAGACCGGTTCTAGAGTGGGCTAGGAGAGTCCGAATCGCTATTGGTTCGGCTAAAGGTTTGGCGTATTTGCATGAAGACTGTAAGTATATACTTTTTCTTGCGTGTGAAGGCAATGCTTAGGTTACTTGAAAGAGAATCTGAATCAAAGCGAGTTTGTTTATGTATGTTTTTGTTTTTCAGGTCACCCAAAAATCATTCACAGGGATATTAAGTCAGCAAACATCCTGCTGGACGATGAGTTTGAAGCTCAGGTAATAAAGAAAATCATTATCCCTTCTTTTGTACACTTCCTTGGCTCTTAAGTTTTAGTTGATGAGACTTTTTTTTTTCTTCTGTTTCTTGGTTGTTTAGGTTGCTGACTTTGGACTTGCTAAACTCAATGACTCAACTCAAACCCATGTGTCAACTCGCGTTATGGGAACCTTTGGGTAAGATTTGATCCTAGACTCTACTCTAATAGTGAAACCTAACATTTTGTAGTATCAGGTGGTTAAACTTCTAGATATGAAAATGAATGAACTAGTTTCTTTTCTTGAAATGCTTTCTTGTCAAAGATCAAGAACATATAAATTGGATTCTGTTTTCAGGTACCTAGCACCGGAATATGCACAAAGTGGAAAGCTGACTGATCGATCAGATGTTTTCTCGTTTGGAGTTGTTCTCTTAGAGCTTGTAACCGGACGCAAACCAGTCGACCAGCACCAACCTCTAGGAGAAGAGAGTCTGGTCGAATGGGTTAGTAAATACTAATCTGCAAATACTCTTCAGTTGCTGTTATATTTGGTTGGCTCTAGTTACTTAAAAGACATAATCTATGAACTCATAGGCTCGTCCACTGCTTCACAAAGCCATTGAGACTGGAGATTTCAGCGATCTTGTTGATAGACGGCTCGAAAAGCATTACGTAGAGAATGAAGTTTTCAGGATGATTGAAACGGCTGCTGCTTGTGTTAGGCATTCCGGTCCAAAACGTCCTCGCATGGTTCAGGTACCATTCTTGTAACATTTATCATGTTCTTGAAACTTTCTATCTAGTTCATCAAATTTGGTTACTTATTCTCTTCTCAAACAAAACTTGTTATTGAAACAAGGTGGTGAGAGCATTGGACAGTGAAGGGGACATGGGAGACATAAGCAACGGAGTCAAAGTGGGACAAAGCGGTGCTTATGACTCTGGTCAGTATAACTCAGACATCATGAAGTTCAGAAAAATGGCGTTTGGTTTTGATGACAGCTCAGATTCCGGCATGTACAGTGGAGACTACTCTGTCCCAAGCTCTCGGAAAGGATCCAATGGAACATCTGCTGAGTTCACGAGGAACGAATCCGAGAACCGATTCAATAACCGACGGTTCTGATTCAGAAATAGGTGAAAAACGTATACTACCTCTTCTCTTCAGGCCTTTGGCCTTATTATCCCCACATGCTTGAGCTCTCTGTACAGCATTAATGCTCCTTCTTGTATTTTTTTGTGTGAGATACATTTTCTTGCTTTAGCTACCTTTAGTTTTTGCTCCATAAGAGCCCATTTGCCTCAAAGGACTTAGGTGAGAACACAAAAAGCAAAAAAAGAAAGAAAAAGAACAAATAAAAGTTCTGAGAGAGGGATTTGAATCTTGTTTGCTTTTGTTTGTTTCTCTGTGTTTTGGGTTTCGGATTTTTTTTTTGAGTGAATGAAGAACTCCATCTTCTGATAATATGACATTTTTTTTTTTACAGATTGAGCTTGTAATTGTTACTTGTTATCTAGAACTTTTTGTTTCTTGCGTTGATATATAATTTGATCTCCAAAGTTCCATAACCATATGAAACAAAACCAATAGACCCAAAACACATAAAGACAAACACAAATAAACAAGAAAACGATAAAAAGTTAAGCAAGCTTGTGAAAGTCTCTTGTCTTATTAAGACCAGTGTCCTGACCGGAGCTTGAGGTCAAACTCCATTTTCCGGTCACTGAAACCTTACTCCATGTTTAACAACCGGAGGTGGCCCTTTCTTTCCTCCACCTCCTCCTCCTCTCTTGTTATCAAATCCAAACTCAATGTCTCCTCCGTTGCGACTAGAAGGTTTACTCATCGGACCAGAGGGTTTGCTCATTGGACCAGGACGCTTCATATCAAAGCCAAACTCCAGATCGTCACCTCTCTCTCTCGGCTCACGCTCCACAGGTCTGATCTCACGGCTCTTCTTTGACGACGGCTTCTCATGCTTTGAAGGTTTGTTGTTGTTTTTGTGATCTTTGCGGCCGCGGTTGCATAGCCTTCCAAACACACAAGCCATTGCTGCCAAGATAAGGATGGCGGCTAGAACTATGAACACTGTACCGAACGAGCCACTTGAACGAGAGGACGAAGGTGGTGCATAAGAAGATGAAGAAGTTGGATACACCACAAGAGGTTGATGAATCTCTTGTGGTTGTTGAATGTCTTGTGGTTGATCTCCCATTCTTTACTTTTGGTGGGTTTGGTGAGATATGCTTTGGGAGCTCTGTGATGTTGAAGAGTACTTTAATTTATGACACTTCCATCTGAAATGAGGCCAATATATTAGTAGCACTCTTCTCTATAAATAAAGTTTATGCAAGACATGTTTTTTTTATTTTTTGAAATAAAGTTACATATTGCTTGCTTTTGGTCGAATTGTATCAGTTTGGTTTTTTGGTTTTCTTTAATAAAAAAAGGTAATGTGGGTTTGTTTTTATTTGTTTGTTATCGACAATGTGTATTTATTTATTTTAAGAGATGCACTTTAGAACATTTTCTGATTGCTTTGTAAGAAGAGAAAGTGAGATTTTGGTTAAGAATTTTGAGATGAGACACACACAATTCATTGTTTCCGATAAAGATGGATTAAAGATTTGATGAGTGGGGATGCAGCTTTACCAATCATTGACTCTACTCTATAGATTCCCCATTACCCAATAATTTATACACCTCTTTCACTATTCTTCTTCATTCTCCAATTTTCAATTATCTAGTGCTTGTATGTATCTTGTGTATTCTTTATTGTCACAAATCTAAAATCTTGATTGTTGTAAAAGTTGGCCTAAATACCAGGAGAAAAGAAAAGAAATTTCATTTTCAAAATAAAAGTGGGATTATGGATCTACTAGTGTTGCATAAAATAATTATACACCATCAAATCTTTTGGTATTGTTGTTAATGTGTTAATTCTTCTTGTGAGCTCCTACGCGGATTATTTACTTTAACTTAAGAGAATGGAATCGGAATGTATTCAACATTGGGATTAGTGTAATGAGTTCTTTTACGTAAAATAATTGTTTTTACTCTTTTCTTTTTTTCATTTTACTTTCAAACTTTTTGTCTCCTTGAATGTCCTTTTCTTCCTCAGAAAAATGTTGAAATGTTGGAAGCGTTCACAATGTTATCTTCTTATCAATCACAGTAGCCCTTAATATGACCACCTTTAGATTTTTGAATTTTGTTTCTTTTCTCTTTCACGAAGAAAGATAAATATTCCTTGCATTAACTCCTTCAAGTCTCTTGATGAACCGAATAAGAATCACAAAAATACTTGTTAAACATTTCAAGATTGCATCATACAGTAGCATCTTCAAAATTACGCCTATTTTCAAAATTATGTATTGGTTGCTATGAAACCGGTTAAGCTGGACTGGTTCCGCATAAGCCTTAACTACATGAAATTGTACGTTTTATGCCATAACTCTTGATTACACAAATAAATTCAATTTCCAAGTTTAAAAACTTTAAGGGAATTTTCCGCTTATGAGACCGAAGCAGGCATGAGTGAAGGCGAAAAAAGCCAATAAAAAAGCAGCGAAGTCTATACACAAGAAGATAACCAAGACAACGACTATAAGGCGAGTCAAGAGATATTCCTGACAAGGATGATTGTGAGCCATCTGAAGGAGACAATGATTAAGATGATGAGCCGTTTCATTTTGATTTTGAAGCTGAATGTGTCACCCACGTTTCCTTTATCGATCTGAAATGGTCTGACCACCAGCAGGAGATTATAGAGTTTAAACATTTCAAGATTGCATAATAGATTAATAACATCTTTAAAATTACGCCCATTTATACGATAACAGCATTGATTTATGGATAACCATATCTTAATACATAAACATGTGATTGCTTCTGTATTGATTCCATCTAAAATTGTGTATTTACTATGAAACCGGTTTACCTGGACCGGTTCCATGTAAGCACTCATCAAAGGGTTAATTACTTAATTATGAGACAATATGGGCCAGGCCCATAATCACCAATCGAGCGCTTTCGGAGCCACCATTGATGACGTTTTCCAACCGAAGAACCGGCACACAGTTCCGCGTTTTTCCCAACCGGGTAAAACGGCACGTAGTTCGTGATACAGGTGGCGAGGATTTTTCAACGATAGCTTCAATCTTTTTCCGCGCAAAGACCAGCAGGAAAACGACGCGTGGCAATTCTGCTTCTTCCTCGATGGTCTCTTCTTCTCTTTTGTCAAGTCTACACAAAGAAAAAAAGTGCCACTCAAAGAACCGTAGCTAGATGATTTCGTCTTCTTCTTCCATGGAATAACGTGTTTCACATCACATGGTCCTTCTCCTTTGTGTGACCAAACACAAACAACAAAAAGCTTCCAGACGATTGGATTGGACCAAAGAAACCTGTCCGATTACGCTTTGTCGATCGCCTTGGTCCTCGATTTCGGTGAAGATTGTCGGGAAGATTAAAAGCTCAATCTCTCTCGCTTTAATGCTCGCAAAAATCGATTCTCTGATTCGGATCTGATAGCGATTTTACAGATCTTCCAGGTACTTTTTTCTGGGCTGTGTCTCTTCCTGGGTAAAAACTTTTTGCCTATCCGATTCTTAAGAAAAATCCTTAATTTAGTTGATTTACTTCAATTGCGTGATTAACTTAATCCTCATTCCATTTCCAATGCTTGAATTTCAAGCATTTTCAATCATTTTCCATTTCTAAAAAACCAAACTTTTTATGGCTATATTGGATTGAGCTCATCATGTTCATTGTTGTTGTTGTTTCTGATTGATAAAGTTTCTCTTTTTTTTTCCAGGAATGTTAAACCTTTTTGATTGTTCAATGCTTTAATACAATACACAGGACATAAAATGGGCAAGGCAGCTCCTGTTAGCAATCAGGGTCCAGACACAAACAAGAGAAATGTGGTCTCAAGTGTGTTTGATCCTGCACTCTCTCGATTCGTTGGTCTCTCTCAAAAGCTCAATGCGTGTTTTAAGGTCAGACTCTGATTCCACACATCAATGCCTTGTAAAGTTGTTATCTTTAGATCAGCTGAGAAAAAAAAAACCTCTCTTTGTCACACAGTCACACTTGAAGAATCTGACAGCTGATAATAAGCAAGGGATTGGTTCTTCATGGTGGCAAGACAGAGAAACCTCGTCAAGCTCAATCCAAATCGACTTGGAGAAACAGTTAGGTAACTGGAGAGAAAACCCTTCTTGGACAGAGCAGACTCCAGTCATCAAGGTAAGCAAAAATAAGACTCACTCCACCACACAGTCTTATCTCTTAGCCACTGAGAATCTTGACAAGAACTCTTTGGCAGGTGAGTATACCAAAAGGATCACTTTGCAATCTCAAAGCCTCGGTCAACGTTGGTCTACCTCCAGACGCAGTTTACAACATTGTGATTGATCCTGACAACAGAAGAGTCTTCAAGAATATAAAGGTACTAACTTTCTTCTCCACCAGAGAGTTAAAAGCTTCTAGATTTATCATCAAGCCATTGTGTGATCACATCGTAGGAGGTTATGTCGAGGAAAGTAGTGGTAGATGAAGGGTTAAGACAAGTAGTGGAAGTAGAACAAGCAGCGTTGTGGAGGTTTCTATGGTGGTCAGGAACAATCTCAGTCCATGTCTTGGTTGATCAAAACAGAGCAGATCACTCTGTAAGTTTAAAAAATGTCTTTTTTAAGTCTTTCTTTCTTTAAAGTCTCTACCTTTAGATGGTTTGTGAAAGTGGAAATGTGTTTTTTTTTTTTGGCAGATGAGATTCAAGCAAGTGAAGAGCGGTTTCATGAAGAGATTCGAAGGGAGCTGGAAAGTGAAGCCATTGTTTGTGGACGAAGACATGTGCGATCGTCTGAAACCGAAGACGGTTGAGGAGTATAACCGGTGCACCGGAGGTAAAGGGAGGATCGGTTCCAAGGTGACGTTAGACCAGCTGATACAACCGGCGATTGTTCCGCCGCCGCCTATTTCTTGGTATCTGAGAGGGATCACAGCCAAGACTACAGAGATGCTCATCAATGACTTGTTGGCTGAGACAGGTAGGATCAGAAGAGGTTTTGCCGCAACCGCAGGAGATACAGGGGATAGTGATGAGCAAGGGATTGTGAAATCGGAAGATATCAAAGAAAGATGGGCTAAACATAGAAGAACATCAAGAAGACGACGGCGCAAGGATTTGTGGTGATCCAAAATTCTTGTAATAATAATGATATGAGTTTTCAAAAACAAGAAAGCAATAATAACATTCAATATACAAAAACTATATAAATTGGTCTTGTAGTAAGTTTTTAGGTGCAAGAAATGTCTACTTGCACAATCAGATCACTCACACCCAAATAGCAAAAGGGTTTCACATAATCTTCTTTTGCATCATCAGGCCTGAGCAAAAGCAACACAGAGGAAAAGTAATAAGCGTTACAAGAAAATTTTGTTATATTGTGTTTGTTGAAACTTATGTTGTTACCTTGCTGGAGATGTTGTTTGATAGCCACTCTAGACCTTCGTAGAGACCTACACCTGAAGTGGCGCATGTGCTCTGAATGTACCTGTATAGATTGAACATAAACTTAGAACACAACAAGGGTTGTTTGAGTTTTGAAACTTGTTGGAGTCTTGGAGATGTTTAGTTTTACCAGTGACGCTGACGCATGGAGTGAAGGCCAAGCTTATCTGTGATCTCAGCTGCATTCATGGCGTTTGGAAGATCTTGCTTGTTGGCAAACACAAGCAACACAGCATCACGCAGATCATCCTACCCAAAAAACAAAACCGGAAGATAGAGTTTGGTAAGTATAGATTCGTAAACGATTTAGATAATGATGAAGAAAAAACTCTATGAACCTCATTGAGGATCCTGTGAAGTTCATCTTTAGCCTCAAAAACTCTGTCTCGGTCGTTACTGTCCACAACAAAGATAAGACCCTGAGTGTTCTGAAAATAGTACTTCCACAAGGGACGGATCTAATAGAAGAAGCAAACAAAAGTTAGTTTATTTAACTAAGACTTCATCAACAAGTAATAAGCTTTGAGAAGCTTCATTACCTTGTCCTGACCACCAACATCCCAGACAGTGAAACTGATGTTCTTGTATTCCACAGTTTCCACATTGAAACCTGTTGATAGTTTTATCACTAATCGATCCTCTAGTTATATTAATATAAGCATAACAAGTATTTATGGTGTGAAGCTAACCAATAGTGGGGATGGTGGTGACAATTTCTCCAAGCTTGAGCTTGTACAAGATAGTGGTTTTACCAGCAGCGTCAAGACCAACCATCAGAATTCGCATCTCCTTCTTGGCAAAAATCTGGCTAAATAGCTTCGCGAAACCTAACCCCATTTTGCTGCTTTACCAAGATAAAAAAAACACAACAAGTACAAGAAACAGAGACCAGAGAGACCAAAGAAATTTGAAAGAGAGAGAGAGAGAGGGCTTAAGAGAAACGGTACGAGACCTAAATCTAAAGTGAGAAGAGGGTTTATATAAGGGCAAAAAGGTAGAGGCTTGTGCGTCACGAAAATACCCTTTTGAATCTTCTTCCATGACTTATCAATCCAATAAGAAATTGACACGTAGACAGTGACTCTTTTTTCTTAAGTGCTACTTCATGTACGTCATCTGTCGATGTTGTCTGACCAATAGTTAAGTGCCATGTCATGATTACTGTACCTCTTAAATTCTTCTTTGAAATCACTTGTTTTGTAAAAACAAAAAAAAAAAAAATAGAAAAAAGAAAAGTAAACAAAAAAGGAAATCAACCAACAAAGGAAATTGGAAAAAAAAAGGAAAATCATGAAGAAGATGCAAACAAGAAAAAAGGAAACTTTAACGATAATTTAGGCGAACAAACGTTTCCTAAACCGACTATCTTTGCAGATAAATAGAGAGACAGAGCTTTTGACAACATTAGTTTGAGAAGCTTACGAAAAAAAAACAAAACCTAATAGATTACTGAGAGGTATAATAGAGTGTCCCGTCTTTGTTTCGACGAGCTCTACTCGATTGGTAAAAGTATGTCGTCATCTAGAAATCTGAAGAAGATGAGAAGATCGTCATCCAGAAATCTGAAGAAGATACTCGCTAGGGTTCCTGTTAAAGACTTGACGCGGTTTGTGTCTGCAAAAGTTGGCGGTCGTTGTTCCAAGACGAGAGGTTTATCAGACAGCACAGGACCTCATGCCCCAACGAGGATTGTGTCGTTCCGTAAATGGAATACTCGACCTTGTCTCCTTTCTTATTCATCAAGTGGGAAGCCAGAGGTGATAGTCGAAGAGATTAGCTTGAACATCGGAGATGAACACGACCTTCTCAACGCTAATCCGATTGGTCAATGCCATGGACTCTTTTGCTTAGATCTTGATGAGGATGATGCTTTTGGTGTTTGGAACCCTTCACTGAGAGAATTGAGAAGAATAGAAATAGAGGGTCTCAATGACTACGGTGAGATGGGTTTTGGCTATGACCACTCCTCTCAAGATTATAAGATTGTGTTTGTTCTTGAGACGCAAGGAAGCGACTCGAAAGCACTAGTGCTGTCTTTAAAGTCTGGTGTGTCTCGGATGATTGATTTCCCGCGTTTAGAAAACGTTGTCATGTCCCACATGAGAGAACCTGGAACCCTAGTTGGTGAAAATATCTACTGGCAGGTCTATGGGGATGGTGGAAAAGCAACTGAGACGTTTTTGAGGTTTGATTTGGTGTCGGATACGTTTAGTTACTGCAAAGGTCCAAGTAACTGTGGTGAAGATGTTCTTCCTCATATTACAGCGGGTTTGAGAGGAGGAGGTCTATGTACAGTACAGGTTAGTCCCTGTGGTGATATCATCGTTTGGTCTGCTCAACATGAAAAGGACAAGATTGGTGGTGGTGGTATCAAATCTTGGAGCAAGATTTGTAGTCTCTCGCGGGCGGTTCTTGAACGCGCGGTTAGTCGTGGTATCGATTATATTTGTCTAAGGTCTGCGGTAGCTTATGCGGGATTGCTATTATTATTAGTAAGTATTGAAGGAAAAGAAGCAAAGTTGCTTGCGTACAACTTCGAGGATAAAAGTTTGACGTGTGTTGAGACAAATTTGCCCATCGATAGCTGTGGTGATCTTCAGACGTATGTTGAAACCCTTGTCCCTATTCCTAACGCTTCTTGTTAGGTTTTAAGAGTTTCGAGCTTTACTTGTTATTATATATATTTTTTTTTGTATCTATCTGTAAGACTGTAACGAAAAATCTCACTTGCTTGTTGTTGAATCAATGCATTTTCAACCTTATACCTAGTTACGTACTCTAGATATCTCATATCGCTCTTTAGTTCTTTCTTTACCATGAAAAGTAAACAATTAAGGAACGCCAAAATATTATTGTAAATTAGGAGACAGTCTTGATTTGATTATTGCTTGTTAATGAAAGAGACGAGACCTTAGCACGAATGAAAAAGAAACAGACAAACTAACTTATTTTTAAGATAAGCAAAATTATGAGACTTGGTAGTACTTTGTTTCCAAGGCTCATCGTGACTTCCATTTTTATACTTCTTTAATCATTTCTTCAAAAAGGTCACCGCTTCGTGACTTCCTCTAATTTCAGGTGATCAAATTTGTAACTATCAGCCTCTACGGTTAAAACTGAAAACGCTTTGAAAGTTACTTGTATTAGTTTATTACTAATACTATTAGTCTATGACTAAGTATACTAGCCAAACCAAACGATTACATATATGTTTACGAATATCTAAACTTTTTGAATTGTTTGTTTCATTTGGCGTTTTATTTTTCTATAATTTTTTATCTTTCAAAACACTCAAAATCTCTTTAAAGGACGAGTCAAACCCTATGACGTTCGATGGTTATATTTTTCGATTGACCCTCTCAAGGACTGTGCTCTCGGGAAAAAAAAAAACAATTCGCCAAGGCAATGGGAGCACGTACGAAGAAAGAGAAATGCTTATATTTTTTCTTGTTTTAAAAATAAGAAATATGCTTTCTAATCTCTAAGATCAAATTAACATTCTTCTTAGAGATGATTTTATGCAGAGAGTGGCACGAAAACAAAAAAAAATATTCCAACACGAATTGTGATGTTTTGAGGGTAGATAAGTACTCACATTTCACTTATTGAAAAAAATCCAACCGGAAAATGAATCAGAAAATCCTCTAGATTTACGGTAAATAATTTCAAAAAATATAATCAAATCTTATTTTGGTCACCTGAAAATACAGTTCATATCTTACAACACTAAATCCAAAATACTTTAATCTCCAAGGTGTTATTACGGTAGAGAAATTTAGTTGCAGACTTTGTACAGAAGGAAAGATATTCAAATAATATTTTTCACTTTGAAAGCGAATCTATTAAATGTGAACTTGTAAGAAGATGACATGTGGAATATTAATTTTGTTAATTAATTTACTTTTCAACCAAAGACTCTCTCCGTACTTCCATTTCCACGGCAAAGACTAGTTTCGTTGCCGGTTTAGACAAAGTGATTTCACAATTCTCTCTCTCTTTCTCTCCGGTCTCTCCGGCCATCTTCCGTTTCTCACCTCCTCCGGCGATAATTTTTAAAATAATTGAGAAATTCCCATTTTGCAAGAGCACGAAAGCCGTTACAAAGCTGAAAGAGTGAAGCTTTTTCCCTTCATTTCCGGAGGAGTCATCGGTTTCAATTTCAATTTCATCGGAGCTTCTCCTTCTCAACTCCCGAAGCTTTTAGAGTTGAAATTTCTTTCTGCGAAGCCGTCTGTGAAGAGAATCTCAACAAAAAAATTTGGGGTGGTGTTGGAGAGAGAGAGAGAAAGCACGGAATTTGATGGTTAGAACGGCGGAGACTTCACGTAGTCTGTTTAGCTTAGGATGACCGGTGCTGGTGCTTCTTCGCTGTGTGATCGGAGAGGGTTTCTGAATCTCGGCGAGCCTCTCTCATGGAATGGCTGATCTTGTGAGCTACGGTTATGTCGAGCGAGACATCGAACAGGTTCTCTCTCTTCTCTCTCTCTCTATTGATGAACACATCGAATTTTGGTTTTTGAATGCTGTTAGATGAAAATGTACAACATAAAAGAGAGATTTTTATTTCGATTTCTGATTAAAAACTTGTACTTTCTGACTCAGATCTTTAAAAAGCTCTTCTCTTTTTTCATTTGCAGGCTCTGATTGCTTTGAAGAAAGGTGCTCAGCTCCTGAAATATGGCCGGAAAGGAAAGCCTAAGTTTTGCCCCTTTAGGCTCTCCAATGTGAGTCTGCTTTGATCACACATCAGCCTCTTGTTTTGGTTGATCGCTTACTTACCCACATTGGACATGTTGATTTCCAGGATGAGACCTCTTTGATCTGGATTTCAAATGGTGGAGAGAAACGCTTGAAGCTAGCTACTGTATCTAAGATTGTTCCAGGACAAAGAACTGTAATTTCCCTAAAGTTTCTACCTTTTTGATGCAGCAGCTAAATTGCCAGTCTTTTGACTTTGATCATATGTTTAATTTACTGTCCAGGCTGTTTTCCAACGTTACCTTCGCCCTGAAAAGGACTATTTATCTTTCTCTCTCGTATACTCCAACAGGAAGAGGACTCTTGACGTGGTTGGTGAATCAAAACTTAAGTTACTCTCTCATTAGCTTCTGTAACTGAATTGGTTTTGAATTATTTTCAGATTTGCAAAGACAAAGTTGAGGCAGAGGTTTGGATTGCAGGCCTAAAAGCCTTGATAGCTGGTCAGTGTGGCCGTGCTAAAATCGACGGCTGGAGTGACGGAGGCCTCTCTGTTGCCGTAAGTACCTAAAGCAGATTGCTTTCAGTGTTATTATTGGTGTTGCAAAATGGATTCTTGAAGTTTTTGTTTTGGTTACAGGACAGCAGAGACTTGACATTAGGCAGTCCTACAAACAGCTCGGTGTGTGCTTCTGTTCTCGAGACGCCTTACAATTCAACCACTTACTCCAAGTCTTCAAGAACTGAGAACTCCGTGAGCTCTGAGAGGTCACATGTGGCGTCGGATATCAGCCCAAACATGTTAGTACGAGGACCTGGATCAGACGTGTTCCGGGTTAGTGTCTCTAGCGTTCAAAGCGCAACAAGCAGTCACGGCTCTGCTCCAGATGATTGTGATGCATTAGGTGATGTTTACATATGGGGTGAAGTGCCGTGTGATAAGAACGCCAAGTTTTTAGGCTCAAAGTCTGATGTTCTTGTTCCGAAGCCGTTGGAATCTAATGTAGCTCTGGATGTCCATCACATATCGTGTGGTGTTAAGCACGCTGCTCTAGTGTCTAGACAAGGCGAGGTGTTTACTTGGGGTGAAGAATCAGGAGGACGTCTCGGCCATGGAATGGGGAAAGATGTGACTGGTCCACAGCTTGTAGAGTCTCTAGCTGTGTCTTCTGTTGATTTTGTTGCCTGTGGTGAGTATCATACCTGCGCTGTGACAATGACTGGAGAGATTTACACTTGGGGTGATGGAACACACAATGCAGGACTTCTTGGACATGGTACTGATGTAAGCCACTGGATACCAAAGAGAGTCTCAGGTCCTCTTGAAGGTCTTCGAATCGCTTCTGTGTCCTGTGGACCTTGGCACACTGCTTTGATAACTTCGACTGGACATCTCTTCACTTTTGGGGACGGGACGTTTGGTGTGTTAGGCCATGGTGATAGAGAAACCGTTTTTTACCCGAGAGAAGTCGAGTCTTTATCCGGTTTGAGGACTATAGCCGTTGCCTGTGGTGTATGGCACGCTGCTGCAGTAGTGGAAGTCATTGTGACTCAGTCAAGTTCGAGTGTTTGTTCAGGAAAGCTTTTCACTTGGGGTGATGGTGACAAGAGCCGTCTTGGCCATGGAGATAAAGAGCCTCGGCTTAAACCAACATGTGTATCAGCTCTGATTGATCATAACTTCCACAGAGTTGCTTGTGGACATAGTTTAACCGTTGGGTTAACCACGTCCGGGAAAGTTTTCACGATGGGAAGTACGGTTTACGGTCAGCTAGGGAATCCAAATGCTGATGGGAAGCTTCCTTGCTTAGTAGAGGATGATAAACTAAGTAATGATCACTGTGTTGAAGAAGTAGCTTGTGGAGCTTATCATGTGGCGGTGTTAACATCTCGGAACGAAGTGTTTACATGGGGGAAAGGCGCCAACGGGAGGTTAGGCCATGGAGATGTTGAAGATCGTAAAGCGCCAACTCTTGTTGATGCTTTGAAAGAGAGACATGTCAAGTATGTTTCATGTGGTGCAAACTTTACAGCAGCGATATGTCTTCATAAATGGGTCTCTGGTAGTGAGCAGTCTCAATGCTCAGCTTGTAGGCAAGCGTTCGGATTCACAAGGAAGAGTCACAACTGTTACAACTGTGGGCTTGTCCATTGCCATTCTTGCAGCTCCAAAAAGTCGATGAAAGCTTCTTTAGCTCCTAATCCGGGGAAGCCTTACCGCGTCTGCGATTCTTGTTACTCCAAACTGAGTAAAGTCTCTGAAGCCAAGAACGTTATGCCACGTCTCTCCGGTGAGAACAAGGACAGGTTGGATAAAACTGAGCTGAGACTGGCGAAATCTGGAATACCTTCAAAGATAGATATGATCAAGCAGCTTGATAGCAGAGCAGCTAGGCAAGGAAAGAGAGGAGGAGACACGTTCTCTCTCGTCCGCACTTCTCAAACGCCTCTGTTGCAGCTTAAGGACGCTTTGAGTCGTGGACCATTGAAACCAGCCGTGACTCCTTCTGGCTCAAGATCTGTTTCACCGTTCTCAAGAAGATCGAGTCCTCCTCGTTCTGTTACTCCCATTCCTACAACCGCTGGTCTTGCCTTCTCAACGAGTATCACTGAGAGTTTGAAGAAGACTAATGAGCTTCTGAATCAAGAAGTTGTTAGATTGCGCGCTCAGGCCGAGAGCATGAGGCACAGATGTGAGGTGCAAGAGTTTGAAGTCAAGAAATCTGTGAAGAAAGTGCAAGAAGCGATGAAACTTGCAACAGAGGAATCCACCAAATCAGAAGCTGCCAAAGAAGTTATCAAATCACTTACATCACAGGTTACTCTCTTAAAAACCGTCTCTGTATACATTCTTGAAATGTGGTTTTTACTAACAAGATTTACATTTTTTGTAACGTTTTCAGCTGAAAGATATAGTTGAGCTGCTACCACCAGGTGCGTACGAAACTGAGACAACACGGACGGCTAATTTGCTTAACCGGTTTGAGCAAAACGGGTTCCACTTTGCTAATGGACAACAACGTCCGTCGCGGTCTGATTCAATGAGCGACACCTCTCTTGCATCGCCCTGGAGAAACTCTCCTTCGCCGAGAAACACAGATGCAAGCATGGGGAGAGACGAGCTTCAAAGCGACGGTGTTCGGATCAGTAACGGTTTCTCAGAAGATGGTGACACCACTCGGAGAAACTCGAGAACCTCTGCAGCGTCAACGTCCAATGCTTCACAAGTGGAAGCTGAGTGGATCGAACAGTACGAGCCTGGTGTTTATATAACACTGCTGGCTCTTGGCGATGGAACTAGAGATCTCAAACGTGTGCGGTTTAGGTAAACTAGAGATCAACTTCTTTATATCTCCAAATGGATTTCTAGAGATTCTTGATTTGATAGCAATGTGGTTTTGTGTGTCTGCAGTCGGAGAAGATTCAGGGAGCAACAAGCAGAGGCATGGTGGTCTGAGAATCGTGAAAGAGTGTATGAGAAGTACAACATTCGTGGTACGGATAGGTCAAGTGTGCAGTCTCAGTTTCAGTCATGAACCAAAAAAACAACAATGAAAAGTAAAGTAAATGCATAGGAGAAGAAGCATTTAGCCTTGTTTTTGTATATAGAGAATTTAATTTTGCTATTTACAAAAATGTTTGTCGTGAGTTTGATGATTTTTTTTAACTAATCGACTCATTTCTAATGATTAACTAACTTCATGAAGCATGATGATGTTTAAGCTTTTCTCTTATGTTTCGTCTCTTTCCTCTCCCTCAACTTCATGCCGTTTAGATTTTTGTTAACCGAACTGCGCACAGTTTCTCTAATTCGAGTATGGTTCGTCTCCTTCTTCAACTTCATGCCGTTTAGCTTTAAATTTACCACACTGCGCACAGTTTCTCTATTTCGAGTATTGTTCAGTCAACTTCATGCCGTTTTAGATTTCTCTTTACTACACTGTGCTCAGTTTCATTTTCTCGAGTATCATCATCATCATCTTCTCCTTCCTCGCCTCCCTCAGCTTCCTCAAATCAGCCATGGAAGCGAGACTCTCCGAAACTCTTGGCCTCCCATCTCCGAATCCCAACCACTGCCATGTCCCTAACGATTTCAATTCCCTCTTCACTCATTTCTCCAATCTCACCTCCGTCCAAATCCCGATCGCCAGAAACTCCGAAACCAAACTCAAACGCTCCCGAAAATCACCGCATTTCTCAGAATTCACTGCGAATTCCAGGAGATCTCTACCATTTGCGTCTACATCAGTCTCGAATCCTAAACCGGAATTCCTGAAATGGATCAAACCGGCATCACGAAACAGCCCCAAAATTCAAACACTGATGAAGAATCTCTCCGTCTTCGAACGAGCCCTAATCGGAGCAGGAGCCGGAGGAATCGCCGGCGCGTTCACGTACGTCTGTCTCCACCCGTTAGACACGATCAAAACCAAGCTCCAGACGAAAGGCGCGTCTCAATTGTACAGCAGCAGCTTCGACGCGATAGTGAAGACCTTCCAATCCAAAGGGATCCTAGGTTTCTACAGCGGCGTCTCCGCCGTAATCGTCGGCTCCACGTTCTCCTCCGCCGTCTACTTCGGCACCTGCGAGTTCGGTAAGTCCCTCCTCTCCAAAACCCTAGGATTCCCTCCGGTGCTAATCCCGCCGACCGCCGGCGCCATGGGAAACATAATCTCGTCGGCGATAATGGTTCCTAAAGAGCTAATCACACAGAGAATGCAAGCCGGAGCTAGCGGAAGATCGTACCAAGTCCTGCTCAAGATTCTCGAGAAAGATGGGATTTTGGGGCTTTACGCTGGCTACTCCGCCACATTGCTGAGAAATCTACCGGCGGGAGTGCTTAGCTACTCGTCGTTCGAGTACCTTAAAGCCGCGGTTTTGGAGAAGACGCAGCAGAACAATCTCGAGCCGCTGCAGAGCGTTTGCTGCGGCGCGTTGGCCGGTGCGATATCCGCGTCGATCACGACGCCGTTGGATGTGGTGAAGACGAGGCTCATGACGCAGATTCACGGCGATGCGGTGAATAAGCTCGGTGCTGCGATGTACACAGGTGTGAAAGGGACTGTGAGGCAGATTCTGAGTGAGGAAGGTTGGGTTGGGTTCACGAGAGGGATGGGTCCTCGTGTTGTGCATAGCGCTTGCTTCTCTGCGATTGGTTACTTTGCGTTTGAGACTGCGAGGCTTACGATCTTGAATGAGTATTTGAAGAGGAAACAAGTCTCTGAAGCTACTGTTGTTGTTGTTGTTGATGATGCTGATTCTTGAAAGGTTTAAGCTTTAGGCTTTATTCTTTGTGACTAAACAGAGTTGCTGCATTGCATTTTGATTCTACTATTTGCTTCACTTGCAAGCTATTTATATTAATTTTGTGAGTTGCTAAAGTGAATGCGTACAAACTATGTTATGTATACTGTATTAAAACAACAAACCCTCACTACAATGACTGATCAGAATCCGATCAACTTAAAGCTCGTCGTGAGCATTTTCAGCTTCTTTCTCTCCGAGCATAACGGTTTCTGCCGAATGGTGAGTTTGGTTGCAGTCGCTCTTGTCTTCATGCGAGTCTAGACAATCGGCGGAGGGATTAACAACTCCATAACCAAACCCTTCGGCTGAATTACAGTATGCTTCGACTTTGCCGTCTTTGCCTTCCAAGTTGACATTGTTGAGGACAATGTGGCTGCAAGGGACTGCGTCACTGCAAGCGAATTTGATGGCTTTGGGACTTATTGTGGTTCCGGTTATGTTCCTGTACATTATCTCGGTTATGTGAACCGCCGATGTCTTCAAAAAGAAGGGGGAAAAACAAGAAAAAAAAGACTAAGATTAGTTTCTTTCTTTGTTGAGGTTTCTTGAGCTCAATGGTTTTTGTGAAAGAAGAAACCTGGTTTTGACAAGTTGATGGTGAATCACAGTAGAATTGATCGATTAAAATCGGATTTTTAACGTCCTGCATCACTACGTTTTCAAAACGTACACCCTTTACGTAACCATTACCACCCTGTTTAAAAGATAATATCATAATTCAATCATGAAGCAAAGCAAAGAAAAAAAGAAAGAACCAAGGCTCAAGAAGTGAGATTTTCACCTGCCATGTCTTGATTCTTAGACCATTAGTTGTGTTCTTTAGAAACGCAGTGTCCAACACAATTGCTGAAACGATTCCTGTCGAGTTTCCTTTTCCAAGACTTCCAATGCTTCAAAAGCAAGAAATTGTAACCAAGAATTGGAGATGATGTAATGTAACAATCCTTTGTTTGACAAAGGTGAGAGATGGTTTTACCTAATTCCATGTCCTGGTCCACAATAGATCTTCTTCATCTTTATCCGCGAGCTTGAACTCACAATTGAGACACAATCATCTCCTGTTTTCAAATATTATGAGTTTGAGTTTAATACAGTCATAGTAGCAGATTAGTATTTTTGGAGTTTAATATAAAGAACCTGTGCTGATTTTACAGTCTTGGATTATAACATTAGTCGATGAAGTAATATGGATTCCATCAGTGTTTGGACTATCTCCTGGAGATGTGACCATAACTCTAGAGATTCGAACTGTGTTTGACCGTGATATGATCAAATGCATCTGTTGGCTGTTCCTTATTGTTAGTCCTCTCACATAAACAGCTGAACTTGAATCTATAGTTAGTGCCTGTAAATTATGAAGAGTTTAATATAAGCAAAACTAAACGGTCGAAGAACACAAAAAGGGTTAAGAATTATTCGTACCGTTGGTGCGCCTACACAAGGCTACAAGAGAACAGAAAGACATGTGTGTTAGAATTGTTTAGTGTAGAACTAATTTGATGCGTTTTATGTTGAAAAAAAGTTAGATTTACGTTAGAAAAGAAGATCTTACGTTAGTTTTGTTCTTCTTGCAAGAAGCAGCCCACCATTTGGCACCAGAACCATCTATAACACCATTTCCTTGGAATAGAACACCTTGGAGCTTAATAAATTCGAGCCAAACCCTTTGAAAATGCGGATCCCATTGGCTGGGATCATCTGGTGCCACGATTGTTCCATCAATCTATATAAATCAAAGTTTTTTTAAAAAAAAATGTATAAGATTATGTTCTGTATTCAGGTATAGCAATAAAAAAAAAGAATTAATCAACTTCAAAAAAATGTTAAGAACTTGACCTGAATAATCAAATTTTCTTGACATGGACCTTTGAATTTCGTTGCATTTACTAAATATTGTCGTCCATGTGGAACCAACAACACAGAATTTGGTGCAGAGCAAGCTATCTTCCAAGCGCTTACAAAGGCATGTGTGTCATCAGAAACTCCATCTCCAGCCGCACCAAAGCTATCCACATTCACCAGATTCTTACCAGAAAATTGGCTTGTAAACAAAGAGAAATCAAAGAAGGTCACATCATCGTCAATATCATCCTCAGGCACATCGAGGTTCTCAAGGTTCCCAAGAATGTCAAGCTCTCTATACGCCGCAGCTCCATAATAAGAAGCTAACATAGAAAAAGCCAAGAGAGAAACAACAAAGAGCTTATTCATCATCTTATGCTTCAAGAAAATGCGACAAGATATTGTTCAGCTTTGTATAGTTAAGCAATGAGACGTTTTTGCAAAGATGAAAATTGATTTGTAATGACCAATGAGATGATGATACATAGTTTGGATTTATTTATAAGCGGACTAATTAATGGGATGTCTTTGGGTTTTGTATTGGCTTGGCTTAAAAGTAAATGAAGGAAAGCCCTTATTTTTCAACACATCTAAACTTAAAGCACAAGAAATGTGCATATCCACTTTCTTTTGCTTCACTCAAAAACCTCTACATAGATTTTACTGGTCAAAATAGTTGTGAGTGTTTGTCCTCGTGAGATCTAGAAGACCCAACGAGAAAGAAGATCTTTGTTCGTTCAATGGATTTGGTCGTTTCTCTTTTCAACAATGGTTTACAAAACTAAAACGCTTTTCTTTTTACAAAAATGCATATTTATTACATTCTTCACTCCATTTTGTTATTGTGCTCAGCTATAATTGTCTCTGTTTCTGCTTTAAAAAAAAATAAGAAATAATAATCTCTAATGGGTTCTATCATTTGATGACATTGCCATGATTTTCCCTCCATCTTCCATTCATGTATGCTTTTTAGAAAAATACATAAGAAAGTAAAACGTGATTATTAATGAAATATTTTATGAAGAAACTGTTGAGCTTTTACCTTATCAGTCCTTTGCTAAAATCTTAAGCGTCAAAGAAACAACACCACCAGCTGCACAAAACGAATTGACTTGACCACTAGTTGCCAAAATGACCTGATTTCCGGTTCGGTTCCGGTTGAAAACCGAAATTATGTTTTGCACACTGTTTAATAAACCCAAACCGGAGCCGATTTTCACTGTTCACCTCTGGTCTATGGCTTTGCACTCTATCAATGTCAGACTCATTACCGTTGCATGCTATCCTCCACGCCACGGTTATTTCTCTTTTGTGATTTGTAGTCCAGTATCGTGTCTTTGATATCCCATTCATCAAAATACTCAAAGACTTGATATGCAATGCTTGTTCTCAATGGGTCAAAGATATGCTTAAAACAAATATGTATCTTCCTAAAGTGTCACTTTGTATGAATTAAGTGAGTAAGGAGTTAGCTTAGTTTAAAAAGCTAACTTTTTGAAATACTCATTTCCTGCACCACAAGGTTCTCCTACAAAAAACCTTTCAACGAACCATATATTAAACTAAACATATCTTACCGTACCATACAAGTTACATCATTAATCGAAACACAAGCAGCCATAACGCCCCATAACCACAGGGAATTGCCTTTCGAAAGCATCACAAGAACTTAACGAGCGTTTTAGCATTGTAAACCATTGTTGAAAATAGAAAGAACAATGTCCATTTCAGCCTTCTTCAGGCACATTCCGATCTCAACGCCCCCTGATTCGTCACGACTCTCTGCCATTGACATTGCACCTTGGTCAATGGAGACAACATCAACCTTAACCGGTCTTCCCCACCCGAAATCCGATTCATACACTCCCAACCGGTTCGACCCGGCTACCGACCAGAACTGTGAGCTCTCTCCCTGAGAATCAAACCCATCCGCAAATTCTTTAGCGATCGTCTCTATCTTTCGTGAACTCAAGCCTTTGACTAAACCGCTGAGAATCTCAACCGCATTTACAATCCTTCTCTCCTCCGCAAATCTGCCGCCTTGCGGTTGTAGCTACCGCAGGAAACATGCAGTTTCCGAAGTAGGTCGCCGGAAGCGGCGGATCCAACCGCTCTCTGAAATCTCCAACGAAAGGAAACTCACGGATCGCTCACCGTTTCCTCCACGCGCCTTCACAAAGCAGGTCCACGCGTAGGCAAGCGATGACAAAAGTCGACAAGTGGAGCGGCCGGTCTGGATTCCTCTTGACTCGCTCCCGGAGTCTCTCGACGTCATCACGACACAGCACGACCGTGGCGAGGACGACGTCGTCTCCAAGTTCTCCGGCGGGAATCGGACGAAGGCTTCTCTCGTTGGTTGTCTCCTCTTTGAGAGATCTCACAATCTTGATCATCTTCTCGTCGAGTCCGGTTATGTCTTTGATCATAGACCGATCAAGAGACGGAGTTATAACCTCCGGTAGTGAGACGCTGTTTTCGTGTTTGCAGGAGTGAGCCCAAGCTTTGATGAACATGCTTGACGTTTTTCCGTCCAAAACGGCGTGGTGTGCTGCGACACCGATGGAGAATCCTTGGTCCGGGAACAACGTGATTTGCAGAGAGAACGCGGTGGCTGAGTCATCGGAAACGGGTAACTCCGGCAGCAAAGTGTGTAACTCGGAGACTGGACGTTGTCCGTAGCCGGAGAGACGAGAGAAATCAGAGTCGGTCTCTGCTATTGTCACTGACACAGCGTCGTCTTGAGAGACGACGATGCTCGGCTTGGGCTTGTTTGGCTCCCAGGTGATGCGGCCGGAGAGAGGGAGGTAGTTGCGGAGGACGAGGGAAAGGGAGAGTTTGAGTTTAGGGAGGATGAAGGAGTGGAAATGCTCACGAGTCGACTCGGTGAGTCTGTAGAAGAAGACTCGCTTGACTGGGTGGAATACTAGCCAAGGTATGTCGAAGAAAGTCAACGGGATTGTGAGCGAGTTGGCCGAGTCGGGGATGACTCGTGCAACCTCAACGACGACTAGTGTCATTTGGTTTTGGTTACAGAAGGAGGAAGAGAGTTTGAAAACGTTTTATGCACAAACGAGCTTACCATATTATATAATTTGTTGACCCCATGTCTTTTATATTCCAACTATATTCTGAGCCAAGTCACATATTTTCAACTAGCTCGTTAAACTATATTTTGAAAATGTTTTACGTACAAGACTACTAGATAGTCTTTAATTAAGAGTGATTTGTTTGATCCAATTCTTGTGGAACCGGTTTGTCCTTTCTGACATTGTCCACGTTCATGTTGTCCTCCTTCATCTTCCTTTTTCTTCAAGTTTAAACAAATTTCGAGACGTGACAACATAAAAAACAAGGTTTTTCAAGTTCCCTCTCTACAAATTACACTCTCTTACTTCTCCTCTGTCAAGATGATTTCTCCATTGAATTCGGCCATTGCATACATGGACTGGAGGAGGACCCTACAGACTCTAAAGGAGCCATGTCTTTATGACTGAAAACCGAGTTCCCTAAATAATTGAGTCTATTAACTTCTTCAAGTTTTTCCAGGTTTGGACGAGCAAATTTAGTAGAGGAAGCAAAATGCTAGCTACAACACCAAAACTTCGTATCCAACTATTGTACCGTGATCTAGTTTTCATAAATATTGGACATCAAACGCATTTAGGGAGGGACCAAATCCATCAGATATGATTAACTGTTTAAAACAGAGTAAAATTTGGGATCAGGGATCATAGAAATTTTATGTTCTAGGCATCCAAATGGAAAGCCTAATCTAGATGTAGAGATTGTAACCACCTTAAGCCTCTCCTTGGCAGCGTCTCTCGTCTCTACTTCTTCCTTCTTTCTGAAGAGCATACAAACTTAAGATTTACAAAAAAATGAATTTGGTTATAAAAATGAAAGTGTGGCATCTCTCATCTTTTCATGGAGTTGACGCAAAATACTATTGGGGATAAGTTGCAACTTGCAATTGACACTCGTAAGTTTTGTAAGTTGCTTAACGAAGAAAGATTAGACAATTTACCCTTAGCAAAGACCCATAAAACGGTATAAAAGCTCTAGAGTTTTTTAATAGAATATTTCATCTATTTTTGTGAACGCTTGAGTACTATAGTACCAACCTTGCAAATGAAGAATTCAGGTTTTGACATTTGTCTCTGTTGTGTGCAAATCATGGCAATGGCATCAAATGATAGAACCCATTGCAGATTATTTCTTATCTTTTAAGTAGAAACAGTGAAAATTATAGCTGGAGCACAATAGCAAAATGGAGTGAAGAATGTAATAAATATGCATTTTGTAAAAGGAAAAGCGTTTTAGCTTTGTAAACCATTGTTGAAAAAAGAAACGACCAAATCCATTTCAGCCTTCTTCAGACACATTCCGATCTCAACGCCACCTGAATCCTCACGTCTCTCTGCCATTGACATTGCACCTTGACCAATGGAGACAACATCAACCTTAACCGGTCTTCCCCACCCGAAATCCGATTCATACACTCCCAACCGGTTCGACCCGGCTATTGACCCGAACTGTGAGCTCTCAGCCAAAGAATCCAACAAAACCGTGTATGCTTCAGCCATCGTCTCTACCTTTAGTGAACTCAAGCCTTTGACCAAATCACTCAGAATCTCCACCGTGGTTACGAAGCCTCTCTCTTCCGTAAACTCCGATGCCTTGCGGTTGAAGCAACCCTGCGGAAACAGACAATTTCCAAAGTAGGTCGCCGGAAGCGGCGGATCCAACCGCTTTCTCAAATCTGCTCCGAACAGGAGACTCACGAGTCGCTCTCCGTCTCCTCCACGCGCCTTCACAAAGCATGTCCACACGTAGGCGTAGGCGATGACGAAAGCCGACAAGTGAAGAAGACTCGGATCTTGACTCGGTGGTGACTCGTTAATGACTCGCTCCCTGAGTCTTACAACGTCATCGCGAGAGAGCACTAGCGTGGCCATGACGGCATCGTCACCGAGTTTCTTTGCCGGATTCCGACTCAGGCTTCTCTTGTTGGTTTTGTTCCCTTTCATAGATCTCATGATCTCGATCATCTTCTCATCGAGTCCGGTTAGATCTCTGTCGACCAGCAGAGACCGATCATCATGAGACGGAGTTAGACTCTCCGGGAGAGAGACTCTGTTTTCTTCGTGTTTGCACAAGTGAGCCCAAGATCTGATGAACATGCTTGACGTTTTTCCGTCCGAAACGGCGTGGTGTGCTGCGACGCCGATGGAGAATCCTTGGTTCGGGAACAGCGTGATTTGCAGAGAGAACGCGGCGGCTGAGTCATCGGAAGCTGGTAACTCGGGTATTAAAGTGTGTAACTCGGAGACCGGCCGTTGTCCGTAGCCGGAGAGAAGAGAAAAGTCAGAGTCGCTCTCGGCGATGGTTACTGAAACGGCGTCGTTTTGAGAGACGACGATGCTTGGCTTTGGCTGGCTTGAGTCCCAGGTGATGTGGCCGGAGAGAGGGAGGTAGTTGGAGAGGACAAGAGAAAGAGAGAGTTTGAGTTTAGGGAGGATGAAGGAGTGGAAATGCTCACGAGTTGACTCGGTGAGTCTGTAGAAGAAGACTCGCTTGACTGGGTGGCCCACTAGCCAAGGTATGTCGAAGAAAGTCAACGGGATTGTGAGCGAGTTGGCCGAGTCGGGGATGACTCGGGCAACCTCAACGACGAGTAGTGTCATATTGGTGACAGAAAGAGATCAAAATCGATCGGAACTGCCAAAGAAAAAGATTAGGAGATTCAAAGAGGAAGAGAGTTTGAAAACGTTTTCTGCACAAATATGTTTAAAATATAACAATCAAATCCATATTATACAATTTGTTGACCAAAAACCAATCTTGCGGATCCAAGATCTAAAAAGCTTGTCCATTTTTATATTCCAACAAGGACGATCTCGATTGGTATGACGTATAAGACAAGGTATGTAGCTTATACAAATAGTCTGGGAACCAATTTGGACATAAGATCGTGCAAATGAGTTAAATCTTACAAGTATCAGAGTATCTCCATCCCTAAAACCACAAATGAGTTAATCTTACAAGTATCGAAACATTGAACTAGTAATCTACATTTCAAAGGCAAAGTATACATAGCCTTCTAGAAACTAAGCAAGCCATCAGAGTTACCTTATACACATTGATTCTATAGGATGGAGTATGGAACAATAAACATTTCAGATATCAAACGGATTGTGTTAAACATTGATCACCACAACATTTCTACCTTTTGGATTTAGTTTTTTTGGATTTATGGTTTAGATTTAGGGGCTAGAGTTTAATTTTTGAGTTTATGGTTTATATTTTTGGGTTTAGGGTTTAGGTTTTTAGGTTTAGAATTTAGATCTTGGGTTTAGGGTTTTTTTAAAGTTTTTGGATTTTGATTTTTGGGTTTAGTGTTTAGATTTTGGGTTTAAAAAGAACAAAAATGAATCATTTTTATCTTGAAATGTAGTCTGTTTTAGAAATATATGAAAATAGAACTTATATATTATAGTTGGACGAGAATTGCTGTAATGGAAGCAGTTTTGTTCTTGGTTGAGGGCAATTACGTCCCCTACTATGTTGCTGATGGTTATTCTCTGTATTATCTTCATTTTGATGCTGAATATGGCCATCCTGCAAATTAACCCCAAACAAAATAAGACATATTTGTAAACACAAACAGCAGAAATTCGAAAAAAAACAACACAAAGCTACCATTGATTCAACCTATCTCTCTCTCTCACTCAGATCAAAATAGACATAGTTCTGGGGAAATAAAATAACTTTAGCTAGTTGCTGAAGCTGGTTGCATCGCATCGCCTTTGTTGCTCCCTCCAAAACTTCAAAAACAAATAAAAAAAACATACGAACAAAAATAAAAAGCCAAGCTCAGGAATTGTAATACAAAAAAGATAAAGCGAATTCTGAATTCATACCTCACAATGATAGCTTAGACAACCTGCTCGTAGCTCTTGCCTTCTCGTCATAATATTTGATGAGAGCAACGACGGAATCCATATTATCGTCGTCAGAGTTACTCACCTTAACCAGCTCCTGCAAACAAAACAAAACAGCAAAATAGTTTTATTTTCGGATGAATCACACAACTTTTTTTTTTTTTTGTTAAAATGTATCACACAACTTTTGTGAATGAACGAATATATTAAGAACTTACCAAAGGTGACACCATGAATCGACATCGCTTGATAGCCTCAAGATTCTTTTCGCAAGCCTGAATGCTCCCGGATCCTTTACGACCTAAACCAAGCTTCAGCGCAGCTATGGCCAACTGCATAATCACAAACTTCTTGTTCGTGTAACAAAATAAAAAATAAAAGATAATAAGAACAGAAAAAAATTACCTCCGTCCCGGAATTTGTGAAGTGAACTGCATCGATTACGTGAGTAGGTTTAGGCGGCACTTGATTAATTCTAGCAAATTCAGCCATCAAGTTTGGGATGTCGACTTTAACTATGTCATGACCCATCCAAACTTTTCCATTGAGACTGCGATAGATCCTGGCGGAGAGTTCTTCGAAAGTATTTGCATCTATGAGCCAAGAATTAGGTTTCTTAGCAAAATAGTCCTCACCAGGTCGAATGGGAGCGGCCAATGATGCAATTTCAAACAGCGTGTCAGAAGTAATTTCCTTCACACTAAACTGCAGAGCCCCATTAGTTTTTCTGAAGTCAAAGAAAGCAATTACATGTAACATGATTTTTTCTTAGATCTGAAAAACTAGGGTTTTCTCTCTCTTTTTCCCAGATCTGAGAAACTAAATGTAGAGGAAGATGATGTCTCGCTTGTAATGTACGACCCTCTCTTACGGCGATGGGCCCAATGTCGAATCCAGGGTTTAAGTTGGGCTTCTAACATGGTTGCATTTGTACTTTTCTTTAACTCTTCATTTTTTCCCCTTATCCTCCTCCATTAAACGCACATATTTACCACCAATTCAATGACAAAGCACATGGTTAGGATCCCAAAACTTGCATCCATTGATAGATAATGAAATGACGATACAATATCCGTCTACTATAACGATGGACATATATAGAGGAAAGAACATAAAACATAGGTGAAACCCACTTGAAATCGTCTTTGCTAATTGGTTCATACCACATACGTGAGAGTGAGAATCAAAGGCTTGACTAGTTTTACAATAGAGTGAGTTGGAGTTTCGGTCGGTTAGGCTGAGGCTCAACTACGCAAGACGCTGTACGATAAACTTCCATCCATCTTAACAATCTTCTGCTTCTCCTCGTCTACGTACCAGTCTCACCAGCTCCTTTCTCACCTTTTTGCTGTTAAATATACATAACGATTTCTTATGTTTACTAATAAATCAATAAATTTGTGCTAAATAAGTAATCTATTAAGGATATGAATCAAGATATCACATCCCTAAGATTACTCACTCATCATCCTATAATTACTCTTATGATTATTCTCATTTATGTATATAATAATAATTATATTTAGTTTTTCTTGTTATTTTCATAAGCCTTGTATATATAAAGACCTCTTGTAATCATTTTATAACACAATACAATACAATTCATTTTCATATAATCAAAATGGTATCAGAGCAAGTTTTGATTCCGAGTTTCGATCTAACGATCAAACTCATTTTCTTCTAAATTTTACTTGTGCATTTTCTTCTGAAAACATTTTTCTCTCTCTCTTTAAGCCTACATGCTTCCAAAACCAAGCTATAGTGCCTCTTGTTTTCTTCAATTTATCATGTGTTTTCAAAATCAAGCTACAACCTTCCTCTTTCATTCTCTTTTATTGTTTATTTTGTTTCTTTAAGCCAAAGTGCTTCCGAATTCTATCAAGTGATGTTTTGTTATGATTTCAAAAGCCTATCAAATCATAGTTCTTCCTTAAACCTCAATGCTTCATAAGCCATCGTGCTTCTCAAGTTGTCACCACCATGAGATCGCATATCTCTTTTGCTCCTTTGGCTCAACGCCAACAACAACAACATCCACCAGCATCCACCAGAGGTCTCTCCGTCATTGACGCCTTGATCTCTACCGCCACATCTTAGATGTTCATAACTCCAGCCTCAACAGAGTCACACTCTCCAAGAAATTCATTAAGCTATATGCTTCCTAGCCTCTACAGACATGTTTCCTCCGAGGCGTTTTACGGTAAATCCGTCCAAGCACATGATTAACCCTAATGCTTCTTCTTCACCCTATCAAATTCGTCATAGATAATTCAATCTCAAGCCGTTATTTCAGTCTTCACTCCATCACCGCCTTGAGCTTGAGGGGGCATATTAAGGATATGAATCAAGATATCACATCTGTAAGATTACTCACTCATCATCCTATAATTACTCTTATGATTATTCTCATTTCTGTATAGAATATTTAGTTTCTCTTATTATTCTCACAAGCCTTGTATATATAAAGACCTCTTGTAATAATCATCTTATAACACAATACAATGCAATGCAATTCACTTTCATATAATCAATATAATCTTCCAAAAAAAAAAAGCTTTAGGTTTGTAAACCATTGTTGAAAAAAGAAACGACCAATTCCATTTCAGCCTTCTTTAGGCACACTCCAATCTCCATGCCACCTGCTTCGTCACGTCTCTCTGCCATTGACATTGCACCTTGATCAATAGATACAACATCAACCTTAACCGGTCTTCCCCAACCGAAATCTGACTCGTATACTCCCAACCGGTTCGACCCGGATACGATGCCGAATTGTGAGCACCCACGCCCGGAATCGATCATCGCCGTGTGTACTTTCGCGATCGTCTCTACCTTTAGTGAACTCAAGCCTTTGACCATATCGCTGAGAATCTCCACCGCGGTAACGAATCCTCTCTCTTCCGCAAACTCCGCCGCCTTGCGGTTGAAGCAACCCCGCCCAAACAGACAATTCCCGAAGTAGGTCGCCGGAAGCGGCGGATTCAACCACTTTCTCAAATCTGCAGTGAAACTGAAATTCACGGTACGATCAGTGTTTCCTCCTCCACGCGCCTTCACCAAGCAGGTCCAAGCGTAAGCGTAGGCGATGACGAAAGTCGACAAGTGAAGGAGACAACTCGGTGACGACGACTCGCTCTTGACTCGCTCCCTGAGTCTCTCGACGTCGACGCGAGTCAGCACGAGCGTGGCCATCAAGACATCATCCCCGAGTTTCATGGCCTGATGAATCGGACTCAGGCCTCTCTTGTTGGTTTTGTCCGCTTTCAGAGATGTCACTACCTCGATCATCTCTTCATCGAGCCATGTAAAATCTTTGAGCAGCGACCGATCAAGAGACGGAGTTAGATTCTCCGGTAGAGAGACAACTCTGTTCTCAAGGTGTTGTTTGCACAAGTGAGCCCAAGCTTTGATGAACATGCTTGACGTTTTTCCATCCAAAACGGCGTGGTGTGCTGAAACGCCGATGGAGAATCCTTGGTTCGGGAAGAGCGTGATTTGCAGAGAGCACGCGGTGGCTGAGTCATCGGTAGCTGGTAACTCGGGTATCAAAGTGTGTAACTCGGAGACTGGTCGCCGTCCATAGCCGGAGAGAAGAGAAAAATCAGAGTCTCTCTCGGCTATTGTCACTGAAACAGCGTCGTTTTGAGAGACGACGATGCTCGGCTTGGGCGTGTTTGGCTCCCACGTGATGCGGCCGCAGAGAGGGAGGTAGTTTTGGAGGACGAGGGAAAGAGAGAGTTTGAGTTTAGGGAGGATGAAAGAATGGAAGTGCTCACGAGTAGACTCGGTGAGTCTGTAGAAGAAGACTCGCTTGACTGGGTGGCCCCCTAGCCATTGTATATCGAAGAAAGTCAACGGGATTGTGAGCGAGTTGTCCGAGTCCGGGATGACTCGGGCAACCTCAACGACGACTAGTGTCATTTGGTATTTTGGTTACAGAAGGAGGTAAAAAATCGAGAGAGAGTTTGATAACGTTTTCTGCAGAAACATGTTTAAAAATACAATGAGATCCATATTATCTTATATATAACTAGATTAGCGGGTTTATTTTAATTTTTTTGAAATAAATCTGGAAAATTATTAAACATAATATAATCATTTTTAAAAGTAAGTAGAATAATAATAAAAACCCGATAACAAATCACTAAATAAAATAAGATTAGTAATCTTTTTACATTTTTATTATAATTGACATTTGTTTTGAATTCATGATATGAAAAATGAATTAATTTGTGTTATCTTATTTTTATCTAATATAGAAATACTTACATGTGTTTAAATCTGATGGACTAATTAATACGTGAAACTTTGATTATTCCATCGAAGAGATTTCAGTTGATGAAATCAATTTTTTAAATATTTTTTGACCTAACAAAAATTTGAAAATAAACTATTTAAAATTAGAATATCGGACCAAAATAAAATTTTCTTTTTAATATTAGTTAGCTGTTGATAATTATTTTGTTAGCTTTCTATTTATATTCTTTCTTTTATAATATTTATTTTGCCTCGGACCATTATAAATTTTTCTTTTCATTATTAGTTAGTTGTTTTACAATTTTTCGTTTTGTTATTAATTTTTTCTAATTTTCTTGTGTTAACACATGTTATAATCTGATCAAATATTATACATGGTGCGGCAGTAGTTTTGATTTTGATCCAACTGATCTAAAATTAAATATTCTTCATTGATATCTAGAACTTTTAAAGACATGATTTTTCATTTCTTAATAAGAAAGAAAATTTAAACAAAATATAAAAACACAATTAAATCATGAAGGGTGTAACTTATTATATATTGTTTTTTTTCCTTCTTGTATTGGGAATATGTTTTTTTCCGTTTCTTAATGGATGTAACAATTTATTGTAAATTATATATTTTCTTACTAACCTTTTTCATCAAGTAGTAGAAGCTCAACTCCCATAAGAATATTATTTTCTTTTGGATTTCTAACTTTCCACTTTCGAATAACACGTACTATAGTACGGCGATAATTTCGATTTCGATCCAATTGACCTAGAGTCAAATAATCTTCACTGTTTTCTTGAACATTCAAAGACATGATTTTTAAATTAGAGAAAGAGAATCAGAGAAATTTAATGAATTTGCTTTGATGAGTTTGTGAATGAGAAAAAAGAGACTACTGTAACTTTGTATTTATAGGTGTTCATATAACATATTCCTTGCAGATATAGGAATTTTAGTTTACGTACCTATTCCATGTAGTAATAGGATTTTGATTTATTACATTATTTTCAATCTTATTTTATAAATTAATATGTGTTTGGATAATATAAATTTGATGAATGGGAAAACCTTTTTCTGTTAGGATATGACAAATATTAATTTTTCTTTTTTTATAAAATAAAATATTAAATTTCGTTTTTTTAATTATCCTATTTCTAGTATTTTTTAAAAAAATTTTTTTTCCCCTAATACACGTGTCACGATCTTAACGGACATAATCTTAAAAGTGACACATGTCGCGATCCTATATTTTATAAAAATCCTACGTGTCGCAACCACGTCGCGCGCATCCAGCTTTATATAATAAGATTAGGGAGTTGCTCTCTCCATATAAGTGTCCACATCAGCACAAAAAATTCATTAAATTGTTTTTAAGATATTTAATACATGACTTTTCATATTTCTTTGCATATATTTATATTTTAAATATAAATAAAACTAAGAAAAATACACAACTAAATTACTTAATTAATATAAAATATGTGATAACTTGATGTTAAAATTTATCAAAAAGTTTGAATATAAGTAAAAATATATGTAACTTGAAATGGTATATATTTACCTTTTTATTAAAAGAATTTATCCTATTTCAAAATGTTATAATGTGTTTACAAGTTAAAAAGTTGAATATAAATTAATTAAGATAATAAAAAGCCAATGAGAAATTAGAGTTAGAGTTTATTTAAAAAAAATAGAAGTCGAGTTTTTATATGTAAATTTAATTGCAGTGAAAAACATGAAAATTTTAAGGATTGTGATATGTTTGTCTCAAAATATAATTAATATTTACAAAACTAACATAATAGAAAATAATCAATGGTTATGAGGCTCATATGCTACCACAACAAAGTAGATATGTAAAAAAGTATATATATTATTTTTTTCATCTTATTTCGGGTCCAAATGCTATTTTACATTATGCTTACAAATTTTAACGTTGAGTCCAATGCATATGCATGTTTATAGTCTAACAGAAGTAAACAAACATAATATTTATAACATGCTAAAATTTTAGAAATAGAAAACTCGAGATAAAGTGGGAGTGTTAACATCCTAATAAAATAAAATAAAAGACAAATTGTTCATATTTTTAATGTTAGTGATTGGGTTAACTCAAAACATAAACAAAAAACATGAAAGTTAATACAAAACCATCATAATTCAAATCAACAAGTATAGATAAAACTAAACAGAAAACTATCGCAAACAACCCCGCGCTTGCGCGGGGCTTCAAACCTAGTATTATATAATTGGTTGAACCTAACCAATATTCTTGCGGATCCGAGATCTAAAGCCTGTCCATTTTATATTCCAACAAGGACGAAAGCGGTTGGGTATTATTGACATATGAGACAGATTATGTAACTTAAAAGATAGTCTGGGAACAAATTTGGACAGAAGATCGCGCAAATGAGTAGTCTTATGAGTATTATTGACTCTTAACTTACAAGTATTAGCCTGTACATGTTCCACAAACCAAAACTGTGTATAATCTATTAACAACAAAATATAAAACCCTGTAGATTAGGTAGAAGAATCAAACTCTAGTCAAATAGTATCATGTGTCGACTATTACAATATGTACTACGATCTACAACTTTGTTCCCAGACTATACATTCATACTCCATCTCACACCCAACACGGTTCTCGTACGTACTGGTTGGATACAATAGTGTGTACGAATGTATATGAGACATGTAATTTGGATTCGATAATCCATAATGGACAAGCTTATATCTCTGTTACCTTATTGAAATTTTGTAAAAGAGAAAAAAAAAACAAAATGGCGTTTTAGCTTTGTAAATGTAAACCATTGTTGAAAAAAGAAACGACCAAATCCATTTCTGCTTTCTTCAGGCACATTCCCATCTCAACACCACCTGATTCGTCACGTCTCTCCGCCATCGACATTGCCTCTCCTTGATCAATAGAGACAACATCAACCTTAACCGGTCTTCCCCAACCGAAATCCGATTCATACACTCCCAACCGGTTCGACCCGGCTATCGTCCCTAATTGTGAGCTCTCTCCCAGTGAATCGAATCCATCCCTGAATGCTTTCGCGATCGTCTCTATCCTTCGCGAACTCAGGCCTTTCACCAGATTGCTTAAGATCTCAACCGCATTTACGAATCCTTTCTCCTCCGCGAAATCCGCCGCCTTCTGATCGTAGCTTCCCGCCGGAAACACGCAGTTTCCGAAGTATGTCGACGGAAGCGGCGGATCCAACCGCTCTCTGAAATCTCCAGAAAAAAGGAAACCCACGGATCGATCCCCGTCTCCTCCACGCGCCTTCACATAGCACGTCCACGCGTATGCGTAGGCGATGACGAAAGTCGACAAGTGAAGCGGCCGATCTGGAATTTGTGATTTGACTCTCTTCCGGAGCCTGTCGATGTCATCGCGGGAAAGAACGAGCGTCGCGAGAACGACGTCGTCTCCGAGTTCTCTCGCGGGAAGCGGACTCAGGCTTCTCTCGTTGGTGTTGTTGCTCTGTTTAAGAGATCTCACGATCTCGATCATCTTCTCGTCGATTCCGGTTAGATCTGTGAGCAAAGACCGATCAAGAGACGGTGTTAGATTATCCGGGAGAGAGACGGCTCTGTTCTCGTTCTCGAGGTGTTGTTTGCAGGAGTGAGCCCAAGCTTTGATGAACATGCTTGACGTTTTTCCATCCAAAACGGCGTGGTGTGCTGCGACGCCGATGGAGAATCCTTGGTTTGGGAACAGTGTGATTTGCAGAGAGAAAGCGGACGCTGAGTCATCGGAAACCGGTAACTCGGGGAGTAAGGTGTGTAACTCGGAGACTGGACGCTGTCCATAGCCGGAGAGATGAGAGAAATCAGCGGCTGTCTCGGCGATGGTCACTGAAACGCCGTCGTTTTGAGAGACCACGATGCTTGGTTTGGGCTCGTTTGGGTCCCAGGTGATGCGGCCGCAGAGAGGGAGGTAGTTGCGGAGGGCGAGGGAAAGAGAGAGTTTGAGTTTAGGGAGGATGAAGGAGTGGAAATGTTCATGAGTCGACTCGGTGAGTCTGTAGAAGAAGAGTCGCTTGACTGGGTGGAACACGAGCCATGGTAGATCGAAGAACGTCAATGGGATTGCGAGCGATCTGACTGAGTCCGAGTCCGAGTCGGTGGCGGGGGTGACTCGGGCAACCTCAAGGACGTGTAGTGTCATTGCTAGTTTGGTACGAACAGCGTAAAAGTCGCTCGGAAATTGCCAAACGTCTTGAAGTATCACATTATGATAGGTATGGTATAGATAAGATATCTATACATAAAAGTTATGATAGGTGTCGAGAAGTTAGAGATTTAGAGTTTGAGTAGAAAATGAAGTTTTATCAAATTGATAACAAAAATGTAAAGAAATATTTTATTAAAGGATCAGAAAGAAATTACAAGAACCAGCCTAAAACACTCACAACCTCAACTGAATTAAAACCAAACAAAATCTAAGTTATCAATATGATATTGACGTCTCAAAAAAAAAGTACGTATATTCATTTACCAAATACTCATTTCTTGTACCACAAGGTGCTCTACACACACAAACCCCTAGAAACGAACCATATGTCAAAACAATTGAGACACAATAAGCAGAGCGAAATGACATTGATAATCATGAATCAATCATACGAACATATTCAATACGTTTATGAATTAAAAGTTTAAAACAATCACGTCTCAAACACAAGAACAACTCAACGAGCTTACCTTGTAAGAAATTCAAATTTTACACACAAGAACAAAGATTTTAGTTTTTGTAAACCATTATTGAAAAAAGAAACGACCAAATCCATTTCAGACTTCTTCAGACACATTCCGATCTCCATGCCACCTGATTCGTCACGCCTCTCTGCCATTGAGTATGCCTCACCTTGATCAATGGAGACAACATCAACCTTAACGGGTCTTCCCCACCCGAAATCCGACTCGTATATTTGCAACTGGTTCGACCCGGATACTGACCCGAACTGTGAGGTCACAGCCAAGGAATCAAATCCAACCGTGAATTCTTTCGCGATCGTCTCTACCTTTGGTGCGCTCAAGCCTTTGACCAAATCACTAAGAATCTCGACTGCTGTTACAAACCCTCTATCTTCCTCAAAATCCGCTGCCTTGCGGATGAAGCAACCCGTGGGAAACATGCAGTTTCCGAAGTACGTCGCCGGAAGCGGCGGATCCAACCGCTTTCTCAAATCTCCTCCGAAAAGAAGACTCACGAGCCGCTCTCCGTTTCCTCCACGTGCCTTCACACAGCATGTCCACGCGTAGGCGTACGCGATGACGAAAGTCGACAAGTGGATACTCCGATCTGGTGACTCGCTCTTGACTTGCTCCTTGAGTCTCTCGACGTCATCGCGAGACAGCACTAACGTGGCCAAGACGACGTCGTCCGCGATTGTTCTGGCGGGATTGGGACTCAGGCTTCTCTTGTTGGTTTTGTCCTCTTTCAGAGATCTCACGAGCTCGAGTATCTCTTCATCGAGTCCTGTTATGTCTTTGATCAACGACCGGTCAAGAGACGGAGTTAGACTCTCCGGTAGAGAGACTGTGTTCTGTTTGCACAAGTGAGCCCAAGCTTTGATGAACATGCTTGACGACTTTCCGTCCAAAACGGAGTGGTGTGATACGACGCCGATGGAGAATCCTTGGTTTGGGAACAACGTGATTTGAAGAGAGAAAGCCGTCGCTGAGTCATTGGAAACCGGTAGCTCCGGTAGCAAAGTGTGTAACTCGGAGACTGGACGCTGTCCATAGCCGGAAAGACGAGAGAAATCAGCGTCAGTCTCTGCGACGGTTAACGAAACTGCGCCGTTTTGAGAGACGACTATGTTTGGTTTTGGCTCGTTTGGGCCCCAGGTGATGCGGCCGCAGAGAGGGAGGTATTTGCAGAGGACGAGGGAAAGAGAGAGCTTGAGCTTAGGGAGGATAAAAGAGTGGAAATGCTCGGGAGTCGACTCTGTGAGTCTGTAGAAGAAGACTCGCTTGATAGGGTGGAATAGTAGCCACGGTAGGTCGAAGAAAGTCAAAGGGATTGTGAGCGAGTTGGTTGAGTTGAAGATCGAGTCGAAGTCGTATGCGGGTGGGACTCGGGCAACCTCAAGGACGTCTAGTGTCATTGGTAGTTTACGAACAGTAAAAATCGGTCTTCGAGTAAACACAATAATATTATTTTGTTATCTAGAGTTCTAGACTATAAATATATAAAAAAATTAGACTTAAATAATCTCTCTTTTTATAGTACCAAATCACACATTTATCCAAAACTGTGATACATCACCTTATTTAAGTTTAAACTATTTATTATATTTGATTTGTTACCATTTTAATTACATTTCAAATCTCATGATATCTCACATCCATTAATATTGTAGTTTTACATAATCTGAAAAGATATTTTTCTAAAAGTTTTGTTTGTATATTTATTTATTTATTTTCAATATTATAGTACTCAAACACATTTCTTGTACCACAAGGTTCTCTACCCACCCAACCAAACAGAAAATACTCATGTCAGACAAAAGGACTTTAAAAACAGAAACAGAGATATGTCAGTAACACTAAATGTTCGACACTTATTCGATACAAGACATCAACTAAAATAAAGAAAGTGTATTAGCTTCGTAAACCATTGTTGAAAATAGAAAGGACGATGTCCATTTCAGCCTTCTTCAAACACATTCCGATCTCGACACCACCTGATTCGTCACGTCTCTCTGCCATTGATATTCCTCCTCCTTCATTAACGGAGAGAACATCAGTCTTAACCGGTTTTCCCCACCCGAAATCCGTCTGATATACTCCCAACCGGGTCGACCCGGCTACCGTCCCAAACTGTGACGTCTCACACAAGGAAGCAAATCCATCCGCGAATTCTTTCACTATCGTCTCTATCTTTCGTGAGCTCAAACCTTTGACTAAACCGCTTAGTATCTCCACGGCCGTTACGAATCCTCTCTCTTCCGCAAAATCCACAGCCTTGCGGTTGTAGCTGCCCGCCGGAAACATGCAATTTCCGAAGTAGGTCGCGGGTAGCGGCGGATCCAAACGCTCTCTAAAATCTCCTACGAAAAGGAAACTCACGGATCGCTTTGCATTTCCTTCACGCGCCTTCACAAGGCATGACCACGTGTAGGCATAGGCGATGACGAAAGTGGACAAGTGGAGACTATGATCTGGTGACTCCCTCTTTACTCTCTCCCGGAGTCTCTCCACGTCATCGCTAGACAGCACGACGGTGGCGATGACGACGTCGTCTTCGGGTTCTCGTGTGGGAATTGGACTTAGGCTTCTCTCGTTGGTTTTGTTCTCTTTGAGAGATCTCACGACCTCGATCATCTTTTCATCGAGCTTAGTAAAATCTTTGAGCAACGACCGATCAAGAGATGGTGTTAGATTCTCAGGTAGAGAGACGAATCTGTTCTCAAGGTGTTGTTTGCAGAAATGAGCCCAAGCTTTCATGAACATGCTTGACGTTTTTCCGTCCCAAACGGCATGGTGTGATGCGATGCCGATGGAGAATCCTTGGTTCGGGAACAACGTGATTTGCGGAAAGAGAACGGTGGCTGAGTCATCAGAAACCGGTAACTCGGGTACCAAAGTGTCTAGCTCGGACACTGGACGCTGTCCATAGCCGGAGAGATAAGAGAAATCAGAGTCACTCTCGGCTATTGTCACTGACACAGCATCATTTTGAGAGACAACGATGCTGGGCTTGGGCTTGTTTTGGTCCCAGGTGATGCGGCCGGAGAGAGGGAGGTAGTTGCGGAGGGCGAGGGAAAGAGAGAGCTTGAGCTTAGGGAGGAGGAAGGAGTAGAAATGCTCACGAGTGGACTCGGTGAATCTGTAGAAGAGGACTCGCTTGAGTGGGCGGAATAGTAGCCATGGTAGGTCGAAGAAAGTCAATGGGATTGCGAGGGAGTTCTTCGAGTTGAGGACCGAGACTGAGTCGGTGGCGGGGGTGACACGGGCAACCTCAACGATGAGTAGTGTCATTGTGAATGAAGTAGGTCAAAAATCGATTGGAAATTGCTAAACACAAAAATAAATAGGAAATTCAACGTTAGACAATCCGAGAGTAACAGAGTTTGTCAAAGGTTGTTTTGTTTTATTCTGGCTCTGGCCTGCATGTGTTTGCATGTGTCACACGTAAGATCTAGTGATCTACATCTTTACACGTTTTTTTTTGAAATTTAAATATAGTAGGGTTTTTGTTTGTTTTTTTTTTTGTGACAAAATACAGTAGGAACCTTTTTTCTTTTTTCAAACAGAATAATTTAAAAACTTGATATTTTATTTATAACAAATATCAAAAAAAAAAAAAAAAAAAAAAACTATTTTTGGTTTTTTTAGGCTTCATGAAGTATTCACAAAGTATTCATTAGTTGAGAGAATATTGAGTAGCTGAGTGCTCTTGTGTGGTGAGCGGCTCTTATGTACTCACTAGTCGTTTTCTTGTTGTTGGGAAATGTTAGGAAAATGTCATATTTACTACTTAGTACGTACTCACTATTCACTACTCCTCGAAAAAATTACAAAAAACCAAAATCAAATGTTCCAAGAATATCGTGCCATACACAAATAATTTTATATGAATCAAAACCATCACAAGATCTAAAGTTAATACTCTTTCAAAAAAACAAAGATCTAAGTTAATACCATTGACCATTCACGTCTCAAAACAAAAACAGTAAATCAAAAATATAATCTATGAATTATTCATTCATCGTCTGGTTTCTTGAAACATACGTCCTTCCACACTTTCCACAATAGTAGTGCCTATCAAAGTGATCAGGGCCGGCCCTGACCTAAAGTATGTAAAGCATCATGCTTTAGGCGCCAACAGATAATAAGATTTTTAGGGCGCATAAATAACAAATGTCTTTAGTAGCCTAGTGGTACTGTCATTGCCTTGAGGCGCATATGTCAAGAGTTCGAACCCTTTTAATGCTAAAATCCGTTCTTTCTTTTTTAACAATGGTTTTACATGGGAAATTTTTTTTTTTGGCTTTAGGTGCCAGTATGGGTCGGGCCGGCCCTGAAAGTGGTTCCCCATGAACGTACCTGGTCCACAACTAACCGAATGACACTCTTTCCTCAACCTCTAGACCTTACCGGATCCATCGTTTAACCGTAGATTTATGGCATGGTAACAAATTTTCACGAATGTCATCACTCGTTTAACCGTAGATTAATGTTTATATACTTCTGCAAACATATGGTACCAATAGTGCTTCAGTTACCGAGGCTATTTCACAACAGATCACAAAATCCTAAATTTCCTCAATGATAGTAAGACATAGGACTTACAAAAACAGAAACAACCCAAATGTTGTGACAAATTCCACATAAGACATTTAAAAAAAAAAAAAAAAAAAAAAAAAAAAAAACGTTTTAGCTTTGTAAACCATGGTTAAAAATAGAAAGGAATATGTCCATCTCAGCCTTCTTCAAGCACACTCCGATCTCTATGCCACCTGATTCGTCACGTCTCTCTGCCATTGACATTCCTCCTCCTTCACCAACGGACAGAACATCAGTCTTAAGCGGTTTTCCCCACCCGAAATCCGTCTCGTATACTCTCAATCGGGTCGACCCGGCTACCGCCCCGTACTGTGTGCTCTCACACGCAGCATCGAAACCATCCGCGAATTCTTTCGCCACCGTCTCTATCTTTCGTGAGCTCAAACCTGTGACTAAATCGCTTAAGATCTCCACCGTCGTTACGAATCCTCTCTCGTCCGCAAACTCTGCCGCCTTGCGGATGTAACAACCCGCCGGAAACATGCAGTTTCCGAAGTAGGTCACCGGGAGCGGCGGATCCAACCGCTCTCTGAAATCTCCTACGAAGAGGAAACTCACGGAACGCTGCTCCACGTCTCCACCACGTGCCTTCACAAGGCAGGTCCACGTGTATGCGTAGGCGATGACGAATGTGGACAAGTGAAGAAGCGGCCGATTTGACTCGTTCTTGACTCGCTCCCGGAGTCTCTCCACGTCGTCGCTAGACAGCACGACCGTGGCGAGGACGATTTCGTCTCCGAGTTCTCCGATGAGAATTGGACTCAGGCTTCTCTCGTTGGTTTTGTTCTCTTTCATTGATCTTACGATCTCGATCATCTTTTCATCGAGCCATGTAAGGTCTTTGAGCAACGACCGATCAAGAGACGGTGTTGGATTCTCCGGTAGAGAGACGGCTCCGTTCTCGAGGTGTTGTTTGCACAAGTAAGCCCAAGCTTTGATGAACGTAGTTGACGACTTTCCGTCCCCAACGGCGTGGTGTGATGCAAAGCCGATGGAGAATCCTTGGTTAGGGAACAAGGTGATTTGCGGAGAGAAAGCGGTGGCTGAGTCATCGGAAACCGGTAACTCTGGTAGCAAAGTGTATAACTCGGAGACTGGACGTTGTCCATAGCCGGAGAGATAAGAGAAATCAGCGTCAGTCTCGGCGATGGTCACTGAAACTGCGTCGTTTTGAGTGACGACGATGTTCGGTTTGGACTCGTTTGGGTCCCAGGTGATGCGGCCGCAGAGAGGGAGGTAGTTGCGGAGGGCGAGGGAAAGAGAGAGCTTGAGCTTAGGGACGATGAAGAAGTGGAAATGCTCTCGAGTCGACTCGGCGAGTCTGTAGAAGAAAACTCGCTTGGTAGGGTGGAATAGTAACCATGGAAGATCGAAGAAAGTCAAAGGGATTGTGAGCGAGTTGGTTGAGTTGAGGATCGAGTCCGAGTCGTATGCGGGGGTGACTCGGGCAACCTCAACGACGTGTAGTGTCATTGCCTAAACAAAATTAGATGTTTCAAATTTCAACGGGCTTGTAGAGATTGCAACGCGGGAATCTGTATCTCAAATAATTAATTAATTAAATTTAACCTTTTGTTTCCCTCAAACATACTACGTACTCACCCACTTTGATAAAAATACTCAAGAACCACAGACAAAAAAAAAATCTACAAAGTGTTTTTAGACTCTCAACAATGGTTGCAGCCAAATTGGGTATATGAGTCTATAAAAAGCCTGATCACGAGGATATTTTCTTTTCCACTTCTTGAAAATATCTAGATATTTATGTTTAGTAAAGGATTTGTGTGGTGATCGTTCTCTTGTTCATGTCCTTTTTGTTCCATTCACCAATATTCGTACGAGGAATAAATAAAGTAAGTGTGATGATGGTCCACTTACCAATATTTTTGAGAATGATGTTTTGATGGAAATAGATACATTATTTTTCTGTTTATAACAATGAAATATTCACTCGTTGTCTGGCTTCTTGTGGACATACGTTGTTCCACACTTTCCACAATAGTGCGGTGCCTATCGAATTGACTCGCCATCAACGTTACCTGGTCCACAAAGATGGTCCTGACTCCTACAGCTGAAACCAGCGGCAACAAATAATGGTATGGTTTCAAAACCTTATTTACACTGTTTCTAACAAATATGGGCCTAATGCGCCCATTCAAAATTGATAAAAGCCTACAACCGGGTAACTTCTTCTTCTTAGGTTTGGCCGATCTAATACCCAAAGAAACTCTAGAATCCGAAAGATGTGCAACACTCTTGAAACCAATGCGAGAGAAGACAAATAAAAAAAAAAGAGTTAGAAGAGCAGCCAAAAACACAATAGTTCTGGCCAAAATACCTAAAGCTAAACCATACGGTTAACCGTCTCATGATGATTTCTACACCCTCTTGTCATCTGGTTTAGGCTCTGATTGGTAAAGATTTTCAAGACTTTGAGTGTATAATTTTATTCTAAAGTATCTGTTCAAACTGTGACTTAAATTAGGCTTTGGAAAATGTTAAAAGCCTTGTTTTCGGGCTTTAAAAAAAAATCAAATATATTATGAAAAAAATTAGAAAAAAGGGATGTGATAACTTTAAGAAAGTTGATGGCTTTGAAGACTTTTAAACTGTAAAGTGTATTGTATAAAATATGACTTTTAAAACTTTTGAAAATTTTAAAAGTCCCTAAAGTCTTTACAATAATCAAATACTCATTTCTTGCACCACAAGGTTCTCTACCCACCCAAACCCTAGCAACGAACCATAAATCAAATCAATTATTGGATCACAATTAATAATCAGAGCGAAATGGCATCGGAGAATCATGAATCATACGCATAATATTCAATACGTTATGTGCAACACCAAATGTTTTTTTTTTTTTGGAAAAATGCAACACCAAATGTTGTGACTAATGTTTAGTTTTGTAAACCATTGCTGAAAATAGAAAGGAAAACGTCCATTTCAGCCTTCTTCGAGCACATTCCGATCTCGACGCCACCTGATTCGTCACGTCTCTCTGCCATTGAGATTCCCCCTCCTTCCTCAATGGAGAGAACATCAGTCTTAACCGGTTTTCCCCACCCGAAATCCGTCTCGTATACTCCCAACCGGGTCGACCCGGCTACCGACCCGCACTGTGAGCTCTCACTCATGGATTCGAATCCCTCAGCGAAGTCTTTCACTAACGTCTCTAACTTCCGTGAACTCAAACCTTTCACTAAACCGCTTAGGACCTCAACCGCATTTACGAATCCTCTCTCGTCCGCAAAATCCGACGCCTTCCGATTGTAACTGCCCGCAGGAAACAAGCAGTTTCCGAAGTAGGTCGCCGGAAGCGGCGGATCCAACCGCTCTCTGAAATCTCCTACGAAAAGTAAACTCACGGATCGCTCCGGATCTCCTCCACGCGCCTTCACGAAGCATGTCCACGCGTATGCGTAGGCGATGACGAATGTGGACAAGTGAAGAAGCGACCGGTTCGACTCGCTCTTGACTCGCTCCCGGAGTCTCTCAACGTCGTCGCGAGTCAGCACGACCGTGGCGAAGACGACGTCGTCTCCGAGCTCTCCGGCGGGAACTGGACTCAGGCTTCTTTTATTAGTTTTGTCCACTTTCAAAGATCTCACGACCTCGATCATCTCTTCGTCGAGGTTAGTAAGATCTTTGAGCAACGACCGATCAAGAGACGGTGTTAGATTCTCCGGTAGAGAGAGGACGACTCTGTTCTCGCTCTCGAGGTGTTGTTTGCACAAGTGAGCCCAAGCTTTGATGAACATGCTTGCCGTTTTTCCGTCCCAAACGGCGTGGTGTGACGCGAGGCCGATGGAGAATCCTTGGTTCGGGAACAAGGTGATCTGCGGAGAGAAAGCGGTGGCTGAGTCATCGGAAACCGGTAACTCGGGTAGCAAAGCGTCTAACTCGGAGAGTAGACGCTGTCCATAGCCGGAGAGACGAGAGAAATCTGAGTCGCTCTCGGCGATGGTTACTGAAACGCCGTCGTTTTGAGTGACGACGATGCTTGGCTTGGGTTCGTTTTGGTCCCATGTGATGCGGCCGGAGAGAGGGAGGTAGGTCCGGAGGGCGAGGGAAAGGGAGAGTTTGAGGTTAGGGACGATGAAGGAGTGGAAATGCTCACGAGTCGACTCGGTGAGTCTGTAGAAGAGGAGTCGTTTGATTGGGTGGAACGCTAGCCATGGTAGGTCGAAGAGAGTTAACGGGATTACGAGCGAGTTGGCCGAGTTAAGGACCGAGTCGGGGGCAGGGACGACTCGAGCAACCTCAACGACGTGTAGTGTCATCGGAATTGAGGGAAACAAATCTGTGGGAAAATGAAAGAATAATATATTTAACCAATCAAAGTCTGTCCAACCAAGTGTTCCAACTTACAAGCTGGATCACAAATTTTTACGTTTTGCAATAAAATATCTAGATTCCGATTTCCGAGTAAGAGCGTTTCAAAAGAATTAGGACCACAAGGACCACAACTACGGTATTAAATTTCTTCGATGTCTCCCTCTCTCTCTCTCTCACTCACTACCGGAGAAAAAATTGCCTGCAAATGAAAACGGCGGGACAGATGGTATAAATGTGGTTTCAAATTCAAACTCTTATTATATTGTCTCTAACAAATATGGGCCTAAGGCCCATTACTAATTGATAAAAGCCCTAACTTCTTCCGTCTGTCCTCAGAGCCAATCAACGGGTACCTTTCATCGTGACCGTTCGATTAGATGACCCCAGAATCAATCAATCGCTCTCCAAAGCAATGGAAGATGTGACGAATAGTAGCGATAGCGAGTGAACTCAATTCCAAAATCTCCCACATCTCTTCCAATTTTTTTTTTAACTAAAACATCAGATTCCAAATTCATAATTTCCCTTTTCCAAAAAAAAAAACAAAAACAAAGGAGAGAGATATCTCATCGTTTTCTCGCTCACAGAATCTGATTCCGAAGAGAAGCAAAAGCACATTACTACAGGTTTTTAACCAGTTATTGATTCTTCTCCTACTCTTTTTTTTTTTTTCTTTGTCTTGCTTCTGATTAAGTAAAGAATCTGTCTCTTGCTTCGAATTCTAAATCACTTCAATGTTTTCAAAGTTTATCTCTCTCACTCTCAATTTTCCTTTTTATTTATTTTTCTGTTAATTTTAAAACCAAAATCGAAATTCATTTGATTCACACAAATCCGTGATGTCTCATCACGCGTTTCTCGCCTCTGCTTTTTCAAACTGTTCTTCAAACTAAACAAAACCTAAACCCCCAAATAAAAATCAACAAATCGGAAGTTTACAGAGAGAGATTTTTTTGATTAACGATGAAGAATGTGTATAGTCGAATTGATCTGTCGAGTTTCGTGACAGGTTCGACAGAGCACACGTGGCAGCCAACAATGTCCGCGGAGACGAACGTCCCAAGCTACTGGCTAAACTGGAGATTCTTCCTCTGCGCCGTCTTCGTCTTGACCTCTCTGTTTCTCTCTTCTTTCCTCATTTGGAAATACGAACAAGGACTCGGAAAAAAACGCAATCGTGATGATGATGATGATGATGATCGAAGCGAACTCGTGGAAGTTGTATACGACGATGAAACTTGGAACACTAGTGTGGAAACGATCCATCCGAATTGGCTTCTAGGTTTCCGAGTTTTCGGCTTCGTCGTTCTTCTTGGACTCATCTCCGGTAACGCCATCGCTGACGGCGCCGGCATTTTCATCTTCTACACTCAGTGAGTTTTAACTTTCCCACACACATTTCTGTTTTTTGTGGAAGAAGGTCTTACATTTGTGCTTATTTACACAGATGGACTTTCACTTTGGTCACTATTTACTTTGGGGTATGGCTTTTCTTCACCTTCTCTCATGGTACTACTGCACATTGCTTTATCAATATCATCATCAGAAAATTAGGGTTTCAATACATAAAGGTTGGATTTTTGATACAATGTAGGTTGCAGCATTGGTGTCTATAAACAGATTTAGATTTGATGATAACGAGCAGAGAGGAGTTAGTGCAGTAGATGAAGAAGAGCAAGGATCTTATAGACCTCCGAATGTGTTTAAGTCTTCTAATGGACATGAGAGACGTAATAGGTCTAGTAGACGTCAGGTTGCGACTACATTTGGTTACATTCATCAGATTCTTTTTCAAGTGAGTGTTTAAGTGTAAACATTTTTTTTAAGTTTGATGCGTAAGTTTCTTCTGTGTGTCTGAGTGGTTGGAATTTGAAGACTTGTGCAGGAGCTGTGTTGCTTACGGATGGTGTGTTTTGGTTCATTATCTACCCTTTTCTCACTTCCAAAGATTTCAATCTTGATTTTGTAAGTTTTTGACTAAAGAAACTGTTCTCACAATCCTGTCTTGGAATGCTTGAAATTTGACTAAATGTTTATACAATGCAGTTCATTGTGATTATGCACTCAGTCAATGCTGTTTTCCTGCTTGGCGAAACTTTCTTGAATTCTCTGGTTAGTTTTGTATGCTTTTGCTTAAGTCAACATAGTGATGATTGAGTTTGAAGATTGATGATGATTTTGCATGTATCTCCAGCGATTCCCATTGTTCAGGATCTCATACTTTGTGGTATGGACCGGCATTTTTGTGCTATTTCAATGGATTGTTCACGCTTGTGTCTCCTTCTGGTAAAAAATTATGGTTCTGCACATCTTTTTTTGTACATTGTTCTTTGAACAGACTAGTTTTTACTTCCTTGAGCTGTGTATATAACAATGTGATATATGTTCTTCCAGGTGGCCTTACCCATTCTTGGATTTATCATCATCCTATGCCCCTTTATGGTAACGCTACACAAACTCAACTTCTGGTTATCCAAATTTGAATTTTGTTCTAGAGATGTAGACAATGAAAATGGTTCTTGAATGGACTTAAGACAACATAATGGTTGTTGCAGGTATGCAGCGGTTGGGTTGATGCATGTGCCATGCTTTGGAATCTTTGCTTTGATCGTCAAGTTGAAGTACATGTGGATCTCAAGATGTTTCTCAGAAGAATCTTAGTAATGAAATACACCATATATACCCGAATAGTTATAGTCTTCATCTCTCTCTTTCTCTCTGGAGTCTTGAACAGAGTTTAAAGAAAAAATTACAGAATTTCATGTACAGGTGAAGCCGTACAGGTTTTCTACTGCCTTCTGTGTCAATTTTTTTGTAAATTACATTCAAAGTTCCTTTTGAAGGAACATATATAAAATCACTTAGCTAGCCACAATTTTTTTTATTTTTGGATGTGGAACAAAACAAATAAGAATGTTAAATCTTATTTTGATGCTTAGTTTTTGTGTGTCCAAGTATTTTTAAGCGGTTTGAATACGTTTCATAACCAATATTTAAAAATACCGTTTTCTTACCGCCAATTTTAACCGCTTCCACAACTAAAAATGCTAATCAAAGTCAATGTTATGCTAAGAGAAAAAGTATGAATAAAAATAAGAGCTAAAGATTGTAATGGATAATTAAATAACGTTTCAGGTTGATCGAATCTCTGAATTTGAGTGTTATTGTTGATTCACGTCTTCGCAAACAAAAGAAACGAAAGCCTGGTCCCAGTCAAGATTCTCTTAAGTTTATCAGAGAGATTAGAGATACAATATTCGAAAAGGAGACACAAACCCAATTTTAGTTAGATGATGTATAATATTTTTCCCTGATAAGCTAATTAATCTTATCTTGTCCTTTTCCCAGATTTAATCATATTTAGATCTTGTATTGTGTGTACTTTCTTTTTCTCTCAAGCATCATGTTCAGGGGAATATTTTGAAACTGAACTTATAGAACAAATATTTATATTCTGTCCAAAAATGGCGAGGAAGAAAACACTTTCGTTCGTTTTGACCAGAAAACAGTGTCCACTTTGAGCATTTTACCATTTTATGACATATTTAAACGAAAAGAAGTATAAAATCAGAATATTTAGTATTTTTATTTTAGTGGAGAAGATTAAAAACAAAATCTCTTCGCACTAATTTGCATAATACGTAGTGGAGATAAAAGTGTTGTGACAATATAGAAGGATTTCAAGAAGGTAGACGTGGACCAAACATTAAATCTTGTGCCTAACGTAAGAAAAGTAACAACTAAACAAGGTCAATTTTTAAACTAATGAAAAGAATTGGTTTATGCATTTGTAGTGCTATTACAATCAAAGGAAAACCAATTATATAACTATATATATAAATTTATCTTTAACAAAAATTTCAACCGAAAGCTTAGACTTTCTAATTAACAAAACAAACTTTAGAATAAAGCACACACAAACTTGTCGGATCTCTCTGCCGTTTCACTTTTATAGTTGTGGTTAGAAATCAACAAATTTGGTCAAATAGTTTAAGAAACAAACTGCATAGGTCTCAACTAGCCAGGTTTATTCGCCAATCCCCTCGGTTCATTTTTATTACGATCTTTTTGGTTATTTGATTTTCAGTACAGTTTTCATGAATGTGTATGCTATTTGTAAGTTGTAACATGTTTCTTTTAGTAATGTTAAAATGTGAAGTTGTATGTATATTAGCTAAAGTAGTCGAGAACACTAATAAGATTTTTAAACTAATCAAGTTTTACACAGAACATAAAAACAATATTAAACATTGTTGACCCCAACATTTGGGAGAGACTGAAAACACTCCAAATATTTTGTTTAACGGTGATAAAGTGCGGTTAAATACTATATTTTTTTTACGCAACCAATCTAGATTTGTATGTGTCATCAATCATTATAATTTCTTTAAAGTTAGTTTATGCATTGACTAAAAAGTATAAAATAATGTAAATTAGCTTTTTAGCTCCTTTTGAACGTTCTGGTTGTGATCTCCTAGCTCTCCCCATTGAAAAAAGAAAGTCAGCTAGTAGTTACACTTTTGGAATAATAGTTAGGTTTCCGTCGTCAATTGCGCCATCGCATTACAAAAAGGGTAAGCTTATATATGATTATAGAAATCATTATAGTTATAATTAAATTTAGTCAAACTCGAAGATAAACAGATTGGTGCCACGTTAATGACGAAAGATTATCTTCTTTTGGTAGTCTCTATCCCGGGATAATTAAATAGAACTAACTTTCCAAGAATGTATATTTTGATCTTACGCGCACAGAATTGGAGTCAAATTTCACTCCTCCTATCTTCGACTCAACTCAATTTTTAACCCAATAGATGAAACGAGATGTAAAGAAAGTATATAACCCTAAAATGTCCTAAATTTCACTATTATGTGGTAGAACAGAAGAAAGATAGTAGAGCACTTTCTGTTGGAACCAAACTTCGAGATTTTCTAAGATACTATAACAAGACAAAATTTATATTTGATGGACCACAGACAAAACCAAAGGACCACTTCACAGATAGTCAGATACACATATAAGTGAAGAAACATAACCACTTTGCATCAGGATGCTTAATAATGTTTTGTTTTAATGCATATCCACAACACCCTCAGATTTTGGGTTTTCTTTTCTTATAAACACGTACGCACGTGCGATATCATGGGAGTAATTAACTAAACAGTAGTTGATGATGATAAACTGATTTTTCTTTCTAAAACAGGTATCTTACTACAAGGAGCTTAATTAACCAGACAAAAAAAAGAAGGTGACCTTTTTTTCGCCACCTCTTATATTCCCTAAGTTTTCTAAAAAAATTAATAATTTTTTTGAAAGGTTGAGGTTACGGATTTACGTAATAGTAGCATCAAAAATATACAAATTGATCCGACAAATGAAATTTGAAATTTGTTCAAAACCACACTGTCATTAGACACAACATCTTTAAAAAGATAAGCAAGGACAACAAACTCCTATAAAGTTTAAGGAACTAAATACTACTATTAAGCAAAGCCCCTTCTCAAAAAAGAAAGAAAAAATCAAACTAAATATATAAGTTAACTCAGTACTAAGTACTAACAAATGAAAGTTGAAACTCACAAACTCACGGGAACAGTAGTGGACAACTGGACATACAACTTCAGCAAACAGCATCCATAAATACAAAGTCATCAAATCATATAGTCATTTCATTTTGTTATTTTTTTGGTTTGTTCTGAAAAATCATTGACTGATTGTAATGATCATAAGAAAACGTGTGACCAAGAAGAGCCTTTAGATGAAGAAGGCTCTACCAAACCAACCAAAAAATCAATACATTATAGAAATGGAAGACCAACGGTGAGGATTTTAATCTGACACGATCCAGCGAAGTGAAATGGAAGAAGCAAAGCTCTGTCGTTTTTATAAGGTTTGATACGAAACCAAAGCTTTATGTCAGTTAAATTTCCCACCATAGTGGTCGTCCGACGGATGTGTCAATCAAACCTGTCCATCAACGAAAAGACCTTTATTACATTTTTTTGTTGTCTGTAAGAACAAAAACTAAATCGGATCATCGGATCGGGTTTTGGAGTAGATCCATGCAAAATATGGGTTTTCTTAAAATAAGGTTTACAAAATGGTTTAAAGAAAACAAAAGAAAACAAAATCCAGGTTCTATTTCCATTTATGGTAATGATATATCTTCAGTTGATACTATACGCGACTTACACATTCTTTATGAATATAATGAGAAGTGCGATTAGTTGAGTGTCCACTGAAAAATTCCAAGGAGGTTTTAATTAAGCACATGACTAAAAGCCATCAAACTAAACAATCCCTCACTAACGGACAACATTTTCAATGGCTATGATCGATAATGAGCACCTATTTACCGTAGACGTGTATACAGCGAAACAAAAACCTGGTGAAAAATCAAAAGGAGTGAAGTTGAAGTTGAACCGATCCGGTTAGACAACTAGAATCATTAAGGTGTCGGCCACCGTAATTGGAAGAGAAAAGCGTCTTTTAGGTCATTTACGGCCGTGCAACCTTTTCAGTCACGCGACGAATATATATTCTCTAATTTTTAAACCGTTTGTTTCTAGTTGAGTTTAATTTTGTTCGTTATTTAGATTCTGTTTTGGTTTACTTGCAAGCAAACTATGCTTTTGAAAATACTCGAATGATAATGAAAACATGCCGTAGTGACACAAAATTAATCTACGTATCCGAGTATTAGCATTGCATTAATCTACGTATACGTTGATGTTGTAAAAAAAAAGGTCCATTGCACTAGGAAGAAGCATTTGAATGTTATATAACTAATTGTCCATTTGAATCATTGAATGTGACAAAAAAACGTACTGCTGAATCACAAAGAAAAAGACAAGTAAGATCATCGTATATATTTACCCGAATCATATTCCTTAACACAAATGGAAAGCCCTTGAACTTCTATATTCTTTTTTCACTCTCTTCAGTTGTGTAATCAATTAAAAGTAAATTATACTATAGTTTTATTATATTGTCGTCTATGGAAATAACGATAAAATAGATGGAATATAACTGCGTGAAATTAATAAACAACTCTAGTGTATCTTAGAGGACCCTGGTAGGTCTTATGTCTAAATTCGTAAATTGTCAAATAATTTGTTCTTTTCGTCACAAAACGTTTTAAGCTGTTGCCTAATATTTACGATCCTGTCCACAAACTACACTTCGTGAGACCAAACTCGCTTTAGTCTCTCTCTACTAGTTTTGTCAAGCCGACGGGTTTCATCTTTTTCTTTAACTTGGTGCTTCGACAGAAACCAAGCAAAGGCTGGAGATCCAAGCAGCGTGCACTGATCGTGTCTCACCACTACGATCATAGTCATGGATGGAATGTGCGGTTTCCGTTCGGCGGGAGATTACTCGGAGAGGTCGGCGCTGATGATGTCGCCGTCTGATTACCAGAACTTGATCTGTTCATCCGCCGGAGACAACCGCGTGTTTGGATCCGACGAACTCTACTCAGCAGCCGCTTCCGCTTTATCTTCGGAGGCGGTTTCGATCTCGCCCCATCGTATTCGAAGAGCTGATGATAATTTCTCGTTTGGCCTCATCAAGTCGAAGATTGCTTCTCATCCTTTGTATCCTCGCTTGCTCGAGACCTACATAGACTGCCAAAAGGTTGTGTCAAGTGATTCTTGCCAAGAATACACCTCACTAAGAACTTCGATCATCATGCTAATTTTTTCATTTGCAATTTTACCCTAAAAAGCAAAAAAAAAGAGGAACAAACAAGATATATCTATTTTTAATAAATTATTTTCTCCAAGAACAGTTGAATTTAAAGCTGATAATATGTGCCTTTTTCTGTTAATGATTCACAGGTGGGAGCGCCTCTGGAGATAGCGAGTTTATTGGAAGAAATTCAGCGGGAGAACGAAGTGTACAAGCGAGATGTTGCTCCATTGTCTTGCTTTGGAGCTGATCCTGAGCTTGACGAATTCATGGTTTCTTTCACTCATCCTTCGTCTCTCGATCTTCAGTTCTCTCTCTCTCTCTTTCTTTTTAGTTTTCTTGATAAGAATCATTTTTTTTTTGCTCTTGTAGGAAACATATTGCGATATATTGGTTAAATACAAATCCGATCTAGCGAGGCCGTTTGATGAGGCAACAACTTTCTTGAACAAGATTGAAATGCAGCTCCAGAGCCTGTGCACTGGTCCCGCTACTTCTAGAGGCCTTTCAGGTCAGCACTATGCCACTCTCTCTTTCTAATTCGCATGTACTGTTGATTTCTTGTTTGATATTTCTTGTTCAATAATGCTAAGTTTTAGTGATCTTTGTGCTCGATCTGTGTGTCCTGTCCTTGTATTTATTTAATTTCCCCTTACAAATCGAGTGGGATATGAATCTCTTCACAGAACTTTCCCTTTGGTGCTCCACACACACCAGTTTCTTGGAATTGATGAAAAAACCTTCTGACACATGTTTTTTTTTCCTTTAACATATTCCCTTTCTTGATTAATTATAGCGGTGAGGAACAAGATAAGTTACAGTACTCTACTAGCCGAAACTAAAAGCTTAGTAAATCCAGTTGTAGAGATAACCGAAATATAAAACCCTAGTTTTGGAGAAAACATTCATAGATTCAGCCACATCATTCACATTTACTGACATTTTCCTTCAATGGTTGTGTTGTTTTTTTTGCAATTATTTTCCTTCATTGGTTTAGCCGTGGGGCTTTAGGTGTAAGGGAGTGGGTGGGATTTTCTCTGCTCATCGATATTTTTCTTCTTATTGCATGATTTTTTGGTGTGTCATACTTTTCTTTTTTTACTTTATATACAGTTGTATTATTATCTTCTCTGTCAGAAAGAAAAAAATGGTCTATGAAAGCAAAAACTTTTGCGCTAGAGATTCTGATTTTGACGTATCAGTGTCGTACTGAAAGTTTTTTAATTGCTTCTTTTCCAGTGAAACTCCAATGATAGAGAGAGAAAAAAACCTAGTCATAAGTTCCACTAATAAATGCCACTGATTTTCTTGAGCTTGTTTCTTGACTTCATGTTTAGATTATCTGAGTCGCTATATGTTGTTTTCATCTTCATTAAGACTGATGGGTAAAACAAAACTCTACCAGTTCTTTGACTGCTCTAGCTACTGTTGGTGAGACACGTTTGTAAAAATCAGTGAACCAAATCTTAATATTCTTTCCGTTTCATAATTAAAGGTTTTTGTGTGACTGAAGTTTTGATTCCACAAATATTATCCTTTTGTATTGATTTTAAAACAAAGTTCCTTAATTAGACTCATAAGTTTATACTTTATAGTGTACCAATAAAGATTCATAACTTATTCTTTTTTTTAATAACGTGTGAAGAAATCTTAAAATAACTCTTTAGAGCGAAACGGAGTTCTTGACAATCAACTAACCCATTTAGACATCTGCCCTTATTACTGAATACATTGTGTGTTAGTCTTGCATTTGAAGTCAGTGTTGTCGAATGTGTTAATTTTCACATGTACATCACTCTTGTCTTGTTTGATGTCTTGATTGTGTCAAATGGTTGGATTTTGTGTTACTTTAGCCCAAAAAGGGCGGAAACAAATCTTTATGTAGAGTTCAAGTTCCAATAATTTGAGTTCATACGCATGGAGATTATAATTAGCCATAAGAATTGCTTTCTGGCCAAGTGGCTGTATTTTTTTGCATGGCGTGGTTGAAGTGTGTTGACGTCTTGTGGAATTATGCACGAGTAAATAAATGACTGAAATGCATTAAGACACTAATTTTCTGCTGCACAAATATGGCAAAGTTAGGGTATTCTTAAAGGACTGCTTTACTTGACTTGTGTATTGTGTTATATGGGTTAAAAAACTATAAATATGGCAAAATCTAATAGTCTATAAGCCACGTTAAAGGTTTCAGATTGCGTGTATTTATTTAGAAAACAAAAAAATTCTAATTAGTACTACCTTAGGGATTTTAAATTAATCATTTATTCTTCATCTCCACCTGATAAGAGCTAGCTGGAAAGATATGGAACTATTTGGGTTTCAGCTTTTGTAGGCTGCTTGATATCGTGCTTTTGTAGTATGAAGTAGATATCAAATGCAGCTTCGGTTGTACTTTGTTAGCATTGTTTAATGTTGAAAAGTTGTTAATTCTTATCAACGTATTAAAATAATTAGAGTTTTGCATTGAGGAATCATGTTTCAAAGGTTGAAAAACAGATCATTAATGTTTGCAGCTTGAATGTTTAGTTTACAATCTTATATTTTAATATGTTTGGAAGTACAACTTGTCTTTTTGGGTAATATCATGTACGTTCTTTTTGATTGGATAAATATTACCTTCTGAACATCTTTTCCTTGGCCAATAGCTTTCCCCGGCTTCTTAACTCTCGAGAAATGAGTTTCTTTTCAACTGAATTTATCTTAAATGTAATTAAAAATACTCATAATGTATTCGATTCAGATGTAGTTTCCAGAGTCACATGCTCTAAGTTTCTTTTCGTGCTAACATGCTCTAATTATGCTGTTTATGACTGTCGATAAGTTGATAGAAGCTTGTATCATGTGCATGGTTTTTGTTCCATCCTCGTCTTATCTTGTAACATTTAGTGTTAGGATGTTGTATTAATATTGGTTATAATGTTGCGTCTCTATGGATCTAGGAGCTTAAGGATTTGCAGTACTACTGCGTCAACCTAGAATGACTTGGGAAACCAATATTAAGATTATATATTCACTACAAATTTGTGTGGTTTGCATTAGAATGCAAACACCTTATGTACCCTTTTTGCTGTGTTATATTCTAGACATGCAGTCCATACCTAAAAAGACTAAGCAGATGCTGAACAAATTACTCTGTGGTTGATATCACGTTTCTTAGATAGTATAGTCCTTTGACACACCTAAAAAAATCCAAGATGGAAAAGAGGAACTGGTGGGTACGTGATAATTAAAAATTGAATTAGAAACCTTTAAGCCGTTTTTATTTAGCAATAGAAGAGGTTGGATAGAAGAAATTAAAGGTTTGGTGGTCGGGTGTCACATGGACTCCCGTGGTTTACGCTGGTGGATCCCTCCGTGACCCAATAGCAACTTCCTCTTTTCTTAAGCTTTTGTTTTTCTTTCTTTCTTTTCTGATTTGATTATAAAGGAAAAGGCTAAAGAAAACAAGGGAATAGGGGAGAAAGAATTCAAAAACATGGGGTTTCACTTCTGTACAACACAATCATCAATGACTATTGACTAATGCATCTCCCCAATCTTTTTCAAACTGTTGCTTAGTGGTTGTCATTTCCTCTGTGAGTTGTTCCCTTGGTAGGCCATGCTATTCCCACGTGTCTTTCTTTTTTTAGGAGGTTTATTAGTCTATCTATATTTCTATCATGCATGTCGTCTCTTTTGCTATGTATTTTGATACTATGAAGTGTATGAACCAATTTCGGCTAATAGTAAAGAACAAACTGAGTAACTGTTGCATACGCCTTCCTCAACTAGCAAAGATTGGATATGGGTGTAAACTATCTTTGTCTGATTTGTCTAGGGATCATCCCATGTGTATATGCATTTAAGATGTTCCTTATATCTACAGCAAACCAAGAAAACAATCAATCATGTCCAAGGATATTGATTTTGAAACACTGGTGCATGAAATACATTATCATATTGTTATGCATGGTTTGGCACTAATCTTATTATATAAAGTTGGATGCGCACGACGTGGTTGCGACACGTAGGATTTTTATAAAATATAAGATCGTGACATGTGTCATTTTTAATGTTATATCCGTCAAGATCATGACACGTGTCTTAGGGGAAAAAGTAAAATTTAAAAAATTTCTAGAAAAAGGATAATTAAAAAAAAACGAAATTTAATCTATTATATTAAAAAAACGAAATTTAATCTATTATATTAAAAAGGACGAAATTTAATCTATTATATTAAAAAGGAAAAAATAATATTTGTCATATCCTAACAGAAAAAAGTTTTCTATTCTGCAAATTTATATTATCCAAACACATATAATTTTCTAAATCCTATTAGTACATGGAACATGTATTTAAACTAAAAATCCTATAGCAGCATGGAATATGTTATATGAACACCTATAAATAGAAAGTTACAGTAGTCTCTTTTTTCTCATTCACAAACTCATCAAAGCAAATTCATCAAATTTCTCTGATTTAAAAGTCATGTCTTTGAAAATTCAAGAAAACAGTGGAGATTATTTGACTCTTGGTCAATTTGATCGAAATTGAGATTTTCGATAAATAATTTAAATTCTTTTGTTACATCTATTAAGAAAAAGAAAAAAAGTCCATTTCGAAAATGAAAAATACCAATATATAATATTTATAATGGTCCGAGGCAAAAACAAAATTGAGAAAAAAATATAAATAGAAAACTAACAAAATAATTATCAAACTATTAACTAATATTAAAAAATAATAATTGATATTCTAATTTTAAATAATTTGATTTTCAATTTTTGTTAGGTAAAAAAAATGAAATAAATATTTCATCAATTAAAATCTCTTGAATGGAATAATAAAAGTTTGATTAATTAATCAGTTGATCAGATTTAGACATGTGTAAGTCTTTCTGTATTGGATAAAAATAATAGTAAAACAAATTAATTCGTTTTGTCATATCATAAATTCAAAAGAAAAATCAATTACAATAAAATATAAAATTATTACCAACCTTATTTTATGAAAATATTTTTTATCGGGTTTTCAGTATTATTTTGCTTAAGTTTAAAAATGATCAAATTTTGTTTAATATATTCCATGCTTTTACTATAAAATCTTAAAATATACCCGCGTATACGTGGGCCTTAATCTAGTACCTTATAAATTAGTACTTGTAGTTATTTAGTTACTTTTTTTTTTGTTAAAGGTATTTTAGTTACTTTCTCTAACCATTAAATGGAGATTAATTGTTGACAAACTATACTGTAGTTGCACTAATTTTCCCATTAATCAAGTTAAAACTCCATATATTATTAGGGTGAGCAACATTAGGGTTCAGTATTATGGTGATAAAATAAATGGGGCAGATACGAAAAAGATCATAAATGTTAAGGGAAGCGATATTTCCGGGGGTCACTGAAAAGGCTCAGAAAGGTAACACGTGTCGTGACTCAGGTGGGTAAGCCCCAGTGAACACGTCGTCCCCTGACAAATGAAAGCTTAACTATTCAGAGTCACTGCGACAGTAATGTTTTTGACAGTCTTGTGAAGAAGCCTCGATATTCTCTCGCTAATCCTTGTTTTTTACCTTTTACCCTTTGGTTCTCTCTTCTTTATGCTTTTGGCTCTTTTCTTGTTTTAGCTGTTTTAGCCACCTAGCCATTTAGCCACTTAGCCGAGCCTACAAGTATCTTTCTTGGTGTTAGGCTGTTTAGCTATGCCCTTGTTTGATAGTGTTTTCAAATTTACATTGTCAAATTTACTGCCAAACATTATTTTTCAGTATTTGGCACTTACGTGGAAGCTAAGCAATAAGCATTATTGATCTTGATCATGAGTCATGACGAGATTCTCCTTATGTGAACAGATGATGGTGCGGTTACATCTGACGAGGAACTAAGAGAAGGTGATGATGATATAGGAGCGCAGGACAGCCAACAAAGAAGCAACGACCGGGATCTCAAGGACCAGCTGTTGCGTAAATTTGGAAGCCATATCAGTTCACTGAAACACGAGTTCTCTAAGAAGAAGAAGAAAGGGAAGCTACCAAGAGAAGCAAGACAAGCGTTGCTTGATTGGTGGAATGTTCATTATAAATGGCCTTACCCCACTGTAAGTGTGTTGCTTTGAGGTTTCATTCTAATCCAAAATGAAGATTTTGTTTCAAAATGTTAATACTAGGCTAACATTTGGTGTGTGTGCAGGAAGCCGACAAAATAGCTTTGGCTGAAGAAACGGGTTTGGATCAAAAACAAATCAACAATTGGTTTATAAACCAAAGGAAACGCCATTGGAAGCCTTCGGAGAACATGCCTTTCGCTATGATGGACGATTCTAGTGAAACATTCTTTACCGAGGAATGAGAAGCAAGACATAATGCGTTGTATGTATAATTTTATTATTGTTTTGCCAAGAAAGAAAAAAAAAGAGCAAAAAGCTTTGGTAAATGGGGAAGTCATGGGCTCATGGCAAATTAATGCAACTCCTAGGCCTAAAAAAAAAAAAAAGGTTGCATGTACGGACAAGGGCTTAACGAGTAACGACCCTTCTGTATTTAAATTAGTGGCAATATTATGTCACAAATCTTTCTCTGGTCCAAAATGATGGGCCTCCTCATTTGTGTTGAACCTTACTTAGATAGAGTGATGTGTCAATTAATACTTATATATATATCTCTATAAGTTTCTTTCATTGTTCGCAGTTAAATTATTTTTCTTAATACATAAAGCATTTGTTTTTTTACATTTTTTATTGTCAATTTCATATTAGGATAATGATACATCGACGACACTACACAAACCATGGTTACATGTCTTAGTCCCGGACCATTTGTTACATGAGTTGTAACCGGAAGAGCATTACTAAGATAACTTGGTTCTGGCTAGAATATTATTTGTGCGGATATATACACTTTAATATATATACTAACTAGCTTCTCTCACTGATTTATTACACACAAAATTTGCTTTATGCTTAATGACGTTTTTTCTTATACAGTTCTCTTCAAACTTATCTACCGTAAAAGGAACTTTGCGAGACAGTGGCAAGAGAAGCACAAGCAGCTGAATCTCCATCAGAAGTATCCCTAAACTCCATAACTCTCTCATCCATAAACGGAGGATTACTTGGCAACGGCAAAGTTTCCTCTTTGTTCTTCAGCATATGCAACACCTTTGACATGGATGGTCTCAGCGACGCGATTTCTTGAGTGCACAAGAGACCTATCTGAACAACTCGCAATATCTCGTTCTTGATGATGACACTATCATCTTGATTCTTCCAGTTCATGTTTGGATCATATATTTCCTCCAACTCTCCTGACTGAAAATGCTTCCATGCCTTATAAGCCAAAAACGCAACACAACAGAATTAGTATGAGGTAAGTGAAATCTCAAATCTTGACTTACTATTTCAAGACTTACCTCAGTAATCAAACTATCTGAGTAATCTGACATTTTGCTTTTGGTGTTCTGTTTTCCAGTGACAATCTCAAGAACAAGAACTCCAAAGCTGTAGACATCTACTTTCTCTGTTAGCTGACCATGAGCTAAGTACTCTGGAGCCATATAACCCCTGCACACAAGCATTGAATCAGAACAAAGTTTTTGAAGTAAAAAAAAAAAAAAATCAAATCTTTAGAGGAAATGGAGACTAACAAGGTCCCTGCAATGGCAGTGCTGATATGGCTCTTATCATCTTGAAACGATCTAGCCAGACCAAAGTCGGCAATCTTAGCTTGAAGCTTTGAATCTAACAGAATGTTACTCGCTTTGATGTCTCTGTGAATGATCTTTACAGTAGACTGCTCGTGCAAATACACCAATCCTTCAGCGGTTCCAACGATGATCAAGAACCTTCTCTGCCAGTTTAAAGTTTTGCCTCTGTTCGCATCTGCAAAAAAAGTCAACAATTTTAGTGTATGATTCTGCTTTTCATGATCCGAAGATGAATCGAATAGTGTTGTTACCAAAGATGAATCGGTCAAGGCTCTTGTTCTGAAGGTATTCATAGACGAGGAGGCTCTCTGGTCCTGAGCAGCTGCAACCAAGAAGCCTGACAAGGTTCTTATGTTCAACAGAGCTGATAATGTTGACTTCATTGTAGAAATCTGTTGCTCTGTGTCTGTTGTTGAAGAACAACCTCTTCACAGCGATGTCTCTTCCATCCGAAAGAACACCCTAGAGAGAGATGCCACAAGATCACACTCAATTTCTTGACAAGAAGATGAAATAGTTTCAAGAGAAGGCACTAAAGATCCATATTCATAATCATACCTTATAGACAGTACCAAATCCACCTTGTCCAAGCTTGTTTGCATTGTCAAACGAACCTGTTGCTTTCTCCAACGTTGAGTACTTGAAGTTCAAGCTACTGTCTGTTAGAGTTTTCGCCATTTTTTCCACATCGACTGATCCTGAAATCCACCAAAAACCTTAGTCAAACACTCAATTCCTCTTTTAACTGATTCATTAGAAATCAAGAAGTTTCATCTAACAAACCTCTTCTCTTCTTCTGTATGGTTCTGTGTTTGCAGATATAAACACCTATCGCTATTCCAACCATAAACACAACCACAGAGCTAAGAACTGAGACCACAATCACTACTACAGAGCCTGCAAAAATCCAGTTGATTCAGTTAGTTAGTTATGTTCAAACTGTTGGCAAAAAGGTTCCAACTTTGCAAGAAACAGAGAGCTTATAGAAAAAAGTTTTCAACTTTACAAGAAACAGAGAGAATATACAAAAAAAAGTTTCCAACTTTGCAAGAAACAGAGAGATTATAGAAAAAAAGTTTTCAACTTTGCAAGAAACAGAGAGAATGAATCTTTATTGTCACCTTTGGATCTTCCGTTTCTTGGAATCTGATTCAAGAAATCTTGATCAGAGTACCTAAGGAAACAACCAGTGTGAAGCGCACGCCCTTCAGACCAAGGCAAACACTCTTTAACCATAGTCGCAGAAGCATTCTCCAAACACTCTTTACAAGACTCAGGACTCAGATTCCTCCAGCAATTCGCCAACGCAAACGCGGAAGACTCGGACTCTCCAGCGTTTGCAGACGCGCGAGCGTACCCGCCGTTTCCAGGAGCTTCACCGACCGCGTTCTTCACCGCTCTTCTCACGGAATCGCCGAAAGTCGAATCCTTTTTCCTCGTCGTGTTCCCACAGACGACGTTGTCTTCAGGTCCTTTGAATTCGTTGTAGAAACTGTAGTTCTCAGCTCTCATGAAACATCCGTCGAGAAAGATTCGGCCTCCGTTCTGAGGGTAACACTGTGGGAGGATCGTTCTCGCTTCCGCGTAGCAGAGGACGCAGTCGTTTAGAGTGAGGTCTCCGTAGCACTGTGCTAAACCGTAGTTAGCGTCTGGTCCTGTACCGGTTAGAGCGACTCCGAAACCGGTTGTTTGGACCTGTTGGCTGATTTTCTCCATCGTGGCTACGAAATTGGGGACGTAGACGGTTGCGTTGTGCTCGAGAAGTGGTGAACATGTGACTTGAACGGCTCGAGCTCTTCCGTCTCCGGTGATCGGACGGAGTAGTGAAAGAAGGGAGATCAAGAGACATGGAAGGTACAGAGGATTGAGATGAAGATGGGTTGGTTCTTTCTTCATTTTTGTTTTGGTGGATGATTGAAAGAGATCTTCTTTTTTTAAGGGATGAAATTGGGGAAGATTGAGGATTGAAATGATGAGATTGAAGAAGTTGAAAGAGAAGAATTTTCAACAGTTTGACTTTTTTGATCTAATGGGTTTGTGCTTTGTAATAAAAGTCAACCTAATTCGCTGTCTGTTTCTCTCTCTCTCTTAGTTACTATCTAGTCAATAAAGTAAGAAATGAGATTTTGGATAGAGAGACTGAGAGAGAGAGAGATGTGGAAATTTCTCTTGGATTCACACTTGGAAACCAGCTAGATCATGTTGATGTTGAAGTCGTTGTCTTCGTTTAGATATTTGTTGATTTTATAAAACGGTGGACCAATAATTAATTGAGCTCAACGGTGTGGAGCCGGTTCGGTTTAGTTGAATAATCCATTTACTTTTTTTTCGACATCAGAATAATCCCTTTACTGATCGAATTCATCTATCATCATCTTCATCAAATTCAGTATTTCTGAATATGTTTTCCAATTAGCAATCCGACATCCCTCTGTATAAATTTCATTTTCATAATATTCTAAGAAAAAAAAAGGTATTTACAAGACCGGGGTGTTAGTAAGACGGCATTCCAAAGATTTAAGAAATGGCTAATGGATAGATTGACGTCAAAATAACCACTTTCGCATGGTACATTTACAATTTCTAGAAATTTAAAAGAAATAACAAACTAACATTTTGAATTCTCATTGTCAAAAGTTTTAGTCAATAAAAAGAAAAAAGGGTAGCACTAAAAAAAGTTTACATATGATCTAGCATCAAATAGCCTGATTTTACATTTAAACACCCACACAAAAAATAACTAAAATTAGCTTATACTCTCTCTATCCCAAAATGTAAGCAGTTTGATTTTACATTTTCACTTTTAAAATAAAATTAGCTTATACTCCCTCTATCCCAGAAAATAACTAAAACTAGCTTATAATCCCACATAGTAATCGGAGAAATCTTTCCAAAGGTAGAAAAAAAAGAAAAAAAAAAAGAAAAGATGTCTTTTTCCTGAAGAGAAGCGATCAGATGAGCGTCTGCGCGCGTGTGTGGGCATGCGTGGGAGAAGAAATGAGTCACACACGCAAGAGAGAAAAAAAGTCAAAAACTATCACTTTTGAAGAACAGGGTTATGTTTTGTTTTTTTTTTTTTTGTTTTTCGTTTGTTTCTAGTAAAAACTGATCATGTGTTTATTGTTGTATAAACTACCTTTTGTTAAAATTAGAATCTGAGCAAGAGAAAAAAAAAAGTGTAACATGTATGTATGATATATTTGTGTGTGTTGTGAGTCTTGTGACCTAATTTCAGTATGTGGGGTCTAATTTTTTTTGGTAGGAAATATGTGGGGTCTAATTAAAAGTTTAAAACATCATCACATAATTTTGTATGACTCTTTGGTAATAAAGTTAAATACATCTTATTTTTGATATTTGCTTGCTTAGCTGAAACTTGAAAGTAATCTAAAATGTACATAAAAAATGATACTTCATAATAGGTTGAAACTTTTTTTTTTTTTTTGTTTTTTAAGTTTGTTAAAGAAATTTAAAACTGATTCTTAATGTAATTATATTTTGTTACCGAAAGTTTGTGCCAAGCGATCTAGCCACGTCTACGGTCTACCCCTTATAGTGAAAAAAAGACAATATACGAAAGAAATATTTTTATAGAAGATGTAACGGGGATGACGTACACAAGTTAAAATACTCTCTGTAAGATTGGTTGTAACTTTTGGGTATGCCTTTTCCACATACAAGATGTAAGAGGTTAAGTCACCACCGGGACAACATAAAATTACCGAAATAGTTCCTTCATATCATTTCCTTTACTATGGCAGCTTTTATTCGACATCATTAAGCAACTTTTTAAAAATGAAACATATATATCATCTATATACTAGCTAGTCTAACATTATTTTCTTATATATAAAGCTATAAACAAAGAAGAAAGTATTATTGATGAATCATCTTGGGCAATGAGGAGGGATGAGATGCTTGGGTGAAAGTGAAAAAGCTAATCTTGATTTGGGCCAAAGGATTGGAGTGTGAAGAAATCCGAAAAGCTGGCCATTGCATGCTCCTTCTTGTACTGAAACCGCTCGATCAAATGCCTATACGTATATAAAATAAAAAAGACTGGATGAGAAAAATGTTGGGTTGAAATGTTTAACTAAAAAGTGGATATGTATACGAAAGTTACCTTCCGACGTAAAATCCGGCAAGTGACCATGCCCAAAGAAGGTTTTCCATCTCCAATTTAAGTAAAACCTTGGGTGAAGTGTCTTGGAAGCAATCGAGCACTATACCGGCTCTCTCAAAAGCCTCACGGACCATTATCAACACATCAAAAATCTCCACCGTCTTTTGTGCGCCTGCTTTGTCGAAGCTCATGGACCAACCCGAGTTAAACTTGTTCAACAAAAGAGCAGGTAGATTGTTCACACGTGCAGTGTCACCATTAGCATGCTTGCTTCGTTTCAGTTTTCCTCTTCCAAAGGCCTCGCCAGCTTGGAATTGAATCATTGTGCAGACGGTTGAACAGTCCACGGACGCCTCAGAGGTGGAGCCAGAGTTGGACTTAGAGCTTAGCATCTACAAATAACCGCTTCATGTAAGCATCCAGACTAAATTCCAAAATTTGACTAAAAAAAAACAAAATTCATACACGAAACTGATGTTTTTCTACCTACAAATTTACTTCTAGATTGTTCGCATGCATAGATATATATAGTTCATATTTCATAACATAAGCGTTAACAATATGTACCTTCCTGGCAAATTTCTCGCCGGACTTGTAATCCCAAGCGTAAATAGCTTCGCCGGAAAACTCTGAGCTGAGTCCTTCAATCTCCGGCACAACTGTCTCCGCATTTTCTCCCCTAGCCGCCACAAGCCAGCGGCAGACATACTCGACCTCTGCCCGAGTCGGCTCATTGTTCGACTTGGTCTTGACTCGCCACAACCCACTAGTCTCGTCGAACCTAGCGGTCTGCACACAAACGTTGAACTTCGGGTTGATCTCGAACTTGGTGGCGTAAGCCTCGAGGTAGTCGATGCACTGACACTTCGTCGGGTACTCCGGGAAGCTCTCCGGGAACGGCATTTTCGGTAACTGACAGAACTGCTCCGGGAGGTGAAGTTTGAGACGGTCGTAGGTTCGGTTTTGCCATAGAGAAGCAATGCAATCTGCTCTCTCGAGAACAGCGAAAGGAACGTTCTGTTCCCGGAGACGAGCGGCCGTCGCTAATCCCGAAGGCCCTGCTCCGACGATGACCGGTCCGTTGACCCAAATGCACCGGCTATGGTGACTCACCAAATGAAACATATTATCCATGTGAGGGTTTTAAGTTTGCCAAAGAGCTTTAGAAGAGACACAACTTTCTTATTAACCAAAGAGTTGCAAACAATCTCTAGAAAAGAATAAAAGAAGAAGAAGAAGAGACTTTAAATAAGAACACTCTCTTTTCTCTCTTATTATTCTCTCTCTATTGTTTTCTTGCTCTCTAATGTTTGGGATGATTTAGAAGAGAGTAGAGGGCTCCTTATATAGAGAAGATGTCTCTGATTTTACCTTTAGTTCTCTGGAACTTTTGGCATCATTAGTTAATATTGGTAGAGACCCAAAATGTCTCTTAGTTAATATTTTATCAGTAAAATTAGTTCAACAAAACCTTCTTAAGAGACCTTTCTTTTGGCTGCTCCAATGGTAGGATTCTTAACCAAAAACAAAAATTGAAATTTTCAAGAATGTTTAAATGCAAGAGAGAAAAAAACTGAGTGATCAAACGCAATAATCAGATACATATACCAAAACAAGTCATGTGTGTCAACGTTTGTTTTAATGTGAAGGTTGCAGAACAATATAAGACACAAAAAGGAATAGAAAGACTCACCAAACCTGAGCGATTTCACTTGTTGGAACTTGCTTGTGAAGTGACTCGTAGAAAATCCTAAAGTGGATCCCTCTGCAAAATTGCAGGATCAACAAGATTATTCAAACGAATTCGCCACAAATCTTAGTAATCACATAACGGAAGCAGCAAAAGCAGAGAACCACAATTATTATCTTAAACATAGTAAATATAAGAAACATAACACACAGCCTTGTAGAAACATAATGAATATAGATCAAGATAACAATAGGCCACATGGTGTGCCATCAGAATGTTCTCAAAGATGGTCTGCATTCCAAAGTTATGTTTCACTTTCATAAAAGCTATTCCCATTGTAAACAAGGGAACCACCACAGAGACTGTCAATGATATATATTCCCTTGCCATGAGTAGATTAAGGAGGAAAGCCTATAAACTTACAGCATACAAGTCACCACCACTTTTTCTTGTGTCTCCCTTGACTGCAACCAAGTCAAATCCAGTTGACATTGAGCTGGAACAGACACATCACCAGTCTTCAAAGGCCTTTGTTATATTTGAAGAAATGAAACCAAATAATTGTGCTGTATGCTATGTTATAACGAATCATTGAAGTCCAAAACTACATGTCTAACAAGATTCTGAATTAAAATGAACCTGAATTTCATCGAAGATACTTCTCAAAGTTCCTGGTCTAGGCTCCACAGAAAGAGGCTGAGACAATGTCAATGACATAGACAGAGGAAACAGCTGGAGACAGAGACACGGTTATAACGTATAGACAGTACCAAATCCACCTAGTCCAAGCTTGTTTGCATTGTCAAACGAACCTGTTGCCTTCTCCAATGTTGAGTATTTGAAATTCAAGCTACTGTCTGTTAGAGCTTTAGCCATTTTTTCGACATCCACTGATCCTGAAAACACACCAAGAATCTTGTTTTAACTGATTCATCAGAAATCAAGAAGTTTAGTCTAATAAACCTCTTCTCAAGAAATCAAGAAATTCTTCCTCTAAACACTCTTTACAAGACTCAGGGCTCAAGTTTCTCCAGCAGTTCGCCATGATTCAGATATTTGTCACCTACTAATCCCATGTTTCGAATATATTTAGGAAAATTTGCATGTCCACAGTGGTTAAAAAGAAGCGTTCCAAACTAAATAAATAAAATGACAAATGGATCAATTAGGTATGGTTGTAGGATTTTATAAAAGAAAACCAAAAATAAATTACCATTGACAATAGTTAAAAGTTCAAAAAAAATTATGTTCTTTGAAATACAGTCATTGTTTTGTTGCAATTTTTATTCTGCAACAATCATCTCCTGTGCAATGTTTACATGCTTCTTCCTCCCATTATGCGATGCCCTTTTCTTTCTTTTTTTTTCTCCATCCAGAAGAACTTTAGCACATTTCATCTGCAGACAACAGACTCAATCAGGATAAATGTATTGACAGGTTTTTGTTGCTAAGATTTGGTTTTGGAGAGATCGACATACCTTGGCATACCCACTTACAATCGTAAGTGCGTTCACTCCAATGGAAACTTCATCTTTATCTTTGTTCAGACCCTAAAAAATCAATGCACCGTGAGTTTACAAGCTTACCACCTCCTTGGAGCAATAATCTCTCAACTTAAGGATATTAAGAAAGAAGCTTACCTCCACATCGCAGAGAGCACTCATTGCTTTACCTAGCTTCTTCAACACGTCTTTATCGGCCCCAAACCTAACAAACCGGTGAAAAACGAAATTCATTAACCAAAAATCTAATAATTTACTTAAAAAAAACAAATGGTACAAATTTTGTTTTTTTTTTTTTTTTTTGTCACCATACTTCATCACTGCAACAGGACCACAAGCGTCTATCTCATCTAGTATAGGTTTCACCTCTGGATCTTTCTTCATCTGCGCCACAAACTCGGCAAATTTCTCTAATGCAACAGGGTCCCCGAGCGCCTCCAGAGACGGAGACAGTTGCGGATACTGAGATCAACACAAATAAATTAAATAATCAACCAACCTATAAGCAAGATATTATGTCACATGATCATTATCAGGCTTGGAATGACAAAAGCCTGAAGAGCAATTTTACAAGACATATTATTACTACCTCCCGTAAGTTGTTATGGAGGCGCTGCGCCATTTTCACAATTTCAGGGTCATTTGGAAAAGCTCTATGAAGCTGCTCAGATAACTGGTTGAATGATGCAGGATCTGTAGCTAGTTTGTCACTCTCTTTCTTGATCTTTGACTCCTAAAAAAAAAACAACCAATTAAACCAAAAAAATCCAAGGGGAAATCATTGACTATTCACCAGAATTTCAATTGACATGAAACAAAAAAGGAAAGTGGGAATTACATCGGGAGCGACCAGAGCGAGCATGCCTGGGATATCAAAAGCATTCGAGTTATGTGAAGAATTTTTACTTCCATCCTCTGAATCTGCGGAGAAAAAAAACAACCATCAAAATCTGACTCGAAAGGCTTGAAATTGAGATAAAACAGCAGTCGTAGATTTAAGACAGGTAAACAAAAGTACCTGTACAAGGAAGAGTTTTCTCTGAACTAGTTGCCATCGGGTTATGTCTGAAAGCCCTAGAAAAAAAACAAACAATTACCACAGAGATTTAATTTTCCAGAAAATCAAACACTGGGTATCCAAATCGAAAACATGACCCGACGGAAACAAAATAAGGCGGGGGAGGATACCTATCGAATTCGGATCGAACGAGGAAGATGGAGATTTGGCGCAGCGTATCAATTACAGGGACATAAAACCCATATGTTAAAAAGAATATTATATATATATATATAGAGGATATAAAGTCCCAAGTATTTCCAAAATAGGAAAATAAAAATTATCAGAAGTAGAAGTCAGTACTTATAAATAAAAGTTAAACTAATAATGAAAAATATTTAAAATAAAATAACTTTGTCGCCGATTCTCTTGCTAAATTTGCTTTATCGCACCTTGTTTTGAACGCCTTGTTTTGATCGCCCTTTGAGGCATTTCTTTTATTTTAATGAAATAGTCCGTTGATCAAAAAAAAAAATTAGGCCAAAGGTTTGGAGCGTGAAGAAATCCGAGAAACTAGCCATTGCATTCTCCTTCTTGTATTGAAACCGCTCAATCAAATGTCTATACGTAAAAATAAAAAGACAAGATGAGAAATGTTGGGTTGATATGTTTAACTAAAAAGTGGATGTATACGAAAGTACCTTCCCACGTAGAACCCCGCAAGTGACCAAACCGAAAGAAGTTCTTCCAATTTAGGTAAAACCTTGGGTGAAGTGTCTTGGATGGAATCGAGCACTTTACCGGCTCTCTCAAAAGCCTCACGGACCATAATCAAGACATCAACAATTTCCACCGTCTTTTGTGCGCCTGCTTTGTCGAAGCTCATGGACCAACCAAAAGAGCAAGGAGGTTGTTCACTGGTGTAGTGTCAAAAGTTTTAGTCAATAAAAGAAAAATGGGTAGCATTGAAAAAGTTTACAAAGGATCTAGCATCAAATAGCCTGATTTTACATTTAAACACCCACAAACAAAAAAAATAACTAAAGTTAGTTTATATGTCCTAAGATTATGTTAGTTTAGTCAAAAACACCACTAACATATATGAAGGGCCGTCCCTGGCTTTACATGGGCCGCAAGCCAAATTTAATTTTGAGCCGATGAAGTAATAAATTAAAGAGAATTTTAAAAGGAAAAACATATTATACAGAGGGGAGATTCGAACTCTGCACCTTAAACCAACATAACAGCACGCATAACCAACTAAGCTATAGGAGACTTTGTCAAAATATGGCCAATTAAATTCTTATTTAAAAACAGGGCCGCAAGCACCTGCTTACCATGCTTGCTCCCAGGGACGGCTCTGCATATATGATACTAGGAGTAGGTATGCCCACAGTTTTTAAATTTTATTAATTTATACAAAAGTGAGAGATGTCAAAAATTTACTTTACCAATATAAGCAAATTTTAAGCAAAATATATGCCAATTATAAGTAAAACATGTTAAATCAGACAAAACATTATCATGGTCAAAAAAACTATTTATCAAGAATTTACCAACATTTTCCAATGAAATAACCTCTCAATGCATGGTCAATTGATGATTCTACGTGGGAAGGTAATTTCATATACATCGAACTTTAAACATTTTGTGTTGTGTATTTGATCGAGCATTTCATTACTGGAATGAGTTTACCATAGTCTGATTGAAGATTTCTTCACTCTACAAACCTTCGGACCAACTGAAAATTATATAGTAACCAATCATTTTCCAGGAAAACTGAAACGGAGCAATGATCCAATTCCAAGCAGCAGATGCATTTGTTTGGGGAACACTGAAACGAGCAATCATGCTAATCCTGGCACTACACTTCTCAGCAACATTCTTGCTCTTTTATTGCATAACTTCAACACAGATTGGTCCATGAGCATCGACAAAGTAGGTGCACTAAATATTGTGTAAATTGGTGAACTGAAGTTGATTTCTCTCCATACCATCTATATTTCTTCCTCAAATTTAGAAATTACTACTTTTTTTTCTTCTTTTTTTTGAAATTACTACTTTTATCATCTATTTTGACGTTAAGTTATTCTTAGTACATCAGAGGTGGACCAACTTTCGTCAGCATGGTCCCTTGCCAGGTTTTATGTAGGAAGACATTTGGTGGAGCGTTTTCACTTCGAGAAAAAGAAAGATATGGACATATGGTGACCTTCTCAGATTTTTTTCACCCTACAGTCCATATTTGGGCCAAGTGAAGACTGATGACAGCACGGTAATACTTTCTTTTAAACAAACTTTAAAGACGTTTCATGACATATCACATATGTTACATTTGAGTTTGATCGCCGTTTGTAATAAGATAGTAACAAAATAAGTAAACACTATTTGACTATTTCACAAACCTAACATACAAACTCAAGAAAAACGCAAACATGAACAAACGCTTGTAATCTTTAATCATACTATTATACAAAAAATCGTAAACCGAGACTAAACCGGAGTCTGCCCTCTACTATGTGAACCCTAACAGTGTTCTCTTCTCTTCCTTAGCTTATATATGACATTGTGGTGGCTCATACGTGACCCTCAATTAGTTACACACGATTGATTTGGCATCTCAACTTTTGTACATATGACACAGATTCTTATAGAAACCGATCTAAAAGCTCATCTAGGTTCGAAGAAACTATCAGAGATGTTGTTACTCATCATCGATCCCGAAGACTGAGACTGATCTTGCTGAGGATAATCCGTCATAGGAGACATCATCTTTCTCATCTCTACAACACTCCCTGGATTCAGAAACGGCGGCTGCGTCGGCGTAGGAATCTCCAAATTCCCTTTCATCATTTTCACAACCGCAGACATCGCAGGCCTTTGATCAAACGCTGCTTGTACGCAGAGCAGCCCTATCTGAAGAAGCCTTGACGCTTCGATCTCGTTGAAATTATCTCCCAAAACCGGATCCACTATCTCAGCCAAGTTGCTTGTTCCATACAAACTCCATACCTAAAAAGTTTTTTGTTTTCAAGATTCAAGAAAAGGGTTTTGACCTAAATTCAAAGCTAGTAACTTTCTAAAGAAGTTACCGTTTTTAGGACCGAACTAGAGTCTTGTGAGAAGGCATTGTTACGTCTTCCGGTAATAACTTCAATCATAAGTACTCCGAAACTGTAAACGTCTGCTTTCTCAGTCAGTTTTCCTCGTACCACATACTCTGGCGCCATGTAGCCTCTGTTTCCACAAGCAAGAAACTTCAAAAATCAGTCTGAAAAACGTCAAAATTGTAAAAAAAAAGTTATAAAAAAAATCAGTTTGGAGACTTTACAGTGTACCGGCGATGGCTGTACTAATATGAGTCTTGTCCTCAGGGAACAATCTAGCCAATCCGAAATCAGCGATTTTCGCGGTAAAGTCATGTTCCAAAAGGATATTGCTCAGCTTAATGTCTCTATGTATGATCCTTAGATTCGACTCTTCGTGAAGATACGCCAGTCCTTCTGCTGTGCCAAGTAAAATCTTGAATCTCTTCGTCCAATTCAGCGGTTGAACATCTTTTCTTACTGAACAAGAAACCAAGTAAGAACCAGTCAAGATAAACCCTATTGGGACACTGTAACTAACTAACCGCAAGAGAAGGTTTAGGATGAGAGAATCAAACCGAAAAGATAGTCGTGGAGGCTTTGATTCGCAATGTACTCATAAACCAAAAGGCTCTCTGGTCCTGTTATGCTACATCCCAAGAGCTTCACAAGGTTCTTGTGTTCGATTTGGCTTATTAAGTTGACTTCGTTGAAGAAATGATCCACCCATTGCTTTGTGTTGAAGAACAGTCTCTTCACCGCCACAGTCTTACCATTAGTAAGAACTCCCTATTCCACAAGAAGAAACTAATTGAGAGATTAGAACATCCGAAGAAGAAACTCTTAATACAAGATCACAACTTACCTTAAAAACAGAACCAGATCCTCCTTGTCCTAGCTTGTTTTTGTCGCTGAAGTAATCAGTGGCTTTCTCAAGATTCTCATAGGAGAAACAGAGATCAGACTTGTTGGCTAGCATGAATAGTGACCCTAGTTGCTTCTTCTCTACATTACATAACACAAGACACAAAACCCTAATCAAGATCAGGACTTTAAACTCCAATGACTGATTCTGAAACATAAATCTTAACTAAACTGAATTTGAAACATTCAGAAGTCACAAACCTCTTTGGTTCTTGGCGCGTTTCTTCTTAAGCAAGAAAGCAGCAGCAAAGACCAAAAGAACAAAAGCCACAACCGAAGAAGTAACCGCCAAAATCACAGCCAAACGGTTACGACCTAATCAACAAAAATATTTGCTTAATCAATGTCTCTTAACATTCCCAAAACGTTACAAATATTTCACTAAATTTATCTTACTTACCACCACCACCATTTCCATCTGATGTTGAATTTCCAGAATTATTGTAAAACTTCTGAGTAGAGAACCTCATGTAACAACCAGCGTTAAGAACTCGACCTTCCTCTCTATCCAAACAAGAACCAATCTTCCTCGAAGCATTACTCAAACACTCAACACATCCACTGCGACTAAGCGGCTCCCAACACTGAGCCAAACCATGAACCGTCACGTTACGTCTCTCCACAAAGCCAGCATAGAAACCACCGTTCCTAACCGCCTCCACGGTCATCTTCCTCACCAATTCCGCAGCGTTGTCACGGAACAGAGTCCGGTTTACTCCGGTTAACGTTTGGTTTGCACAAATCGTCTCGTCTTTCGGGCTTAACGTTTGGTTAAAGAAATTGTAATCGCCGTACCTGATGTAGCAGCCATCGGAGAAGACTTGACCACCTCGTCTGCCGAGTTGAAAAGGCAAGCAGCGAGGGACTTTGGCTTTGATCTGAGCGAAACAGAAGGCGCAATCTTTCTTGTCGAGATCTTTCATACACTCTCCGTAAGCGTAGACGGTTAAGTTTCCGGTGCCGTTGAAGACTTGTCCGTAGCCTTTGGCCTCAACGAGTGGAGAGATGGAGTCCATGGCGGCGAGGAAAGATTTTACGAAGAGACTTCTCTGCTGCGGCGGCGTTGTTCTGTTGCTGCATATCTGAGACACCGTCTCTCCTCTCGAATCGTCGGAGACCGCAGGGTTTAAGAGGGAACTCAGAAGAAGAAGAAGAGTGAGAGAAAGATTGGTCTTGAAAATCTTCATCTGAGATTAATCTTGTGAAATCGAGCAAGATAGCATTTGTTTGGGTTTTTTCGATCTTTTCCTCTGTTTTGTGTGTGTGTGTTTCTCTTCTAATGGATTTGGGTGTGGAGATAGAGAAAGGGGAGTTGAAATTCGATTGCGGTTGTTGGGTCAAGTGGAAAAGGAAAAAAAAAAAACTGGAATTTTTTCAATTGAGTTTTCGTCTCTGTGAGAGATGTGGATGATGGGTGTGGAGAGTCAAAGAGAAGACTTTTCTGATTTTCAACGAAAGAGAAGGATCGCATTTAGGACAGTGAAATGGCGAAAACGGCGCCGTTCGGAGTTATGTTCTGTTTTTGATGTTCGGTTGATGTGCATGACGTCATCGCTTTGTCACCTTTTTTTTTAATGTTCTGAAATTCTGATTTTTGGCACTCATTGTCTTTTGTTGCCGTTTGGTGTTGAGGTTTATAACATCGATGGTGAAATAGTTACATGGTTGAAAAGATAATTACAGTACCAACTAAAAAATCAGGAAAAATAACAATTACGAGAATGTATTAGAGAGATATCAAGGAAATGGTATTAGATTAATAGATTGTGTAAGGTAGGTAATTTTGATAATACGGTAAATAGGATTAGCATTGTACTTAAAAATGTATTTGGAGTTCAAGTGTATATCAGGAATTCCAAATCTTGAATCCTATCGTGTGCAAAGTGCAAAGAGTCCAATTTGATTATTTAAGCCCCATTTTGTTTTATGTTTTGCATTTACAAACACAACTCCATGTTGTGATAATTAGAATAGTAGTACAACATAAAAAACACACACGTAAACGAAAACAAACAACCATAACAAGAATAAATTTATAATTCAATTGCATGTATGTTATAATCTTTACACGAGGCGGGGTACAAAATATCTTACTTATTACACGCATTAAAATCTATATAGTCATTCATGTGTGACATGAACTAAACACACGAGATGGGGATCTTCTAGAACTTTTTTTGGTTCTGTAGTAGGAGGAGGACTGTAGAAAAAAAAACAAGCAACGTAATGGCGTAAGCTCGAACTATGATATTGCGGGGGTCGTCTCTAAAATCAAAATAACTTTCAGTCATCAATCTCTTACCGGCCCTCTGCCGTATTGTGAGGGTCGTCCTTGAGTCAAAGCAACTTCAATTATTATTATTTTATTCTTTCTCCACATCTATATCCATCCATCGAGATATTATTTTCTTCGGCCCTCGAATTTATCTAAAGTTGCCGCACACTTTGAATTTCTTATGTTTTCTGAAAACGACAGAATCTTTTCTGTCAAACTCTCAATCATCACTTCTTGATAATTACGTTTTTTGGTTTTAATATTTTTGCAGTTAAATAAGTAAGAAATTGTTTACGAGGATATGTGACTTGTGAACATATGGAAGCCTTTTTTTTTCTTGCAAGATGCTAGATAGATATACGTTGGCTGTGTTTCTTTTTGAAGTCATTCGATTTTTGTTTACAGCGTGTGACGAAAAATATCTATGCTTTTCATATTTGATAAATACAGCATTTGTTAGATCAAATTAAATCACATAACAAAACCTAGCTAGTCGCTACAATGTGATTAATTCAACGAAAGATCTCGCGATTCGTTTGACGGATCTTCATATATAAGTCGTCAAAGTGAGTAAACACGGTTTGTGAAATGATTAGTACAAATACAGTGTCTCTCAACGAATAATAATCAAATGGACTAGTCGATAAAACCAAAATCCGATTAGAGAAATTGTCGGGATTTCTCTGAAAAAAAAACACAAAACATAAGTAGAAACCGGTGGGTCCCGCGGTGTATACCCTTCTAGAAGCAAAGCGACCTGCACGTGATTATCAAAAGTCAACGTCAACGTCAATGACATTGTTTGATGCTTGTGGTATTATTATTGATATCTACTTGCATTAATGCAAAAAAACAAACTCCTATCTGTACTTGACTACTTGCATTAATGCAACAAAACAAAATCCTTACGCTGATCGACATCTATTTTAAAGTTATGTCGTTGTAAGAAAATAAAACTCTTTTTTTGGTCTTTGGAATCTAGACGGAAACCGTGTAAAACTTTGTTGTCTTTTGGATTTTGTGTTTGAAACGATGCATTTTAAGTCTACAATTTGATATGCTCTATGACTTTTTTTTTCTTCAACCGACGAAACGAATACTCATTTCGAGCTTGGTGTGCACTTTAGTCAGTTTAAAGATCTTAGAATATGTTGATAAACATCTTTGACTTATGTTCAAGGGATGTCCACTAATGGCCTCGTCACCATCCATCTTGAACAATTACATTTTTTTTTTGCTTATATGAATATTAATTAAGGATAAACGATAAATTATTTTTACGTTTCGACAAATCTTTTCAATAAGATATCCAAGGTATATCTTGAGTTCTTGACAAACGGAATATAAAATCGCTGCATCAGTGTGCTGTTTCTTAAATACGCTTTACTAGAAATTTATGTCATCATTCACGGGAAAGCCCAAATAAGTTTGGTTTGTGCATCAAACAAACGGCCGTACATTTCGAAGCATAGTCAGAAACCATAAAAAAAAAAAAAAGATCTATAATTCGCATTTTCTCGAAAGAAAAAGAAAATACCTCAAAACTTGAAAACGATCCATCTCATAAGACTTAAATAATCAATGAACTACATTTGATGTCCCTCTAATTCACCGGTGACAAATTATTTCAATTCTTGTCCACAAGAGTATTTACTTAAAATAACCAATTTTCTTTAGCATATGCGATACATATAAATAACCAATCTCCCTCTCTTCGTCCGAATAATCAACAACCGGTGCTCAAACACAACTAGTTTAATACACACCTCAAAAACACAACTACCATATACACACACAAATATACAACATGTCAACAAATCTCCACCTTGCGACGGTGGTTCTCTTCTTCCTCACGGCAAGCCAAAGCGGCATAGCGATGGCTCGCCCCATGGTTCCCGGTGCGCGGGATCCATGCGCCGTGTCGGATTTCAAGGTGTTGTGCAGATCAGTCGTGAAGGGCCAAAAGAACGTCAACGCAGCGACGGAAGTGTCCATCAGAGAGCTGATGAAGAGGACGATCAAGGCAAAACAAGCCGCAGCGACTGGCCGGAAAAGTGGAGGAGGACTCAAGACTTGCTTCTCAAACTACGATAATGCGCTTGAAAATCTACAAAAGGCGTTGAATAACATTAAAGAGAATGATGGATTTAGCCTTAACATCAACCTCAGTGCCTCATTGACCCAGTTTGATACGTGCAGCGACGCCATGGGCGGTGATAAGGCGTCGAATACTGTCTTCGCTAAATCTACAAGCACCTTGCATGAAATGGCTGATAACTGCTTGGCCCTCTCTACCCTTGTTAAACAATAATGATATGAAGCCATTAAAAGCTGTTTGGTTTTGCGATAGATAATTACTTTGTTTGTTTTTTGTTTTTCTTTTTGCGGGATTTCTCGTTTCTTGATTAATTCCAGGAGTTTCTTTTATTTTTGTAAAGAAAAAATCAGAAAAATGGTGGAAAAAGAGAAGAGTGAAATTCATGTACAGTTTCGGAATGTATTGACATCGTGTGTTTTTAGTTTTTATGTATAGTTTGTTGTTCCTAACATTTTTTCCACAGCTTCGTATATTATTTTCTTATACTATTTTCAAAGTTATGGATTTTTCACAACCATAAACCATCATCACAAAACTCAAACGTTTTCGCATAATTTTGTTTAAAACTGTTTATAAGAAAGTAAAGAAACTACTAAAATTGTTCACACCGATAGGTCGGAAGAGCCCATATAAAGCCCAATACAACAAACTACGAACATCATTGTGTATTTACTATTTAGATAAGTCAAGGTTACATACGCAGCACTAATCATCATGTGCATCATGATGATGTAGTGGCAATAATGTGTTCTGGTCCGAACAAAAATGTAATAATCACGCCGCTTTGCGAAACACCTTGTTTATAAAATGATGAGTAATCATAGTCGAATGCCGAATCGTATAGTATAGTGTAAATATTCGACGGTACTTGTAAGAAAGAGTACTTAATGAAATCTTGATTAACTCAAGAATAAAAGAAACAAAATCTAACCTCGTGGAAGAAAAAGCTGAGCATGGGACGGCTTTAGACAGCATCATTGCTCTTACATCAAATTGTTGTATCCTCTTTTTGGTTCAATATTCCTCTTTTTTTCTTCACCTTTATTTTTTTCACATTCTCTTTCTCCCTCTTTTAGTTAAAAAGAAACTAGACTGATTATGTATGATAAAAAAGTAAACAGCATGTTTTAGAACAGATTTGCTATATTTAATTTTCGTTATTTACATATATTCTTTGTTCACTGCAGAGATGGTGTAGTGGAATTTATGATGTGGAATCGACCATGTTAGAGTATGCCTAGTTTTCTGGGGTATGGTGAGAACGACACTATCATGTTATAAACACTTTTTTATTTTTGACACATAAATTTTTTGAATCTGCATCGATTATTGGAATTATATTCCCTATAGTTAATTAGTATGATTGGAGTTTTTAATACTCTGAAGTTTTATCTTCATGATTGGACAAACAGAAGACCTGAACGAAGCCAACATGAATTTGTGGCTTGCTTTTAAATTGTTTTCTTAAGAAACTTGATTATGTGCAGAGACAGTAAAATGATATCTTCATATTCTAACTAGTACTTTTTTTTCAAGAAATAGTATTACTAAATATTTTTACGAAACAATGAACTTCAATATGGGCTGACGGACTTTCTGCTCAAAACTGAATCATACGTATACGTTTACATAGTAAGAGCCACATATTACGTCAAGCATTGTAAGCAAAAAAAGCTAATGTGAAGTGATAATTTTGTAGTATGGGATTAGTGGTCAATTATAATGAAAATATGTAGTGATTCATATTTCAATTAGTGGTCGCAATAATTATTCCCCATGACCATGAGTCATAATTCAGAGATTCACATATAATATGGAAAAGCACTCCTATGAGCCACCAAAGCTATTGCCCTTTGATGCCATTCTTTTTGTTGACTGGAATCAAATTCTCCCGCTTTATAGAGAACCTTTCTCTGCTTACATATTATTCACTACTTAGTCTCTTTAATTTGTTTATTATCATAGTTAAAACTTAATACATTGACATTTTATGAGTTTTGATCGATCATAACGTACGTAGATATCATAAGGAACTACGATGTAACTGTTATAGCCACATGATCAAGTATGGTGTATGGATCGGATTCCTTCTTCATACTTTTATGCTACATCCTCCAGGTATTTTTGTATATGTGTGCCTCCACATACATATTTCTATATACGTGCACGCATGCGTATATGGCCCAAGCTCAACCACTCATTAATTTGGAAATACAAAAGTTTGCATCACTATCGACATTGTGTTACATATACATAATACTCCCTATGTCCCAGTTGGGCAAAATGTATATGAAAAAAAAATTGATGTATTTGGATGGATCCATCGAGATACATCCGCTTTTTTTCAGATACATTTTGCCCAACTGCTTATAACATGGGACAAAAGAAATACATATTAAGGAAAAGGATACACTCTGTTAACGATCATGGTATAACTTATAAAATGCATTGACGGGTCCGGGAAATCATGCAAAACCAAATTCATTTACTGAAATGTTTCTAAATAAGTGTGCAATTTATTTTACAACTATAAAAGTTTGCGGATGAAAACTCATTTCCTGTTATAGCATTGTTCAAATTAAATTTCTAAGACGGCATACTTCGCTCTATTATGCAAAAGGTTTACTATTTTCTCATTATTCTTTGTTTTTACTTTTTAATATTCCCTCCGTTTTTTTAAGATGAATTTTCTAGAGTTTTCACACATATTAAGGAAAATAGAAAACTCATTTCTTGTTATAGCATTGTTCAAATTAAATTTCTAAGACGGCATACTTCGCTCCATTATGCAAAAGGTTTACTATTTTCTCATTATTCTTTGTTTTTACTTTTTAATATTCCCTCCGTTTTTTTAAGATGAATTTTCTAGAATTTTCACACATATTAAGGAAAAACTGATTTTCAATAATTAATACATTGATTTTTGCAATAAAACAACTTTTTATAATTTCAACTAATAAAAATCTAACAAATACAATTAATGTTTCTTGAGAACTGAAAAAGTGCATCAAAAGCTATAAATTTTATCTTTGTGAAACAACAAATAATGTCTAGAAAATTCAAAAACGGAGGGAATATGTCAGTAATTTAGTTCTCCACTCGTGTGCCTATGTGATCTAATTTTCTCATCAGGAAGTCCTAAGTTATGCCCTTATAGAAAAATTAAAATATTTATAGGTTATAAGATAAGATGTGCATGTTTAGGTATAAAAACACTACAAGAAGACTTGTAAATAGTGGTCTGTGCTAAAACTGTTAATGTGTCACATCCGAATTCAAATCCGCCTAATGGATACTATGTTATATATTGACAAAAATACGAAATCAATTAAAGATGCGAAAATGCGTATACCATTTACTAGGGATTAAAAGCATTAAGAGTTGGAATCAATTGCAACATCCAAAACAATTGAGAACTGTATTTGAATTTGGCTACTTTAAGGTCATGTTTTTGCAAAAACTCAATCATAAGTTTCTATAAGGTCAGCCCTGTTTCTGTATATTAGTTGACTAAAAACAACAACAAAAAAACGTTGTGGTAAAAGTCTGAATTAAAGAGACAAAATTTATACTATGCCACAGTCAGTTTTTGAATAATTGCAAATATAGGAGAGCGATGACCCATAACAAATAAATGGGTAACAAATCATCAATGTATATGTGTCCCTACGAGGACCGCACCCACTTAATTCCCCAACTTAAATACCTATTGACCTGCTTTCTCATTATAATGACCCACTTATAATTACTATCTTAATAAATAAATGACACGGTTTGTAGTACTGTAGTTGCGTGATAATGAAATTGTTGTATATTTTCTGTATCCAAAGAAAAATAGTATTACGTCACTGGAATCTTGTTATCTGTAATCACAACATACACACTTATGCATGCTTGGTTAAATCACTCCTCCATTTCGAGAGACAATATCATTGTACTTTAAAGAACAGACAGTCTCGAGTCTCGACAATTAAAATTTCACAACTCGTACTAGGCTACTGCTTTTGAATCAACAAAGTCGCTTTGTTTTCCGCAAATCCATATGTTTGTTATACATGGAGTAGTATACAAGTTTGTGAAATATTCTTCTTCCAGCTTAGAGATAGGATTATAAGCATATATCGGTATCTGGTTTATAAGGTTACGTACCGTAAACTCAAGACTTGTTAATTAACAGAAAAATTCAACATATTTGTTTGTTCATAGTAAAACAATTCATTATTAACTATACAAGCAACATGGAACATAAATTTAAATTGTACAGTACTCTACATAAACTGTATACAAAAAACACTTAAAAGAAGAGGAGAGAAAGAGTAACACCATAAAGCAAAAAAGTTTGAAGAAAGCCAAATTCAAAGGTACTCAATGTCATCTGAACTCTGGTCCCTTTCTTCAAACCAAAGAATGATCACACCAAATCCAAGTTTCCCTATAAATTACCCTTCTCACATAAATATAAAGTTTAGTTCTATTTCTCTCTCTCTCTCCTCTTTTCATTTACTCCATAAACTTCCTAGAAATCTGCAAAACCCTAGATACAATAACTTCTGATTTCATCACTAAACAAAGTATTTATAACACCTTATGTAACCCACATGCCCAAAACTTTCGCAACACTCAACCCTAATAAATTTTTGTTTGAATTTTCATTCTTTATTGTGTGTTTGAATCTTCCTGGGTTTTCTTAGAGAAAGTGATTATGTGTTTAATGGGTTTGTTGGGAGATGTGTCAGTAACATCAAGAAGACGAACAACAATAGTAAACCGTATTAAATGTTGTCTTTTGAATCACACAAGCAGAAGAAGAAAACAACAGCACAGCAGATGTTTTCATTATACTCCAGGCCAAGCTTCGTCTAGTTCCTTTACAATGTTCTCTTCCATCTCTCTCAGATTGATTCTATTGCTCTGTCTCGTCTCTTCTTCCTTCTCCTCCACCGCTTCTCCCTCCAATTCTAATGCCACCGATCAAACTCTCCAGCCGCAAGAAGAGCTCCAGAAGCTTAAATTGATTAGAACAGAGCTGAACAAGATCAACAAGCCCGCAGTAAAAACCATTCAGGTAATTTCTCTATTTCTTCAAGTTTTCAATTTGATCAACTAATTCATACAGATCTCGTCGTCGACTTTACTTCCAATTGATTCATAAAAAAAAAAAAAAGAAAGATTTACTCTGTTTTCAATAATCAAATGACATGCAAGCTTCATTGCTCTGTTTCTGACTCTGTTTTTTCTCTGTTTCTTCTCTCTATGTGTTATGTTTGTAGAGCTCAGATGGAGATACAATAGATTGTGTTTCTCTTCATCAGCAGCCTGCTTTTGATCATCCTCTCTTACAGGGACAGAGACCATTGGTAAATTACTCGCTGACCACTTCACCTCCACTTCTTTCTTTTTATAGAAACAATCATAAGTAGATTTTTTTTTTTGTATATATTAGGATCCGCCTGAGATCCCAAAAGGGTATAGAGAAGATGACGAATCATATGAAGAATCTCAGCTGTGGAGTTTATCAGGAGAGACTTGTCCGGAAGGTACAATTCCGATAAGAAGAACAACGGAACAAGACATGTTAAGAGCAAGTTCTGTCCAGAGATTTGGTCGGAAAATTAGTCCTGTTAGGAGAGATTCCACAAGTAACGGACATGAAGTAAGTTACCAATTTTCTAATACTATAATTAACCAAAAAAAAAAGTCAGAGCTTTCTTTACTTTTTTTATTCTCTATAAAGAAAAAGATATAGAATGATACCAAAAACCAGCTTTTTCGTAATTCTTTGCACGACCATAACACTTGAGTTGTATCCAAACTCAAAAAGACTAGTCTATTTTCAAGAACCAACAAAAAAAATAAAGGAAGAAGCGTGACATAACTAGAATTATTCTCTGTTCAAGTGTTCACATCGTGAAAAAAGATTATTCTCTGTTCCTTTTCTCTTTTGCCGTGTTAACAGATTTACATGAAATTTCAGTAGCTTTTTAATTTTACTAATTTGATTGATTAGTAAAAAAAATGAACTTTTTTTGTAGCATGCGGTGGGATATGTAACCGGGAGAAACTATTACGGAGCAAAAGCTAGTATAAACGTGTGGTCGCCACGTGTCACCAGCCAATACGAATTTAGTCTTTCCCAAATTTGGGTTATCGCCGGTTCGTTCACTCACGATCTTAATACCATCGAAGCCGGTTGGCAAGTACGTCATCTTTGTATCTATTTAGTTTTTTCTTTTCTTGTCTTTTCAAGTTTGTTGGAGACTAAAATCATTTTGATTTCGTTGAACAGATTAGTCCGGAGCTGTATGGTGACACTTACCCAAGATTCTTCACGTATTGGACGGTAAATGTTTTTACCTTATCTTTCTCTACTTTTGTAATATTCTTACTTAAAGTATTTTAGTTTGATTGAATTAACATTCTGTTAACAATGGTAGTGATAGTGATTTTCAGTCCGATGCATACCGAACAACGGGTTGCTACAATTTGTTGTGTTCCGGTTTCGTTCAAACCAACAGACGAATCGCGATCGGAGCTGCCATTTCTCCAAGATCTTCGTATAGAGGTGGACAATTCGATATCAGCTTATTAATCTGGAAGGTAACACTCTCTTCATTTCTCTATATATGTAGTAGACATTACAAGAAAAGCTTTACCTTATAATGTGGCTCTAGAATTATATAAAACATTTCTGGAATGTCAATCACAAGTTTTGATATTTTGTTCCATTTTAGATATATATTCGTTTTTTCTATGTTTTATATTTCAAAAAACATTACCAATCAAATCTAGTAGTTAAGAAAGAATTAAAAGCACATGGTTCACATCAATGTTTCCTGCGTCAACCCAGCTCATTCAACTTGTACTTTATAAGATGTGTCTCCATAAAGTCTTAATCACTTTAAATTTGTTTTAGCAAAACAATAGTAATAATAATAATGAAAGTGCGTAAAATCTACGTGTAGGATCCGAAGCACGGTCACTGGTGGCTACAATTCGGGTCGGGTGCATTAGTCGGGTATTGGCCTGCGACTCTATTCACACATCTAAGGCAACATGGGAGCATGGTTCAATTCGGCGGCGAGATTGTGAACACTAGACCCCGTGGTTCACACACTACGACACAAATGGGCAGTGGCCATTTCGCCGGTGAAGGTTTTGGTAAAGCATCTTATTTCCGAAATCTACAAATAGTTGATTGGGACAATACTCTTATTCCGGCTTCGAATCTAAAGATTCTTGCTGATCATCCTAATTGTTATGATATAAGAGGTGGGACGAATCGTGTGTGGGGTAACTATTTTTATTATGGAGGTCCAGGTAAAAACCCTAGATGTCCATGAAGATTCAAGAAACGTTATTTTATTGTTTTTATATATAGTGCAAAATTGGAATTTTGGGATTAGAAGAAGAGTAGGAATTGAATCTTACAAAGTATCTTTTGTAGCTATGTGTTTTGCATATATCATGCGGATGAGTTTATTCATCATAACAATGTCACCACGAGGGAAAAGATTTTTTTGTTTTGGTTAAAAATGGGAAGTTTGGAGTATAAGATTGGTAGTGTTATACTTTTGTTATTAGTTTCTTTTTTAGGATGTGTGATGGCATTACGGAGTTTGTAATGTTTATATTGATTAGTGTTACCAATGTGTAAATGTATACTACAGTATTTCTTAAGTATCGAGTGCTGCTTTGTTATGTCGTATATACTGTATATGGTTCTTAAGATTCATCTCTTGTTAAAGAAAAAGAAAACAAAAAATCTAAAGTTAAATGCAGAATTAAAATGGTATGATGATTCGTCATTCGTGGACCAAAAGGCAGTTCTGTGGAAATATCAGAATTAGTTGTAGGCTTGTAGCAGTGCAGAGACCGAAAATTAATTGCGAATGTAAATAATTTCTGACGATTAGATCGAACATTCATGTCACAACTGTCCAATTTATTGAATAACTGAAATATATGAAGAATTAAGCAAGAATGAAACTGGAGGTGGAGATGTATTTACGTGGGACCATAAATTAAAAATGCCGATTTTAATGGCCTTCATTGATCTTCCCCACGTGTCTTCTTTTAATACTTAAGCTACAACACATTTTCCAAGTTCGTTAAAAGTGATTTGATTCAATTCCATTCCATTTTTAGTTCCCTTAAGAAAAAGTGTTTCTTAGGGTGTGAATGGTAAGCAAGTTAGAGTAAACCAGAGTAAAACAATTTACTCTATCTCAACAGTAATGAGAGTAAACTTTTTATTGTTATCAAGTGATTTTAATTTTTTTCAGCTGAAAACTTTACTCCATATAAAAGTGGTGGGAAGTTTTACTCTGATTTTTGTGGGTCCATACACTTTCTATCAAACTTTTTATTCCACCTTATTACTCTAATTTGTTTACCATTCAAAGCCTTAGATTTTATTTCACTGGTTTGAATGTTGTATCTCAAGTCCAGTTGTTTTCTTCATTTCCGTAATGCATCATGTTTAGCTTAGTTTGTATTATACATACCACTGTGATTTGCGTGAGTGAGTTACAAAACAAGAAGAAGTGTTAAACACACACACACACACACACATATATGTGTGTATATATAACTTACTTGTTCACCAAAGGAAAAGCATAGATACATAATAGATAATACTAGCTGTATTATGAGATTTCATAATGCATTTAGAAATATGGGCCTTAACAGGCTCAATAGTTGGAGGAGAAAACAATACACCACTCAGGCTAGTCAAACACATGGCCTTGGCCATTTTGGGGGCAACACAATGAAAGTTTATCTTTGGATCAATTACTGTTTAATATTTTCAATAACTTTTCTTGACATTTACAATTCATAATTATTAACTAATAAAAATACATTAAAATTTGAGAAAATTCATCTTTAGAAAACAAAAATTTACTGGGGAAAAGTCTACTTTGAAAAACAGATGGAGTATATTTTGTTCATCAATTTTAATAAATAATTTAAAATCTAAGATTGTTCATGCTAACGTTTTTGGTTATTCGGTTTGGTTGTATTTAATTAACGTTAATGACACTTTTCTGTCACAGAGAAAAAAAAAACACTAATGACGCTTTTCATTAATTATAAGATGAAACGACGACAAGTAACACGAACAACGGCAAGTGAAGTGGAAGCACGAAGCATGCAAACCGACTCATCATGTTCTTGTCCTTACTCTCCGCGTCCAAACTACGTAAGCTCGCCATTTGGCAATCACTCTCTCTCAATTAGCATAGTACTACTACAAAAATTAGAATATGTTTAACAAAATAATTAAGGACAAATAAAAGGGAGGCGAAACTGCAATTATCACAAAGTGGACAATTTAAAGTCAAACGTAATTAAATATTAATACTAGTAGCTTTCACCTTTCGCCTTCAATAATATTTAAGGCACATAATCATATCGAACCTTTCCACGTGATATCACGACCCTTTAAAAAGACATGCATTACCAAAAACTCATTATTTAGAAATAAGTAGATGAATTTTAATGCAATTCGTACACTTTTTTAAAATAAAAAATATTCCTCGACAAAATAATGATAGGTTTAACATTTAAGTATTCTCGTCAATAACAAGCATTGACAAAGCCTTTAGATTGTTCCTTTTAAAATAACAAAAATTATTATAGTTCTAATATGTGTTGCAAAAAATTATGAAGAGGTCATCACTGATAAGTGTAAATTTCTCAAAACCAAAGTTAGAGCACTCGAGGTCAGTGATAACTGATAAATGTACCATTCTGAGGATAGACATGTTTTTGGCATGAATTTCTAGCAAAGCTATATCGCATTAAGAATTTAGGCTGAATGCCTTTGGTCAAAAAAAAAAAAAAAAAAAAGAGTTTAGGCTGAAGTCCAAAAACCCAATGGCCCGAGCAAAACGATTTGATTCGCAGTGAAAATGTTTATTTAGATATAAACGCACTTTCTCCAAAAAAATATAATAATTAGATCTATAGTTTCTGTTTGTTTTTAATAGTTTACGGGTCAACGATTTATAGTTTCTTAAGATGATCAAATCAAATTAAATATTTTTGTCTTTACATAACTTTAACTTTGCAATATATTAGTATGAATAGAAGAAGACATTGTGTTCGATTTATCGACACACATCTATTTATGGAGAACAAAACTCAACTATAACGACTATGATTTCTTTGAAAAAATCCCTAAGTAATATACATATACATATTTATACAACAGTACTGGATAAACATATGCAGAGTCATTATTGTGCGGGACTCTTTGACGCAGAGATGCTATACATCAATATACTTGGTCCCCGGAACTGGAATGATCAAACGACTTGAATCGTCCTTGCAAAAAATAAAGTTAGCCCAATAAGATTTGATTCAGTGTACGCGGTTAAATTATTGGACAGCGTTTGTCAATCGATGTCATAAGTCGATCACGTCCACATGCTTTTTTTTCTTGGAATGAATCGATAGAATTTCATGATATTTACTGTCTCTTAAAACCATGTTCGAGGGACGATTCTCCAAATTCAAGGTGTGAATGAGAGATAGTGTTACAATAGGTCCATCTAGGAAAATGATATGTGATGATGAAGAGCGATGAGAATTGATAAATTAATTATTTAGTTGAATGGCTTGTGAGTTCATCATTTTCCCCTACCTCCTACGCTTTCCAACTTGGTGGTCTCATCACAATTTCTATTTAAATTAATATAAAATCCACTACGTTGTTTGTAGTTTCTTACTGTTTTATTTTTTTCCTTTTCTTTTCATAACAACAATATCTACTCTCGTCTCGACTGAGTGTTTTCTACTAACAAAGTGACTTAACACTTCTCAAGATCAATTTAGTAAAGTCCTAACTCCTATATTAAAAAAAAAAACATTTTCTTTTGTTTGAAACGTGGAAATTAGAACTTCATATAAAAAGAAAATTACCTCATATGCAATTATGTACAATGGTTTAAAACAACTATTCAAAGGTTAAAAAAAACACAAACCTCATACTATATCGAGGTTATGTGCAAAGGAGCCAGTACTACAATTGAATAACGGTCAAAACCACATGTCATGTATATACAAAACAGAATCTGAATAGTAATTTTAGACAGATATCATCCAGCATTTAAGTTTATGAATAAGATGACGGGATTTTAAATAAGAAAATAGACTTTACAATGGATCATACGTTGTGTTTTAATGATACACTGGTTTGCAAGAAGCCAAGAAGTAAAATAACGTTTGAAATCTTGAGCATTAACTACCCTCGGATTTTCTACTTTGACGTTCATTTAATGTATAAGAAGAATAAACCAAAAAATTAAAGAACGAATCCTAAAAAGATTTATCCATGCCCACACGCAATAAATGAAGCTAATTTTAAAAATGAAATTCCGGGAATTAAGAAAATTTATGAATTTTTTTGGTCGATAAAATTTTCTCTTTTAGTTTACATGCATTACATTACTTATTAAAATAAATGTTTTAAAATGAAAATTATACAGTACTTATTAAGAAAAACGTGAAATTACAACTGCAAAAAGACACAAAAGTAATTAGATGATATTTTCAGTATTACTGAAAAGTTAACCTACATAATCGTTTGATATTTAACGCTATAAAGTATATAGAACAATTAAATAGAATCACAATACATTATCATAAATAAAATAGGTAAGAAATTATCTTTTTTTTTTTTTTTTTTTTTGTCGTGCACCGGGAGATATAAGCCTCCAAATTATTTATTTAAGAAACGAACAATTACATACGGACTTGTCTTGGTCGTGTTGACTCACGCTTATCCACCTCCAACAAACCAATTAAATCTGGCGGAACAACATCCAAATAAAGTAAACCGATCGGAAGCGAGAAGGCAGAATTTGTTGAATCAGACAATTCACTTCCCTATAAACATGAGTGATACAGACTAACCCGTCCTTTGCAATAAAACGGTGGCACAATCGTACGAGGAATGACAAATGATGAGTTTCACAATAGGTAAGAAATTCTAGTTACAAAATATAGTTGTCTTTAAAATGGTACGTACTAATTTCATGTAACTAGAAAATCTAGTTCAAAATTAATGATTTAAATTACTAGATAACCAGTTGATTTTTTGCTTATTGTTTGTCAATTTCTTTGGCTTCGTCATAATAACAAATCATATGAATTTAGTGTTTTTTAGATGTCTGATTTTACCTAGAATATCAAAGTGTTCAGTGCGAGAAGCATTAAGGCTTATGCTTTTTTTGGCATAGCATTCATTTACATATGTCTAGATTCAAACGATATGTATAACTGACTGAAAATTGTTTTCTTTCTTTCAAATCCATGTTTACCTAAATGGTCAAGAAGCAGAACGACTCATACATTATTGAAATATTGTTTATTAACACACATTTTGACATTTAGGTTGGAAAGCTCGTCTTTGTGAAATCATGATTATATATTCGACTTATGCCATAACACAAATTTAAGAATGTAAGAATGCAAAACAACTTTTTTTTTAATCTTCAATAAACTGATCGCGATCCATGTAAACTTAACCTAACACTCACTGGGGAGAAAGTGTCCTCAATTCGGGAAGCAAAACGACTTATACTATTTTGTGGCACGACAGTCATTTTAGGTTCCGAATGGTGACAGCGGATTATGCTGTGCGGTTTAAAAAATTGAGAGTGCGGTGCGTTTTTAGTTTTATAGGTGCGGATAAAATCTGACTGCGGAACAAATACGTTTTATGCAGAATAAGCGGTATAAAGTAATGTTTGATTGGTGAAAAAATAACTAGCATTACAAAGTTTTTTTGTTTGAATGGTAAAAATAAAAAAATGGTTCATAATACATATAATATATATATAAATATCTATAATAAATGTAGAATTAAAAATATGAAATAATTGTAATTTTGAAAACTATACTATAAATATTACTTAATTAATTATTTACAGTAATAAATATTTAAAATTTAATTAAAGTAATTTTTAAAAAATTGTAGTACAAATATTGCTAACCAAGAAATCGATTAATTGTAAAAAAAAAATACAAATACAATAACAATATTATCGAGTATTTTGATTTTGCCATAACAAATTTGCAATATTATCTCTTATTTGCGACATATGTTGTCCATCTCCTATCTCAGCTGCTTCCAAGTCACCTAAATCAGATTCCAAATCTCTATTGTTTACACCCGTCTCCGTCATGACATATGCAAAATCTTCATCTGAGAAATTCGAAATTTTGATAAAATTATGCAATCCCATTGTAGCCATTACCACTCTCTTTTGTATGTGCATATTATATCTTGGAAAATCAGAAAGAATCCTCCATTTTTTTTTCCAAACTCCAAATGTTCTCTCGATAACAGAACGCATAGACGCATGACATCTGTTAAACAATTCTTGTTTATTCCTAGGAGCAGGACCATAGTTAAACTGAGACATATGATATCTCACAACTCCATTACGTGATGATCTATAAGGAGCTAAAAATCCTTGTTTATTTGGATAGCCAGAATCAACAAGATAATATTTCTCTGGTGGAGGCAAAGGGAACTCTGAATCGCGTTCTTGTGCCATTGTCAAAACAGCTGTATCATGGCATGACCCCGGTGCTCCATTCCAAATATATGTGAATAACATATTGAAATCACATATTGCCATGATGTTGAAAGATGCATTATCATGTCGATTCCAATACATTCCTTGTAATTCAGGCTTCACTTTCACGCATACATGTGTTCCATCCATTGCTCCCACAAATCCACTGAAGTACGGATAATATGTTCGATCAACTAGAAGTCTTTCAGGAATTCGGTATAGTTCTTGTCTTGTTGGAGTTCTAATATAATCACAGCCATTAATTCAGTCGCCGTAAGAACTTCTTTAAATTTTCTCTGCACAGTCTCCTGATTTCGGCCAAATCTCATACCAACATCTCTTTGAACTTCATTGTGCCCACATATCCGTAGAAATATAGCGACACTTTCTTCAATGCTTATATTTAATGATGGTTGTAGGCCATAATTTGTCTGAAGCGTTTCACACAAAGTTGTAAAACATGGTAGTGACATTCGTAATAACTGAAGACAAGCAGCATCATCTTGTTGTAGTCGACGCCAAATATTTCTCCACCCTAAACCTCTGTCAGTTTGAACCGGCGCTCTTTCAAAATACCGATGATAGTACGTAAGTGTTGGGTGGATAACTAACTCTTCAAATTGCTCATTTTCCAAATTCCACAATTCAATTCTCTCTTCATAGTAAGGTTGTGGATGCCTTGCGATCTCAACTGACATATACGAAAAACCTGAAATGTTAAACATAAGATAAATTGATGTCATTAGGACAAATACTAAATAATAATTTAAATTAAAAAAACATTCAATATATAATTAATTTATTACATAAACGAGAATGATGAAATATGATTTATTTTTATAACATAAATGAGAACTAATGAAAAAAGATCTATCATAAACTAATCTTCGTCTTCCGAATAACTTTGATGAGGTTCATTTATATTTGTGTTTGTTCCTCCTGGAGTTCCCCATATATTGAAAAGACCACTAGGTCTAGGTGTTTGTGAAGTATGTCCAGATTCAAAATAGTTGGTGAAATCAAGACCGCGAGGTGATGTTTGTTGAACGTTTGGTGAAGCTCTTCCCATTGCACCATCATAATTATCTTGTTGAGATTCCTTAGACTTCCTCCTTCACCCCCAAGTAAAAATCCATATTGAACAGTTGTTGGAGTTGTCCTTGATGACTCGCCTTGTTGAAAATTTTGAGTCGGACGGGCTGAATGAAAGTTTGATGGTGAAGCAGATGGCTGAAAGTTTGGAGGAAGCCCCCATTGTTGAGCGTTTGGTGGTGTACCCCACTGTTGAGCATTTGGCGGTGTTCCCCACTGTGGAGCATTTGGTGGTGTGCCCCATTGTGGAGCATTCGGTGGTGTGCCCCATTGTGGAGCTGGTTGGGGTGATCCCCATTGTTGAGCATTTGGTGGTGTGCCCCATTGTTGAAAACTGGGAGCCCATAATCCTCCTGAACTTTGTCCTCCTAAACTGTTACCGACAAAGATGGACTTCCAGATGATATCCCTCCTGAATGTGGACTCCCATACGAGTGGATTTGCTCTAATTGTTTCGGCACATCTTGGTTGTTTCGTGAAACACCAGTCATTGCTTCCAACATTTGTAGCTTATCCTCGTCTATACTTCCAGCTAAATCGATGAAATATTTACGCCAAAAGACTAACTCTTTAAGTGAATTGAGACATGCTCAGTAAAATCTACCTTTTGGAACCTTTAGAGCAAGGAATATTGTTTCTGCCTTTTTCCATTCATCGTAATCATCTTGGTCAAAAGCACCGACGAAGTTGTTGCAAACTTTGGCGTTGGAACTCTGTATATCCAGCAATGGTGTCTTTTATAGTTGTTTCAAAGGATTGTCTTCTACGACCTCCTCGTGAACCAGTTCTACTAGAAAGTCGTGAACCTCCAACTCCTCTTTCTGAATTACTTTGACGTCTAGCATTTGCCTGCAAATTAGACATTTCTCGTTGTTGGCCTCTACGAGTGGTATTTGGGACCGTTTCATTCAAATTATCCATATCCTCATCAACTATAACACGATACACTTCTTCATCTTCTTGCGTCTCTTGAACTCGAGTTGCTGGAATATCACCACTATCACTGTTAGAGCCATCATCATTGTTATCATCTACTGCATCATCATTGATGATCTCTTCTCTTCTTTGACGTGAAGAATGTTGGGATTGTGAGCGTACATCATGTAATATGAGACATCGTACCATCACATCCCAAAACTCGGGCGGTTTTCGGTTGAATCCTTTGTTCTGTTACATCCCTATAAATTTAGAGTCGTTATTTTAACAGCTAAATTTTTGTATATATTTTGATAACTATAAATATTATGAATACTTACGAATTCACGCTCTTTCCACCATGCGTCTGATGCATATATCATGGATGCATCCGGATCAACAGATATACCAGTTGAATTCATAAGTTCTTTCCATCTCTTGTAGTTTTTTTTGAAATCATCCAACTTGTTTTTGAAGTAGTCGTAAATTATATTCATATTGAAGGCTTTGTTGAATTTTTCCACCATATACTCTCTACCAATAGCAGTTGGATTCTTGAGAGTATAATTATTTATGGCAATTGCTTCATCGAATAATTCAATTAGTGTCTTTTTTTTTTGTATGTACGACCATTTGGGTTGTTTTTTCTACAATTGTCAATATATTGATATTAATTAATTATATTAAATTTATGTAAAACTATTTTATTGAAAACAAAAATTTACCCTAGCCGTCGTTTCTGTTGGAGGAACTGGATTTTCGGTGGGTCGAGTTTAATTTGTCGGTCTTGAAGAATTCATGTTCCGTCGACGATTAGATGACATATCTATATTTTAAAAAACAACAATTAGTTTTATGTTCAAAAGTCAAAGATAATGTATGTATATTTAGGAAAACCAACAATTAGTTTTATGTCTTTTTTTAAAACTCAATCTCCAAGCTAAAAAATCATTTATTTTAATTTCTCATAATATTAATTTTTAAAACAAAAATATTTATCAATGTAAAATATATTTATTTATCATATATCATAATATTAGTTTATGAAAAAGTTATATAAATGGATATTACATGTTTACAGATAAATATAAGAGTAAACATAGAACTATAATATTTGTATAAATAAATATTAAAATATTTTTTAAGTAAATTATTTTGCTAAATGAATTTATAAAATATATTAGTATTCAAACATACTATATCCCCTAAATATAGTTCACAAGATCACAAATCCCTTACTTTTCTACACACAGACATCTCATAATGTCGTGAGAGATAATTATGTCTCTGTAAAATTATATTAAATATTTATTTAAATAACTTTAAAGTTTAAACACATGAAACAAGTATCAATCATCTCTATATATTTTTCTTTTAATTCATATTCATAAATTAATGTGCATGTTTATTTTTAGGCTTTCATTTGTAGGGATTTTGAAAATAGTTTTTTTCTGTATTTTTACCATAGTTTTAACAGAAATTTAGTTCAAATTAATTTGTTTTAAAAATCTAGCTATTAGTTATGTGCTGTAGTATACATGTCTTTCATAGTATTATTTATTATTTTGTAAGGAATAATTTTACGTATTAATAAATCCATAGTTTTATATTTATCGAAAAAATAAAAATGTAGAAACAAACAAAAACTAAATCTACAGAAAAATTAAAAAGAAAGATCAAAACCAAAATTTCATTTCAGAAACTAAAATCTAAAAACAAAAATAAAAAAAACAGCAAAATTAACAGTCATGGCCAAAAGTATGTAAGAATAAGAAATAACTAGTTTACACATTTGTAATATTAAGATGTATGAATGTTTTTAGAAAATTACCTTACAATGTTGTTTTTCGTGCAAAGAAAAATGAGAAGAGGCTATTTGATTATTTTGTGTAAAAAGTATGCTCATGTGTTTGGTTTCAAAATATAAGAAAGAGAGTGTTTGATTTCATTAAAGTGTATGAGAGAGACCAAAGAGTGCATTTTCGTGTGAAAGAGAAGTTGTTTATTTATAGGCAAATTTTTTTTTTTTTTTTTTTTGGCCTTGAATGGAAGCAAGACTGCGGTGCGTTTTCGAGTGTGGTTTACAAAAATCGCTTGAACATCACCAGTCACACATAATTTGATATATTCTGCGTTTGTTGTATTATTTTTATAAAGTACTATTGCGCTTTTCATTAACTCATGAAAACCAATTCCGCATGTTAAAACGCAAATACACATGAGGAGGTGTGGATCAAACAAAAACGCACATAGCTGGATAATTTTTATTGTTTTAATAATAAGACAAAATGCTATATGTATGTTAAAGTAAATATTATATTTCTAAATAAATGCTTCTTTTCCCTTTAAAATATTCCTCCATCTTTTTTTGCATGTTTAGTTCTGCTTTTAACTAAATCTTTTTTTCTTTTATTTTGTACTTTTGACTTAAGTTAAATTTATAAATTATATATTTTAATAAATAGTTACTCAAAAATAAGGATAAATTACAAAATAATTTGTAAATTCATGATTTGATCAAACACACACATATTCACATATATATATATATATTACAAATTAAAATTTGTTTTTACCTTTTTCTTACGTTTTTGGTTACTTGTTTTAGTAATATCTGTATCAATTTTTTATTTTTATTTCTAATTAACTTTAGTATTTAAACTATTAATTTTTTATATAGTTTTTTTCACTAATATTTAAATGAAGTATTAAATTAAATTTACTCAAAAATAAGGATAAATTACAAAATAATTTGTAAATTCATGATTTGATCAAACACACACATATTCACACACACACATATATATATATATATATATTACAAATTAAAATTTGTTTATACCTTTTTTCTTACGTTTTTGGTTACTTGTTTTTGCAATATATGTATCAATTTTTTATTTATTTTTTCTAATTAACTTTAGTATTTAAACTATTAAATTTTTATATAGTTTCTTTCACTAATATTTAAATGAAGTATTAAATTAAATTTACTGCTATTGTTGATATATATGTTTCTATATTATATATACATATATATAATATGTATTCCGCACCGCTTTTTGATTTTTTACCATTCAAAAATTTGTTTGTACCGCTTATTCTGCATAAACCGCACTTGTTCCGCAGTTTAGTTTTATCCGCACATTTTAAAAATAAACCGCACCGCACTCTAAATCTGCTTGATCCGCACAACACAATACGCTGTCACCATTCGGACCATTTATCTGTTCGATTTGCGGTTTTCGAGTGCAACCGCTGGATAATAGCTGTGTTTTATAATTGCGGTGCGGTTTTTATCCTATGTGCAATTGTGTCGTCTTGAAAAGCGTGTGCGGATAAGTTTTTTACTTTTTAAAAAAACGCAAAAAAAGATAAAATTGTGTGATTGGTAAACATTTGCGGTTTTTTTTAAAAGAGTGGAAAAACGCACCGCCTTTTTGTCTCCATTCAGAGCCTTAGTAAAACATCTAAACGACTTATACCGAATTGTCTAATGTCTTTAACCCAAAGCAAACATGTCTAGTGATTTTTATTATCATTTCATAAATCCATGTTTACCTAATTGACGAAGAAGCTCAACAGCTCATACATGTAGATTTATAAGATCGCATTTGTGAAGTGATAATTTTATATTCAACATGTCAGAATTCAGAAAAAAATAATTTGATAAAAATATATAGTTATATATAACTCTTTAATGAAGTTATCACGACCAATGTAAACTAAACCTAATGCTCACATAGAGAAACTTTGGTGAACTTTTCGTTTATATCAACCTAAAAAATTGTTAACTTATTCACTGGTTAGATAGCCTCATAGAAACAAATTATTTCTGTGTATTATTTCTGACTTTCTATATTTACTGCTTTTCTAAAAATACTAATACGATAACAAATGTAGAAGAAATAAAGAAATCAAGATTGAAAAATATTTTGTTATAGTTTTTCTCTTTTCAGTTTTGTTTCTTGTAAAAATTATAAAATATAAATCATTAACTGAATTCAACTCAAATATAATGCATACAAATGATAATAAAATTTACAAAATATAACTACCTTTTTGATAAATTTCTTGCTGTTTCTTGCCAGCTATATTTCTACCTTACTTCTTAATTATTTTGTTTTTCTTTAAAAGTGAGATATTATTGACTAAAAAAAGCAGATATTCTTTAATATCGTTCCCATTTAAAAAGTAGAACATCCTTTCTTTTCTTTCTTTATTAAAAAAAACAAGGAAATATAATAAAATAATAAATATCGCTTTCCTTGTATATAAATACACTCAGACCTACACTATTCTCTAATCATTAAACACTGTTACAAACGAAAGCAAAGCAAGAGCTATCCAAGAAGAAAGAAGAAGAAGAAGAAGAAAATGGTGAAATTAGAGAACTCAAACAACATCGCCTTGTCCGATTCCATCGTCAATCTCGACCAGTACGTTTTCTTAATTTCACAATTATCCATAACCGCATTGCAGAATCATCGGCTCCAATAAAAAAATCAAAATCTCCGAGTTTCACTAACGAATCAGTTTCTTAGACTCTCTTTATTTAATTATGATTATAAAATAAAAAAAAATGGTTGCAGTGGAGATCCAACGGCGTACGAAGAGTACTGGAGGAAGATGGGAGACAGGTGTACGGTGACGATACGTGGTTGTGACCTGATGAGCTACTTCAGCGACATCAAGAACCTGTGTTGGTTCATGGAGCCGGAGCTAGCGGAAGCGATCAAGGAGTTGCACGGTGTGGTCGGAAACGCAGCGACGGAGGATCGATACATCGTGGTTGGGACCGGTTCCACGCAGCTTTGTCAAGCGGCCGTCCACGCACTATCTTCTCTCGCTGGGACCCAACCTGTCAGTGTCGTCGCCGCCGCTCCATATTACTCTGTAAGTCCCTCACCACTAAATCTTCTTCTTCCTCCTCCTCGTATCATTTTTACTTTTTTCCGTTGACATGTTTTTAAATCTTAATAGTTTAATTTGTGAACACCCTGGACTGTTTTTTTGCAACTAACAGAATATAGTATTAGACTAATGAACCGATTTTTTAGTTAGACTTAACAAAATTTAGCTCTGAATATTTGATGGATTATTTAAATCCGGAGTAGGATTTAGGATCAAGTCCAGATCTATCTCGAGTGCTCTATTTCTTTTGTTTTAAATATGTACTGCAGATATTTTTTTTTTTTTAATGACTAGCAATTTGAGTTGGGAGCAATTCTTAAACTCATCCAGATTAATAAACTAAATCTAGGAATAAGATTTTAAACGGTTTTTCTGGTATTGTTTTAGATCAAGTTTTGAAACTGCCTAACCAAATGTAAACCCTACAAAGAAGCAATTCTTGTATTTCTTCACTTATATATGATGATGACAATATGACATAAGAAATAATTTCTCATTAGGTCTTCTCCTATGTTTTTTAAAATTTTAATTTCATCTAAAATCGTGTTAGTCGTTTTTAATAGTAAGAAGTTGATTTGATGTGGAGATTTAGGTGGGTCTTCAGTTAGTGAAAAAGCAAATATTGGAGATCTAAAAGACACAGTGACAGACATGTTTCTCGAACACAACACAACACATTCACCAATTTTTTTTTGATTTAACATTTTACAAAAAACACTTTTCCCATCTTACATACATGTATTGTGGATTCATGTGCAGAGACATCAGTAACATGCTCATGTCCCCACTTTTATTTCTCGCTTTTACCAAAAACCATTCTCCTCTTCTTCATTATTCATTTTCTTTGAGAATATATAAAAACAAATAGTACAGTTTTTTTAATAATTGTTTTTGAAACAGACTTATGTGGAGGAGACTTCGTATGTTCGGTCGGGTATGTACAAGTGGGAAGGAGACGCGTGGGGTTTCGACAAGAAAGGTCCGTACATCGAGCTAGTGACTTCACCCAATAACCCTGACGGCACCATCAGAGAGACGGTGGTGAACCGTCCTGACGACGACGAAGCCAAAGTGATCCATGACTTTGCCTATTACTGGCCCCACTACACTCCCATCACTCGCCGTCAGGACCATGACATCATGCTCTTCACTTTCTCCAAGATCACAGGCCACGCCGGGTCCCGCATTGGGTCAGATATTCATTCTTTCATTTTATATTCCTTTTACTATATTGTTACCCGAATAATAACACAATATGCATCATACAGTCATTATAGTATTAGACTTTCAAGCATGTTTTTAGATTAGTAAATACTTTAATTGATGGGTTTAATTTGTTGGATTATGAAGGTGGGCATTGGTGAAGGACAAGGAGGTGGCGCAGAAGATGGTTGAGTATATAATGGTGAACTCCATTGGTGTGTCTAAGGAGTCACAGGTTCGAACCGCTAAGATTCTCAAAGTTCTCAAGGAGACTTGTAAGACCGAGACCGAGAACTTCTTTAAGTATGGTCGTGAGATGATGAAGAATCGTTGGGAGAAGCTTCGTGAAGTGGTGAAAGAGAGCGACGTTTTCACTCTTCCCAAGTACCCTGAAGCCTATTGCAACTTTTTTGGCAAATCACTCGAATCATACCCTGGTAACTAAAATATTTATTTTTTTGTAACGTTTTGGAATCTTGTAAATTGAAAAAGACGTAACGGTTGGTGTTTTCTCTTATTTTTGTTTTGGTTTGACAGCATTTGCGTGGCTGGGGACGAAAGAAGAGACGGATCTGGTAAGCGATCTGAGGAGACAGAAGGTTATGAGCAGAGCTGGAGAGCGTTGTGGTTCTGACAAGAAGCATGTCAGAGTCAGTATGCTTAGCCGTGAAGATGTTTTCAATGTCTTTCTCGAGAGACTCGCCAACATGAAGTTCATTAAAAGCATTGATCTTTAAACTAAGCCCCGTATGAAGCCCTGATATAATTAATTAATGTCTTAATGGTTACTGAAAAAAAAAACCCTTATAATTAAGAAGTTTTTAGTTTTTTTTAGCTTACCCTAAAGTATGTAGAAACAGTAAAAAGGTTCTCATATGTATGTGGGCTTTTCAATATGTGAAATATATAAAGGTATAAGTTTTAATTTGTGTTTTATAGATAAAAATGCTTTCAACCTATCTAAATATTTGAATTGAATCTTATTGAAGGTTTATAATTAAAACGCCTCTGATTTATGTAGGTCTGTTATCGTTTATAATTTTTGTTTTGTTTCTTTTATTATTTTGTAAAAAAAAATCAATTTTAGAAGACATGGAGAAAAAAAAGAAAGGTATTTTGAAATACCTCATATTTTTTGACAAGTTAGGACATGCCATATGAGTTTATGACACATCCAACGACTTCAATCTCATCTTCTCTTCTTCTCATCTTCTCTCTGCCTTGATCGAACTCAAGTGGTGGAGCTTCTGCCCACAAACCAAATGAGCTACACGATCAGGCGCTGTTTTGTTCAACTATTTAATATTTATTTTGTTGTTTCACCATTATGGGCCCAAAGTTGGCCTTTTAATTAAACACAATTAAATGGTCCATCAAATCACAGGAAGGTAAATTATTAGTTTTTTTTTACTTATTAACCACCTTGTAGAAGTTAAAAGTGCGAATATAAAAATTGACTGTACCAACAACCAAATAAAATATTATTTTATTACTAAACTGGTCTAACTGGTCTGATTAAAAAAATTTGTAATGAAAAGTAATTTAACATTTGATAACGTCATCGGCATTGTCATCTGAGAAGGACTCGATTTCTGCAGACGGAGAGATAACGGTAGAAGCGGCGCAGGCGAGAGAAACAATTCCGATGAAAGCTCTTCTCAATCCTCAATCTTCGTTTTCACTCTCTTCTCCGCAGATCAAGAGACCTCTCTACTTCGACGGACCGAGTTCTTCTTCATGTCTCCGGTTTCCTTTAACCGATTTCAACAACCGGCCGTTTCGGCGGAAGCTGACCGGTGGTTTGAAGATAAAAGCTGTGTTAGACTCCGCAATGATGGAGCAGTTAGGACTCAAGGAATCCGATATTAAGAATCCGGCGCTCTCTTCCACTTACCGGAGATCGGAGATTCCAAAGGCAAACGCCACCGTTCTTGATGCTCAAGCTAAGGTTTGCACCGGACCGACCCAGACTAAACCTCTCAGTGAAGAACAGGCCTTTAAGGTTTTTGATACTATATTAAGATCAGGTAAAGCATTTTCACTCTCCAAGATTTTGACTTTATTGATTGGTTAATTCAAAATTTTGAGTAATTGAGAAAAATCCTCGTTTCAAGACTAATGGTGATAGATTTCAATCTCAAACTCAAAGCCTAATCATTTCAAAGTTTCAAACTTTTTATTTTTAGAGTTTGATTTGCATAAGCTTCTTGGTTAGCAAAGTTTGTTTCTTTATTGATTTGCATAAGCATTTTCAGTCTCCAAGATTTTGACTTTATTGATTGGTGAATTCAGAATTTTGAGTAATTGAGAACAATCCTTGTCTCAGGACCAATGGTGATAGA